CTTCAGCTACCGCCTTTACCAATCGTTAACCAAGCCCCTTGGCTTTATCTATACCCATACGACCCGTCCTCATCCTACCCTGTAAGTAGCCCATGTATATTCCTAATGATCAGCAGAATAGAACAGTAGACTCCCCCCAAAGAACGTCCAGAAGTACTCAGTTTCCTCGTCCTCTCTTATCATTTTCTCACTCTCTTTTATCAATTCACTATCGCTCTCGTATCTGTCGTCCCTCCTTCGAAGCTAACTCTATCCATTATCATTCCTTCAGCGGTCTATCTACCCCCTTCGCACTCGCATCGCCTCTAGCTACGCATGCAGTAGCTAACTTACACATTGCCTCATGAAATGCAAATCGTCGACTGAGAAAACTGACTTGCAATGTTATGTCTCTGCGCACCCAAGTTCTCGATAAGAAATTTAGGTAGAGGTGGCTTCAATGCAGTGATCAGTACATGGAGTTGCTTACTTTTGGATTGCTGCCAGTTATAGGGCTGCATGCCGTCGCCGTCGCGTAGAACATCTAGCATAACCTTGTGTATTAACCCTACATAATTTCAAAGGACTGAGAAAGGTGTGGAAGGCAGGCATCCCACGTGCAGTGACGGCGACGATCACCAGAATCCAAGATACTTCTGATGAAGTGGATAGGGGATTTCCCTTTCAGGAGAGTCTTCAGTGCGGTGCAAATAACCGAATTTAGTCATCGCGGGATGAGCACTGGTCTTGGCTGCGGAACTCTGGAAGGTCACATATGTCCTCTTAAGCCGAGGGTAGCATAACCTGCAAGAACAATGCACACCAGACCCGACAGGCCCCTGGTCGTCAAGTGCGCCTTCGACAGATGGAACAAGCGGATAAGCTTTGCTTCCGCAAGGAACTGTTCATACGAGCTGCTCAGGAGCAGGGTGCGTTTCTTTGGTCTGGTACAAGATTACATGGTTTATCATTGACATTATCTTCCTGAATTTGCTGTTGCTTAGGTCGAGCAATGTTTCTCACTTTACGCGACTTCATATGTGATTGCATACAAGGACGATGACGGCGAAATCACCGACATTACCACAGAATCCGATCTCACAGAAGCCATTCAGTATTTTCAGGCTGGGTCTGACGATCCTCCACTCTCCTCTGCAGCATCTATTCTTTCTGGCCGCAGCTTCGGAAGTAGACGAATAACACTACGCGTTCACATTACCGTTGATTACGATGGCCCGAGCTTAAGCGATACATCGAGTCTCGCCAGTATGGAAGAATACAAAGGCCGCAACAGGAGCGAAGGCGAATTAAGCTGGTCCATTGTTGGAGGAGGAGGAGAAGTTGACGATGATTCAGTGACGGTGAGCTCGAGAGATACGAACCGGCGCCTCCCACGTGGATCAACGGTGCACTCTGTAACACCGCATTTGAATAACTGGATTGAAAGCGGAGACTCATCTTCTATACCCGAGAGCAGTGTTACTGGTCACTCGCAATCCCAAACGGTGGAAGATCAGACAATGCACGATGAGGGTCCATTTGCGGACCATTACCAGTTCTCTGCTGAAGAACGCTCCCCGGAAGACCCTGTAGCTGTATTTGAGCGACTCAAGCTCCAGGAGCGCGCTGACGCCTCGGCGTCTGACGGGTCCCCTTCGCATCGGTCGTACTCCCCTACATCAGTTGACATAGCATTGGCGCGTTCTGCTCAAGACAGAGGGGCAGCGTGGTTGCGCGATCAGAATGCGCGCACGATTAGAGCCATGCTCGGGGCGACCCCTGAACCCTCGGAATCCGATTCCAGGTCAATATCATTAACATATTCCGATGAACGGATTCCATCTAACAACATGGAAGGGGATCTTGCGCTGGAACGAGATCCCCGCGGAAAGTACTACTACTCTTATACTGGAGCGAGTTCTACGACGCATGATTCGGGCTACGAGGACAATCTGAGTGTCAAGTATGACGCCGATCCCATTGGTGGATCGCCCCCGCGGCCAAACAGTATGCAGCTTATATGGATCGCTTCGCAGCAGAAGCTAGCGGACAATGATCGTTCCATGGATACCCCTGATTCACACAAGCCCTCTTCCCCACACTACTCTGATTCTGACCCGTTTCCCTACACCATCGCTCACGACATTCCACCAGAGGTACTCCAGTTTGTTGCACCCGCAGGACCTCCTCCGGGCTTGCTCACTACTTGTTCAGACTGTGGAGTCATGCTAGATGGCATCCGGTATGTCTGTGCCGTGTGTGGCGAGAAGGAACCTCTGGCAAGCGTCGTGCTTCGCAACGGCTCAGACTCTAATCTAGGCAAAGGAAAGGCCAGGGACCTGGACCCGATCCATTCATATCCCCCCCTTACTCGTCGCACACCTTTATCGTCTTCACCTTCGCCATCTACGTTCTTTGACGCTGTCACGTTAAGTGGGTCGCCACAGACGCGCAGTGAACACATACATAATAAACCACTCCCTTTCTTACCTGGTTCCTCTTCATCAAGCCCGACGTTGTATAGTACACAATCGGGCTTTAGACACGGGTCTGAGTCGTCTGCTGTGGGCTTCGAATTGTGCTCGGGATGTATCGAATCGGCTGGCGTGATACATGCGCTCCGTGCAAGCACAGAGCGGCGGAATGGATCGGGCACAGAATCGACATCTCCGGCAGATGATTTATCTTCCTGGAGTCGTTCTGCTCCCAGACAGAAAGGTCAGCTGAGACATGCGTATTTTGAAAAGGTATGGGGCCATCATGGATGGGAGGACGTGGGTAAGCATTCTATGAAATATGCAACTTTGGTGCGACATCCTACCTTTACCGTTTACAGAGCAAGATGATATGCACGTCTGTAAATGTTCGACATGCAATTCAACGATCGTGAACCAGCGGTATAAATGTGCTTCGTGTCAAAAATTCAATTTATGTCGAGCGTGTTACGGGTGAGTGACATTTGTGCGACATTGATCGAGCTAATACCTGTCTGGGCAGCCAAGTCCACGACATACACCCATCACATGCATTCCTGGTAGTCGCGGAGAAGCCTGTAAGGTCTAGAAGTGAACCAGAATATTCACGCGATCTGCCAATGATAATATCAAATGACAACAATGAGGAACGATGTGAGTGTTTTCATTCACAGTTCACTGTTTTCTCACACCGTTATGTCTGTAGCCATGAAACATCCTGGCGTCAAGTGTGCACAGTAGGTGGCCTATGGTGACATGATCACAGTACCTGATAGGTTCTAGTTGTTTACAAGATATCCTTGGCGCCCGATTCCACTGCGCGATCTGCGACTCTGTTGACATTTGCTCCAATTGCGAGTCTGCGGGACTTCCAGGCAACTTAGACTCCTCCGACGGGGGACACATATCCTCGCATATCATGATTAAGGTACTTTCTTACCCTTCCGAGGCTCGACCGAATTTTACTTACGTTTGTTCGAGATTCCCTATCCACTTGAAACAACAGAAGTGCAAACAGCCAGCCGCCGTGCCATCCATTTATGGACAGGCAGAGACGCAGCACACGTTATGACCGCAACCCGCTCACAACCAGGCTCTGTATACTCTTCATATGCTCAGACGGTTGTTGGCTCGAGACACGCCCGAAGTGAGCGCAACGGAGAGTCGCTGATTCACCATTCGTCCTGCAAGGGCTGCAACCAGGTTTGGTAGCCTCAATCGTGATTTCCGTGAATGCTGATATTTTTCTAGACAATCGTTGGCATACGATATCAATGTGCTACATGCCCATCTTCTCCCACTGCGTATAGCTTGGTACGTACACCGCAATTACACTTACGCTCTTCTCATCCGTCCGATCTTTCAAGTGCCAATCATGCGAGCAGAGTTCATATGCCATCCATGACCCAATGCACTCGTTTTTCAAAATACCGAGACCTGTCCATGCACCGCTCGAGTCGCCATCGGCATTCCTTCCGAAACTGTGAGCTGTGAACTGTAACTACGCATTAGGTGATTTCAATAACATTGCCGGTAGGTACAAAGTTCCAGCAGGTCCTGTTGGTGGCCTCGCACCCAACGCAGATCCACAAGGTTAGTCGGCCATGCCGGTGATATTGCCCACTCACATCGAAGCTTCGCAGAGTATCTCTATCATTTAGTTCACTCCACGGCGCTCTGCGATCGCTGTATGGAGCGCATTCAAGGAGCATGGTACCGATGCGCCTATTGCGCGAAAGACCTCTGTGGAGAATGCGAGTCTCTTGACACTCACGACGAGACCCACATATTTGTCGTATTCAAGGCTCCTGTATGTTTTCCGTGTCCTGCCTTGCCCATCTACTAACGCATGAAAAAGGTCGACATGGTTTACTTCCGGTATGTTTAATCCTGCTGCTTTTACGGATGTCAATGACTTGGTGATGTAGGCGATTCGCAAATCTAGAGAACCCAAACGACAGCCCGCCAATCATAACCTTCCCGGTATACTGCTAGATGTATGCCAATATATCCCTGATGTTCTACACACGGTGTAGCCAAACAATTTCATACCTTCGACCGCATCTTCATGTAATGTAATACAGGCATCTTGGAGCGCTAAAGCTGGTGCTCCCTACTCCTACTTCAACGAAGAGTGCAGTCCGTGACTAACTCTTCTTAAAGCCTGGATGGGACGAGGATTATGTTAACAGCCGATAGGACACTCTTCAACCATGTCATGCTCACCTAATCGGCGCCTCTCATAGAATAAATTTGTCCTACTGGCACCCAAGTTCACGATCTTCGGATATCCGTCTGTCCTTTTCTAACCGCACTAGGCTCGGTGAACAATTCACCATCGATTTGTAACATTATTAGTAACATAAGGCACTCCGGGGCCAAAGTTAACATGTGTTATTGACAGTTAATAAGAAAAACGCGGTTAACAATTGCTAAAAAAGATGTGCGCGAGCCTAAAAGCTACCAGTCCAATCCGGGACTGTATTGGAGGTCCCAGTCGTCATGGCAGGGGGCGGCGAAGGTCCCGCTGATAGGTCAATGACTGGGTCAATAGAAATCGTATAAGTACGTCAGTGCCTTCGAGCTGATATCGATATCGGGGTCAATCTCGAAGTCAACTGCTTGAGCAGGCTGCCCTTCACCCATCGCCGATTCCAGTGGCTCATCATCAGCTTCTTCTTCTTCATCCGAGTCCGCGTCAACATCTGGCGTTGGGTCGTCATCCACGCCGACGGATTGGACTGCTCATAGCACACTCTTCTCGATTACGCGAAAATTGACAACTGGACGATACTTCGACGGCAGTCACGGCACGTAATCCTTTTTCTGACATATCCGTTTCAGTACTTCGATAGTTCAAGTTATCTGACACACATACCTGATGTTTTCCGCACCATTGTCCAATTTGAATCATATCAACGAGTGTCTGTGCATTCTGGCTGCCTCGTATTGGTAAATTGAACCATTGATAGCGGTGTCTGTGCGCTCGTCAGGCATGGAGTTAACGAGAACTGAAAAAATCTTAATCGAAAGGTGCTACGGGTATGATTGTGCTTAATATCAAATATAGATGCTCTAGAATGAGAGACTCACTGCGAGGACATGGCCATGCGGATGGTCCTGCAGAGATTCCCACCACGCGAATGAGTTACCGTCTTTGACGAGTTGATTGAAGGGCCATTCGTTGTGCCAAAAACCTTCGAGTTTGTGTCGCAACCCATTCACCCATTGTGTAGTGTGACGCTCGTCAGATTCTCCGTGTGCACCGAGAAAGTAAATTTCACGTAAAGGAGTTGTCGCAAGGATCACGTAGATAGAATGCAGTTTTCGTGTGGTATTGCCATCGAATATGAGAGTAAGGTTGTTGATCGTACGCAAAGTCTCGATTTGCATTTCACGGACATAGCGTGAGGGATGTGTTTATCTGCAAACATAGTGACGGACGTGAGATGATATGAGCCTGGCATTGAGCAGCCCCAATGATTAACTCATTAGACGCATGATAACATGGTTAACTTTGAGTTGGCGTGCCTCCTCCTTTACCCTCTTCCCCGTCTCTCGTAAATCACCAACATTAGTCACTAAGAGTGCTTTGTGCTCTCAACTTTTTCGTAGGTGGCTCGTCAACGGAGGCTTCTATTTCGGACCCCTTGTCAGCAGGCAGATCCTTTGCGAGTGTAGCCTCTAGTCACGAGCATTCTGACCGGATTCTTGGATTGCTTGATGCCACAGCCCAGCGTGGTCAGCCTGAAGAATTTTGCAAGTTGTTGCGTACTTCAAGCTTCAAGCTTCAAGCTTCAAGGCTCGTTTAAGCTGTGTATTCTTCTGTCGCAGGAAAGTACAGCCTAAGGCAACACATCCATCCCCATGAGCTCTTTTTAGAATCCTCGTCCCAGTACTTTATGATATTGAAGCCGTGACATGATATCGATGGGATTGCGTCCAGCCCCGGATGATTTTAGTTGATAGACATGAGATTTTGAGATTTGCTATTTTAGAATGTTACGACGACTTGAACAAGTGAGGCTATCACCGGTGCAGGCTCGCACTGCAAGTATGTCAACTGATTGTTGACTTGTACCTGGCATAACAACACCTTCACAGCGTCTTGCTGTGTCCACTTTTGAAAACCTCTTTCAACTAACGGTGTTGCGATTGTCAGTTCTTCTATTCTGTTGCTCACTCGATTGCGTGCTGTACCACCCACACCGCTTCAAACCAGTGCCTGTACAAGGAGACCCCTGCCAACGAAGATGATGAAGACTTCCAGTCCTCCCCCAGCACTGACATATGCCACGATATGATTAGCCATATGCCCACCCAGTCAGAGTACAGGTGTCACGACGAACTTTTGGATGGTCAACATAGACTGCACATCATTTGCGGCAGTGAACAATAGTACTACGGTTACCAGTACATCAGTTTCATGTGCAAATAAATTTACCTTCTTCGGTGCGAGTACGAAGGTGTCAATGATGCGATGGTCATCAAGGGACCCAGTCAATGCCTAAGCTTAGTACGCCGCTGTAACAGCACTCACCAGTGTCCTTTACTGCTGCCGAAGCCGCAGACGCGGATGTTATCCCGAGGCTCGCATATGCGCACGACTACAGCCTTGTGAGAGTGGTGTATCCTCATCAGGTTGACATCCCCCGTCAGGACGGTGCAGCACGTCGGTACGACAAGACCCTCGACAGCCGCTTCATCCCCGATTCATGTCCAGGCTCCACTTAGGCGCCTTTTTTTTTCTTCATTTTACATGCTATATGCGCCAGCTCCAACGCTGCGTATCCGATTTCGAGTGACCTGGAGACACCTATCACTAAATTCTAGCAGCACGTGCACTCACCTCTTAATGCCCCAGATACTAAATAGCCTTTTCATCCGCAACAGGCTTTGCAGACCTCACAATGGAATTGTAGACATCATACGCGGTATCTTCCATATCCTTTAAGGACGTATCAATGTCCGGGTATTTGAAAGAAAGATCCTAGAGCTCAGTAAGACAAGATCGGACTCCTGGTTGTGTTGTATGTCGTCGGTGCCGATAGGGCATGCGCACGGACACTATGGACCACCACTCGATGGGCCTTGGCCACGGCTGCTTGGATATCTACAGATTGGTCGATGTGTATTGCGGCAACAACTTGGAAAGTTAGACGTTTGACAACGATTCAATAATCAATTGGCGTGTGTGAACTTTGAAGTTGGCGTGAAGCAGTAGATTTTCTGGCTCGAAAGTTGGATTCTTGGCCGACGTTTTAGTTTGCAACGCAAATTTCTCTTCTTACGTCTCGAAAAGTCACAGTTTGGCGAAAGGCCTCGAAACAGGTCGATAAATCTGATGTTGTGTACATATCTACCTAAATCTGGTCGTTGTTCACTGGGATCGACGGCTTGCCTCATAAACGGGTTGGTCACCGTTCCTGGATCAAGTACTCGGCAAACGGGACAAGGTTAAGACAGGTGCTGCTATCTCTTTGCAACTGTAGTCGTGTAGGCTACTCCACAGCCTCGGGACAAACTCCAGCCTGCTGTGATCCTATATTTGGAGATCATCCATGTCCATTTCATCAGGCAGAAATTATACTGGGGAATCTATGTCGTTGCAGTGCTGTGGCAATATTACGCTTGATTATGACAATCATGCCTACAATTTCATGAACTCATCGGTTCACTGATGCGGCCTATTTCGGCACTCGCCACACTCGCGTCACATCTGGTTCTTCTGATGGCGATAAGGCTACATGGTTCGTGAGCCCAGCGCTTGGATCAGACCTCGCTAACGATGTCCTCGGACTCCACCAGTAATCTCACTCTCCTGTCAGCGAACTTTTAGTGCCATCTTTTGGGCATTTCTGTCGGTCACCTGGATGTGTTCTCGGTGAGCATATTCTCGCTGGTGACTTCTAAGCCTACGTTCAGGTCCATATGCCCATATGCCCGGGAGCCTCATGCCAATCATGAAATGGTTTCACCGGAGCTGGGGGGGAGATATCATACGACGCACTATACTGATGCACCAGTGCCAGGCCTGGAAAGAAATTCGAGCCTTCCTGTGAGGGCGTGTCTCGGGATCAGTATTGTACCTCCGAGTTACGATCGCGACGCTCGAGGAAAGCGCTGCACCATAAAGGAGATCTGCGTATTTTTCCTTTGGAAGAAAGGTTTTGCTGGACGGAGATAATTGGCTCATCCGGTCATCCTAATATCTCGATATTCTCGACGAACGTTATAATCTGCTCAAGAGTAAGTATGAGATCCGCCCGTGTAGCGCCGACAAGCTCCTGCGCCCTTTTCCGACTCATTCTTCCACTGCGGACTGTTTGATGTGTATTTCCCGTAAGGCAAGTCGTGTTTTGATACGTTGCGACCATAGACTGATGTTAGGTTATAGGCATGGGTGTGATCTTGATCGGTGCCCCTTGTCGGATTTAGCCGTGAGTGTCAGCAGCAAATGACCGCTCAAGAAGTCAATGTGTATGCGCTTTGCACAGGAGTGAAGATTGCTGTGATTGAGATGCCAGAACGGTACGGGTCAGGTTCAACATCGCATCCCGTACGTTTTACTGGTCCGTCCCACTCATCCCCTATAAATACTGGAAATTGACTTAAGCTTCCAAATCCACCTACAAATCAATGAACCGGCAGAACTTTCTGTTAGTGTTTACAATCTTCACCTCGACTCTCATATTCGCTCTTTGCTGGGCTTTCAACATTCAATTATGGCTTAAAAAATATGTCATTCTCAGTGACCACATCGCCAACTTCATCACGAAATATCCCACCGAACTCACCCTTATATCCACCGTGATTTCTACAATTCTATCGGTAACCACCACAGCGTAAGTTTAGATAGCTGGTGCATGTAGTGATTTCGCTGATATCTAAGTACATCATGATCGACATTGCAGTCTTTTCTCAATCGCTGTCAAGCATGCACTTCGCCATTATATCACTGGCACTCGCCGGCCAATATCACTAATCGAACTCCACACCGCGATAGCTCTCGCTAGACCTGCACCGCTTCTTCAATGGAACCACCGCAGATTATCTCTTGTTACGTTGGTCATCGTTGGTTTGATCGCTCTCCTTAATTCAAGGTTTGATTTGTTTTATCAGCGTCGCAGCTAACTGACGACCGTCACAGTTGGACGACATTGCTGTTGCCGACACGCCTTTCGTGGCCCGTGCCAATCCAGGGCAAAGATCTGGACCTCGCAAGCCCCGCCTTCGATGCGCAACTAGGTTTTGACATGAATGGCAACCAATGTAAGCGCTGTATATCGTCATTGCCTAGCCAGCCTTGATAAATCCATCATAGCAAGGACGACCACGTATTACATCAGCGACATTATGGTGTCCATGAGCGGGATGTCAGCCACATTTTCAGTCGTTGTAGGCGGAAATGACAGCGTCTTTGCCTTCAATGGTGTCGCATACAGCAAATCTACTGGTGCGCTCTGATGCGATGGGAACGTGCATCAGTAACTAATTATGTTTTCAGGTGGCATTGTTCCAGCGGTCGAAGAATTTGCAGGCACGTCATTGACCACTAGTAGTCTTGGTCTTCAGTACTACGGTGGAAAAGTCGCTCAGATCAATTCATCGATTGCCAATGACAAATATTCCGGGATTTCTAGAAGTTATAACGTGACACAACAGGGTCTTTCAGCGAACGTTACGTGCGGCCCACTCGACCAAAATGATTCCGAGTACCGGCTGAGGATTGATAATCGTACTATTGACGACGGGATTACGGTTTGGAATGGGACAGCAGATTGTCCTCTCGGCAGTAGGTCTGCTCGGCATACCCCGTATCGACGCAGCCTGATGCTTGCTTGTCAGGCGGTCACGGCTCCTGGGCGACTCAGACGATGGCAGGCGGTCCTGATGGCTTTCTCGCGATCGTTGTTTGTCCCTATCCGGGATTCGCGAACGTCTCCTTTGGCAAGTGACCACAACTTGGGCAGCGTCGACGTTGATCCTAACTTCTGCCTTAGACGTCTTCTTGCAGGGCAAAGGAGAATATAGCGACTTGAATACAACAATCTGCAATGTTTCCCCATACGTGGCCTCATTCGATGTGGCATACAGCAATGGAAACATCTCTATCGATCAGCCTCAGAACATCCAGCCATTTCAGAACAGCAGCACCAATGTTACGATGTTCATATTGGACATGGTCACTTGGTCCAGCCAGCTTTCTAACAATCCTTTAGCGGAGCTGCTGCAATTTGACGGAATAGGCACGATGCATGACACACTGGTCAGTAACTTTTGCTATGTCTAGTCAGGGTAGACCAACCTTTCTTACGGGTCCAACAGGAAGAATACTTCCGCGGTGTCGTAGAGTTTTCTGCCACAGTGAGTGAATCATCACGTCTTACCTATCCATTTCAAACTGGGGATGACGTGATGTAGTACCTTCGTTCTGCCTACTCTGCAGAAGGTGCGAACACCACGATGCTGGACTTGTACTCGGACGAGAGTGCTTTCAAATCCCTGAATGGAACCATGTTCGTGACGACCTACGGCTGGGAGAGCGGACGCCTCACATTCATCTATCTCCTTGGACTTTTCACTGTGATCTGGGTCATCACTGTTTCGGCCGCGGGGTACAGTCTGATTCAGGGACGTACTCACTCGGGTCCTCTATTTGATGTATCGAACCCGCTCCATCTCATCATGGCATCTTCTGGGGGAGGACTGGAAAGCCTTGCAGGGTTTGAAGATGACGGCGTTGAGAGTAATGAACTTGTACAAGTGCGCCTTCTAAACGACCATGATGAAGCCTACGATGTCGCAGAGGGGGGGAAGAAGTTCGCTCGGACTAGCGGTTCTAGGATGCGGTTCACGACTGAACTGGTCACAAAAGTAAAGATTCAGGCTACTGGACACATCGAATAGTATGATGCCTCTCAGAGTACTTGATAATGGTTGTATATCCAAAGGGGCAGTAAACGTAAATTTTGTAACACGAAGTCAAAGGGGTAATCCGAAAACGAGCTAAATATTTGACTGTTCCTAATAGAATCCTACTGGTCTTTCAGGAAGCATTGCTCTTAGGCAGGTCACTTGCTGTTATTGAATACTATGGCGTCTTTCATGAGAACTGGGTCGTGACTATATTATAATTTCAAAGTTGAGCATTTTGAATACCAGGTATGGACTGAGGAAATGTGATTGAGTGGTAGACCAATATACATCTGTAGTACAATTTCAGTGGTTGCGCAAGTTGTACACTTTTGTTCCATAGTATACACCCGCAGCACTGCTCGTTGCAGCGAGAACAATGGGCACCGGGCCCTTGGCAATGCGAGGAAGAGATGAGAGAAGAAGCAGTGCTGAGGCACCTAGAGGGACAAAGGTCAGTATACCTATAAGAATGCGAGGGTATTAAGGAAGGTGACATACCCAAAGCGCCCTCCAACCCATTTGGCGAGCCTTTCCTGATGGCATCTGCACTCCACAGGAACAAGAGACCAACGCTAGAGTAAATGAGTTGGAAAGAGCACGTTTGTCTGATGCTAGAGAACGACTCACCCAACACCAGCAACGAGTGAAGGCACCGAACGAGATTTTGCATACCCAGTGATGCCGCCGACGACGCAGAGACCGCCCATGGTGTATGCAGGGTAGGCAGACTGGGTAGACTTGAAGTAAGTGACGATCCTTTCATAACTAGGATAAAGCCTTACCATTGTGTAGGTGAATAGGTGATAGGACGAAATTGGATGGAGGTTGCAGTCGTCGTTCGCTTTACCTTCAACCGTGTGTGTGCCTGTGTAATTGCAACGTTTTACCCCGCATCTCACGTCAGCATCTCACGTCAGCCTTTCAGAGTCCGCGACACTTATCTTCATATTAGTGAAAAATAAATAATCATAATCATAATACCTTTCAGCACCATGGATGCTCAGCTCCTCGCACCGCTCACGCAACTTACCACTCTATCCCAATCACTCTTCCTTTCGTTATCTCAGCAGCCATCGCAAAAGCAAGTTCCCCCACCTCCCCTAAGCTCATTCGCAGCCGTCGATGCTGAGCTGCAAACCGCACTGACAACAGCCGCGGCACATCAGCGCCGACAGGCACGAATTGTCGCGTTACAACAGGAGCTATTGGAGGTGGACGCTCGATGGCGCGCTGTGTGTGATGCATTGGAAGAGGGGAGGAAAGTACTAGAGGAGATCGTGAGGGAGGGCGACGAGCGTGTTGAAAGCATAAGAAAGGCGAAGGAGGGTTCGTGGCTCATATTTTTGTTTTTCATTTATTTTTCTTGTTGACATTGAACTCGTGTACACATGAAGCCGCGATCCCTTATCCTGAACTGCTCGCATATGCACAAAGCTTGAGTGCCTTTACGAGCGCGCCGCCAGGCTTGACTATGCCTGAGCCAGGTGCCGTAGGTCCTGTGCCTTTGTTCTTCCCGCCATTCCCGAATGAGGAGAAGATGCGCCGTGGACGATTGAATGTGGAGCGTCCGTTGGGAGGGCTCGGGGAGAACCATAGCGTAAGAGGTGAGTGGTTTTCTATAGCGAGTTCATTCTACCGGCTGTGGGGCTTTGTGGTACACGTGCTTTTATGTTTGGTTTTAACCTTGGGTTGTGTGTTGGACCTTGTTCTCGCTCCCTTTGTTTTTATTTTCTGCGCATCTCATCACCTTCCCTGTACAATATTTTTCCGTGCCTTCAAATTAAATAAACACAAGCTAACCCATACGCAGCACCAGAGCCCTCTCCTCTACCTGTCCAGAAACGCGAGCGACCAGGCGTAAATCCTTACCGTCATGATACGCGCCCACAGCAGGCCGTGTTCGATCTCGATCTCGACCTCAATCCAGATCTATGACCTCGATTGTGCCATTGGAAGGTCTCTGCCGGTGAGCCATATCTTGGTCGCTCTGGTTTTTCTCTAACCTGGGAATTAGTAATGCGGTGCGCCGTTGGGGAGAAGACGAGGATTGGTTGAGGCGGTAGTCCCCTCACTACGGTACGACCACCAGACGTCGTCTCAATTGACAGACCGGAAAGCACGCTCTTTTGTGAGGCACAAGACTGCCAACGTATGTCCTCAACCTATGGATAGTTGCAGCATTTATAAAGACTGCTGAAAATACTATGCTCGTCATGCCCAAAGACAGACGCTATGCTGGCCATAGCGATTAATTGCTGACTTTTAACCATTACCAATACTTAGGTCACACATGTATATTGTCCGTGCAGCAAGTCTAGCTTGCTTCCCTGCCCCTCAATGATATCAAGTAATTAAGGCAATGCCAATAGCGTTTGTGAATCCCTCAGTCCTGCAAATGCATGAACAATTTCCGAAGGTGGCTACATGCAGGTGCAATACTTGAAGGGATGTCAGGACGAATAGCGTGGCACGATGCAGCATTCATGCTTACCGCAGGGTATGGCATAGTAAGGCATAGTAAGACATGCCATATGCGAATGAACATTATTCTTCCGTCTTTTTTGTCTTGCGAAAGGTTCCTAGTGCTACCGTCTTCGCCTCCATCAGGGAAGCTACCTTTGTACCTTCGATAGACATTTCCTCTAAGTCTTCTAGCGGTGCTGGGGCAGGCACAGGTGCAGACTTGGACCGTCTGACCATTTTGGCTAGCACCTCCGTTACACCACTAATACTTCGCCTCTTTCGGCGGCGCTCCTCCTCGGCCCGGATCTTAACCTCTTCAAACTGACGACCCCAAATGATGAGCTGGCGGCGAAAGCCAATATTGGGGCAAACTATTCCACGCTTCGCTTGGACATGCTCAATGGAATCTAAAGCACGCATCGGTGTCGTTGCAACGAGATAAGCGCAAATTAAGATAGGTGACCTCGAGATCCCCTGAAAACAGTGGACCTGCGAGAGGTGCCTCGGTTGGTTCCTACAAAGCCAGAACTTAGCAATCCAAGGCGTACCAGAACCTTCGTGTCTTCCTTATCCAACGCCTCCTTGATAAACTTCACGACAGGATCGAACCATTCACAAATCTGCACATCGGCTGAGTCGCGCACGGGAACGTGCAGGACCTGGACATGCCGGGGAAACACGTCCGTGATATCAAAATCGATAGCAGACACGATGTGCGTGATACCAAGGCGTGTGAGGTTGCCTGGTAAGCGGGCAGTGTATAAGTCGGTGAGATAGAGGCGGGGTGTTATGGCTGTTGCTGCGCGTCCGTGAGAAGGGTCGTTATCATTTCTTGGACGTCGGGAAGTTTTCTTTTGGATGAACGAGGATTGCCATGAGTTGGAAGGGAAGGATATCATTGTCTAGAATGGAGCTTAGGTGTGAACGAACCAGGGGTATATATTGATATAGTACTGCGATCGTGTGCAAATGATGAGGTTCTTCAATGGGAGCTGTTAATTATATAGGTCGACTTCCGGATCAACTGGATGCCCCGATGAACCAGACAGATGGAGGTTTCTCAGCCGCCGTAACTTACCAGCTCAGGTACCGGTATATCACACACGCCAAAAACAGCCCATGAACACAACTCTGTCACTCAAACAGGCAAACATAACACGGCGAAAGGGACTCTGCGACCTGGAGATACAGCGGCGTGTCTTGGCAGGTCTTATTTCACAGTACGGCATTATCCCCCGCATCTCGCAGCTGCGTAACTTAGCAACTCTGCCAGAAACCTCCAGCCGAATCGACGAGATATGTATGGAGTTCGCAGATAACTCACGATAATGCGATGCATGCAGTATGGTATTTCGATAACCTAAGCCATATATATGCAGTAGTCATGGTAGGTAATACACGGGATACCAAGCGTGTGGCATGTCTCTCTGGATTACCAGGGATGAAAGCGGGGAAGTTTACTAGCAGTTGAATCATGATGTAGTGGATGCTTTTTGCTCAGCCCGTGCTTTCCGCTGATGCGTAAATCAGTACCACATATCACGGGATTTGGAGCAGTCAACCCACCGATCCATTAAGAGCGTACAGCGCGTTCTTGCGGAACTACGTGTGCTTGAGCGCTCAGCTCATAGAGTGTAACACCTAGAAACATACCTTGGGATCAACCTGAGAAAAAAAGTAAGCCTCGGACAGACATTGAGTATATTGACAACATACCCCCTTCATTGAACGAGACCGGTTAGTTTGTGGCCTCCTGATGCCATTACGGTGTGCCTTGCTGTTCTGGTTGTGGTTGGTGTGGCTTTGAAAATTTCAGTTGAATATCTAAGATATCTGCGGAATGCCAAACACACTTCTTTGACTTGGCCATGGCGTCGACGTAGGCTTGAGGCTTAGACTCAATCGATTCAATATGTGAATGACGGTGGAATCAGGTATATTGAATGATGTGGCTGAAGAACTATCTAGTTGACCGTCCCACAGTTCGGCAAAGTCCGAAGCTCCCCAACACTCCATCCCTCATCAGATTAGATTATGATACATTGTTATACCAGTGGTTGGCATGGCTATAGATAATCTTGCGTGCCGTCTTTCCTGCATATTTAAAATGTGCATTCTAATTTCTAGGTGTCAGGTGAGTGACCTTGGGTAAACCTACTCCGTTCTTGCTCGGTTCTCGGCCGAATTTGATCGGCCGAGTATGTAGCATTGTTTTGCCCCAAGCCCAAACTTACTTTAAAGGCTGAACGGTTGATATGGCCATCTGCTGCATCATCTCATTCCCCCCACTTGTCCTATATACCTCTGATCGCCATCATGCCTGGTACGGTTGCTGGTCCCCGAACTCTTCACGATAAAATCTGGGACGATCATGTCATGTGGGGTTCCCCCTGTTCAGTATATCGGTCATGTGCTGATTGATAGACAGAGATGTGAACGAAGATGGCCTCGCCCTCATTTACATCGATCGGTACGTGAATGAGCTTTCTGCTGCGCCTTTGGTGTGAACTCACCGCGTCGCAGTCATCTTGTCCATGAGGTTACGAGCCCTCAGGCGTTTGAAGGCCTGTGAGCACATCTATCACGCTGATCGTCGTTACAATATGCTGATAGGCACTTAGGAAGAATGCTGGTAGGCCCGTTCGTCGGCCAGACTGCACTCTTGCCACTGTGGATCATAACATTCCGTTTGTTGAAAAATATGTCTTTGCTTGGCATAGGCTAATCTAGATGCAGCACTACTTCCCGGAAAAGCTACAAATCTGTAGATACGTTCGTCGCTGAGCCCGACTCGCGGGCGCAGGTCATGCAACTGGAAGAGAACGTCAAGGACTTTGGCTTGACTTATTTTGGACTCTCCGATAAGCGCCAAGGTTTGAATAAATGCAGCTTAGTGTGTACAAAAGCGAAATAACATCGATTCGCCTTTCCAGGTATCGTGCATATCATTGGTCCCGAGCAGGGCTTCACGGTAAGACTTCATATCTCTGGGATGACGGCATGGGGTTGATAAGATCCTATCAGTTGCCTGGCATTACTTGCGTGTGCGGTGACTCACATACCTCAAGTAAGTTTAATATCCTGCTCGTTCGGTCAGGTCGACGTTAATTTGGCCGCGACAGCACACGGCGCCTTTGGTTCCTTGGCGTTCGGTATTGGAACATCCGAGGTGGAACACGTCCTCGCTACTCAAACTCTCTTGCAGAGGAAAGGCAAAAATATGCGCATTACCGTTGAGGGCGAGCTCGCCGAAGGCGTCGGCTCGAAAGATGTCATTTTGCACATCATCGGTGTCATTGGGACTGCTGGTGGTACCGGAAGCGTTATTGAGTACGCTGGCTCGGTAATCCGTAGCATGAGCATGGAAGCTCGCATGAGTGTTTGCAACATGAGCATCGAAGCCGGTGCTCGTGCAGGCATGGTTGCACCCGATGAGATCACCTTTGCCTATTTACGGAAGCGTCCCCTTGCTCCCAAGGGCGAGGAATGGGACCGTGCAGTGGCATACTGGAGAACTCTCAAGAGCGACGAGGGCGCCAAGTTTGATGTTGAGGTTAACATTAATGCCGCTGATATCCCTCCTACCGTCACCTGGGGCAATTCCCCCCAGGACGTCGTTGCGATTACTGGCAAGGTCCCTGATCCATCCACCATGTCCGACCCTTCGAAACGTGCTTCCGCAGAGCGAGCCTTGGCTTATATGGGCCTGCAGGCAAACACGCCTATGGAGGAACTTTCCCTTCAGAAAGTCTTCATCGGGTCCTGCACCAACAGCCGTATAGAAGATCTTCGATCTGCCGCCCGGATCGTCCTCGCTGCCGGTCCCGATGCTAAGGTCGCCCCAAATGTACAAGCCATGGTCGTTCCTGGATCTGGTCTGATTAAACAGCACGCTGAGGCGGAAGGGTTGGACGCTATCTTCAAACGTGCAGGGTTTGACTGGCGTGAGGCTGGTTGCTCGATGTGCCTGGGTATGAATGCAGACCAGTTGGCCCCCGGTGAGCGGTGCGCCAGTACTAGCAACCGCAACTTCGAAGGCCGCCAGGGTGCTGGTGGTCGCACGCACCTCCTCAGCCCTGCTATGGCTGCGGCAGCAGCTATGACGGGTAAGCTGACGGATGTTCGCAAGTTCTTTGGTGCAGATGCGGAGGAAAAAGTTGCTGCTGGTCCTAAATTGAATCTCGCGAGTGCCTTCGACTTCTTGACCGAGTTTACTGGACCTGCGACTGAGCCCGAGCGCCCGTCGCATGCCCAGAGCGCATCCCCATCCTCTCTTCCGCCCGCTTCTTCTCCCTCTAGCGTTTCGAAGTTCACCATCGTAAAGGGCATTGCTGCGCCCTTGCATATCGACAATATTGACACGGACATGATCATCCCGAAGCAGTTCTTGAAAACCCTGAAGCGGACAGGTCTCGCCAACGCTTTGTTCTTCGCTCGGCGCTTCGACCCGAAAACAGGGGAGAAGACAGAATTCATTCTTAACAAGTCTCCTTACGATCAGGCCAAGATTCTCATCTGCACTGGCAAGAACTTTGGTTGCGGTAGCTCTCGCGAGCACGCACCTTGGGCTCTGTAAGCATCCTTTGCATTCGTGCATGTTACAAACGTGCTCACAAAGCCATTTAATAGGAATGACTTCGGAATCCGCTGTGTAATCGCACCAAGCTTCGCTGATATCTTCAGTAATAACACAATGCAAAATGGCATGCTTCCCTTGACCCTGTCTGTGGAGGACTGCAAGGCCCTCGCTGCAGACGCAGAGGCAGGCGTTGAGATTCAGGTGGATCTCGAGAAGCAGGAAGTTAGACGTGGTGGAAAGCCGGTTATCACCTTCAGTGTTGACCCGTTCAGGCGGCACTGTCTTGTCAACGGGTTGGACGATATCGGCTTGACGTTGCAGAGGGAGGAGATAATTAGTTCATTCGAGGAGAAACGCAGTGCTCTCTGGTCGTGGCTAGACGGATTCGGATACCAGGGTCAGAAGATTCCTGTTGCGGGCACAAAAACTGGCAAGAAGATGGAGTGGTAAAGTTGAACTTGTCGAGAAACATTGTACTACTACTAGGATTTACGAGTTTGAATCGAAGGCACGAATGTTTGTTCCAAATATTAGTTGAAACGCGTTGGCTTTGTCTCGATCATATTGCCTGGACTGCGTAGTCAGCCAATCAGGTTCGTTTACTCTTTCTTCTGAGATTAGTAATACAACATCAAGTCAATATCAAGTTGCAGAATTCGTCGTAAACTGTATCATTCAAACCACCATGTCGAAACATCACCCCGGTGCGTCTTCTCTCTTGGTATGCTAAAACAGAGGTTTGAACAAATTATATAGATTTGATTATGTGCAGGCGCCAGCCTGGCATTGGTGAGTACACCATCAACCAATCCGGCGGTGAAGTTGCTAATCTTATGAATCTTCCAGCTATTGGCAGATTGTGTGAGAAGTGTGATGGTAAATGGTGCGCCAAGCGATGCTATCTTTCGTGCCATCAACTAATATGGGAGCATTTAGTCCCGTCTGTGATTCATATGTCCGACCTGAAACGCTCGTCCGGATATGCGACGAGTGTAATTTTGGTACATATGGTGGAAGATGTATCATCTGTGGATCACCAGGTGTGTTACACTTCGCATACTCTTAGACCATGGACAAAATGCGCTTCCGTAGGTATATCCGATGCATACTACTGTGCAGAGTGCACGCGGTTAGAGAAGGACAGAGACGGATGTCCGAAGATCGTAAACTTGGGTGCCAGTAGGACAGATTTATTCTACGAGAGGCGTCGGTTAGGTGAGCATTACATGGTTGAAGCGCGTCCTATCGGCTGTTAACATAATCCTCGTCCCATCCAGGCTTTAAGAAGAGTTAGTCTTAATACACGGACTGCACTCTTCGTGCGACCTTGTCCCCATATAGCTCTGAAGTAGGAGTAGGGAGCACCAGCTTTAGCGCTCCAAGATGCATGTATTACATTACATGAAGATGCGGTCCAAGGTATGAAATTGTTTGGCTACACCGTGTGTAGAACATCAGGGATATATTGGCATACATCTAGCGGTACACCGGAAAGGTTATGGTTGGCGGGCTGTCGTCGGGGTTTCCTAGAATTGCGAATCGCCAACATCACCAGGTCATTGAATCATCTGTAAAAGCAGCAGGATTAAACATACCGGAAGTAAACCATGTCGACCTTTGTCACGTGTTAGTAGATGGGCAAGGCAGGACACGGAAAACGTACAGGAGCCTTGAATACGACAAATATGTGGGTCTCGTCGTGAGTGTCAAGAGACTCGCATTCTCCACAGAGGTCTTTCGCGCAATAGGCGCATCGGTACCATGCTCCTTGAATGCGCTCCATACAGCGATCGCAGAGCGCCGTAGAGTGAACTAAATGATAGAGATACTCTGCGAAGCTTCGATGTGAGTGAGCAAGATCACCAGCATGACCGACTACCCTTGTGGATCTGCGTTGGATGTGAGGCCACCAACATGACCTGCTGGAACTTTGTACCTACCAGCTTAATGTTACTGAAATCACACCAAACGACGACTGCAACCTTCATCCAACTTCGTCCTATCCGAGTCACCTATTCACCTACACAATGGTAAGGCCTTATCTTATTCCTACATCATTCACCTCAAGTCTGCCCAGTCTACCCATCCCGCATGGGCGGCCTCTGCGTCGTCGTCGGCATCGCTAGGTATGCAAAACCGGTGCCCTCACTCGTTGCTGGTGTTGGGCCGCGGCCCACTCAGTCTATACCTGATATCCAAAAATGCTCAACTTTCAAGTTTCCAATTCCGTGACCAAATTTTCGGTGAAAGACGCCATAGTATTCAATAACAGCAGGTGACCTGCCTAAGAAGCCTTGCTTCCTGAAAGATCAGTAAGATTCTGTTAGGAACGGTTAAGTATTTAGCTCGTTTTGAATCACCCCTTTGAGTTCAGAACTGTGGGTTCGTGAACAAAATTTACATTTGCTGCCCCTTTAGATCTGCGGTGACAAAAACCTGTATAAAGTTACTAGCACACACAATCATTATCAAGTACTCTGAGAGTCATCATACTATTCGACGTGTCCAGCAGCCTACTTAGAAATCTTTACTTTTGTGACCAGTTCAGTCGTGAACCGCATCTTAGAACCGCTAGCCCGAGCGAACTTCTTCCCCCCCTCTGCAACGTCGTAATCTTCATCGTGGTCGTTTAGAAGGAGCACTTGTACAAGTTCATTACTCTCAACGCCGTCATCTTCAAACCCTGCAAGGCTTTCCAGTCCTCCCCCAGAAGATGCCATGATGAGATGGACTGGGTTCGATAAATCAAATAGAGGACCCGAGTGAGTACGTCCCTGAATCAGACTGTACCCCGCGGCCGAAACAGTGATGACCCAGATGACGGTGAAAAGTCCAAGGAGATAGATGAATGTGAGGCGTCCGCTCTCCCAGCCGTAGGTCGTCACGAACATGGTTCCATTCAGGGATTTGAAAGCACTCTCGTCCGAGTACAAGTCCAGCATCGTGGTGTTCGCACCTTCTGCAGAGTAGGCAGAACGAAGGTACTACAGCACGTTATCCCCCGTTGAAAAGGATAGGTAAGATGTGGTGATTCACTCACTGTGGCAGAAAACTCTACGACACCGCGGAAGTATTCTTCCTGTTGGACCCGTAAGAAAGGTTGGTCTACCCTGACTAGACATAGCAAAAGTTACTGACCAGTGTGTCATGCATCGTGTCTATTCCGTCAAATTGCAGCAGCTCCGCTAAAGGATTGTTAGAAAGCTGGCTGGACCAAGTCACCATGTCCAATATGAACATCGTGACATTGGTGCTGCTGTTCTGAAATGACTGGATGTTCTGAGGCTGATCGATAGAGATGTTTCCGTTGCTGTATGCCACATCGAATGAGGCCACGTATGGGGAAACCTTGCAGATTGTTGTATTCAAGTCGCTATATTCTCCTTTTCCCTGCAAGAAGACGTCTGATGTAGAAGTTAGGATCAACGTCGACGCTGCCCAAGTTGTGGTCACTTGCCAAAGGAGACGTTCGCGAATCCCGGATAGGGACAAACAACGATCGCGAGAAAGCCATCAGGACCGCCTGCCGTCGTCTGAGTCGCCCAGGAGCCGTGACCACCTGACAAGTAAGCATCAGGCTGCGTCGATACGGGGTACGCCGAGCAGACCTACTGCCGAGAGGACAATCTGCTGTCCCATTCCAAACCGTAATCCCGTCGTCAATAGTACGATTATCAATCTTCAGCCGGTACTCGGAATCATTTTGGTCGAGTGGGCCGCACGTAACGTTCGCTGAAAGACCCTGTTGTGTCACGTTATAACTTCTAGAAATCCCGGAATATTTGTCATTGGCAATCGATGAATTGATCTGAGCGACTTTTCCACCGTAGTACTGAAGACCAAGACTACTAGTGGTCAATGACGTGCCTGCAAATTCTTCGACCGCTGGAACAATGCCACCTGAAAACATAGTTAGTTACTGATGCACGTTCCCATCGCATCAGAGCGCACCAGTAGATTTGCTGTATGCGACACCATTGAAGGCAAAGACGCTGTCATTTCCGCCTACAACGACTGAAAGTGTGGCTGACATCCCGCTCATGGACACCATAATGTCGCTGATGTAATACGTGGTCGTCCTTGCTATGATGGATTTATCAAGGCTGGCTAGGCAATGACGATATACAGCGCTTACATTGGTTGCCATTCATGTCAAAACCTAGTTGCGCATCGAAGGCGGGGCTTGCGAGGTCCAGATCTTTGCCCTGGATTGGTACAGGCCACGAAAGGCGTGTCGGCAACAGCAATGTCGTCCAACTGTGACGATCGTCAGTTAGCTGCGACGCTGATAAAACAAATCAAACCTTGAATTAAGGAGCGCGATCAAACCAACGATGACCAACGTAACAAGAGATAGTTTGCGGTGGTTCCATTGAAGAAGCGGTTCAGGTCTAACGAGAGCTATCGCGGTGTGGAGTTCGATTAGTGATATTGGCCGGCGAGTGCCAGTGATATAATGGCGAAGTGCATGCTTGACAGCGATTGAGAAAAGACTGCAATGTCGATCATGATGTACTTAGATATCAGCGAAATTACTACAGTGCACCAGCTATCCAAACTTACGCTGTGGTGGTTACCGACTAGAATCGTAGAAATCACGGTGGATATAAGGGTGAGTTCGGTGGGATATTTCGTGATGAGGTTGGCGATGTGGTCACTGAGAATGACATATTTTTTAAGCCATAATTGAATGTTGAAAGCCCAGCAAAGAGCGAATATGAGAGTCGAGGTGAAGATTGTAAACACTAACAGAAAGTTCTGCCGGTTCATTTGCAGGTGGATTTAGAAGCTTAAGTCAATTTCCAGTATTTATAGGGCACGAGTGGGACAGACCAGTAAAACATACGGGATGCGATATTGAATCTGACCTGTAACGTTCTGGCATCTCAATCACAGCAATTTCCAAATTGCAAACAATAGCACACACTCCTGTGCAAAGAGCATATACCTTGACTTCTTGAGCGCCCATTTGCTGCTCACACTCACCGCTAAATGCAACAAGAGGCACCGATCAAGATCACACACATCCCTATAACCTGACGCCTATTTAACATCAGTCTATGGTCGCAACGTGTCAAAACACGACTTGCCTTAAAAATACACGTATCAGAAAGTCTGCAGTCGAAGAATGTGTTGGAAAAGGGCGCAGGAGCTTGTCGGCGCTACGTGGGTGAATCTCATACTTACTCCTGAGAATATTATAGCGCTTGTCGAGAATGTTGGGATATCAGCATGACCGGATGAGCCAATTGTCTCCGTCTAACAAAACATTTCTTCCAAATGAAAAATACGCAGATCCTTTATGTTGCAGCGCGTTCCTGGAACGTCGCGGTCGCAACCCGGAGTTACGATATACTCGGAGTTACGATACTGATCCCAAGGTCACTCACCCACACTGGAAGGCTCAAACTTCTTTCCAGGCCCAGCACTGGTGCATCAGTATAGTGCGTCGTATGGTGCCTCCCCCACAGCTCCGGTGAAACCATTTCATGGTTGGCATGAGGCTCTTGGGCATATGGACCTGAACGTGGGCTTAGAAGTCTCCAGCGGGGATATGCTCATCGAGAACACATCCAGGTGAGTTGTGACCGACGGAAATGCCCCAAAGATGGCGCTAAAAGTACTGGTGAAGTCCGAGGATATCGTTAGCGAGGTCTGATCCAAGTGCTGGGCTAACAAACCAAGTGACCTTATTGCTATCAGATGAACCAGATACGATGTGAGTGCCGAGACAGGCCGCATCAATGAACCGACAAGTCCTTGAAATTGTGGGCATGGCTGTCGTAATCAAGCCACAGCACTGCGATGAATGCAGGGGCAGTACGCTAGATATGATCAGTTGTAGGTTACGATGATCCACCGTACACTCACGTCAGATGCACGTCACGACAGACGAGTTGTGCCGAAATGAAGCAAATGATAAGAATACCAATTGTTGACACCCTGCAGTGGTCTGGCTGCAGGGGACAATAGACATGGATGGTCTCCAAATATAGGAGCACACGTTTGTCCCAGTGTTTGAAGCGCCAATCCATGTTGGCGGGTGTATCCGGTGGTGGCAGCCGCCACCGTCATGATGGCTAGTTGCCAAATATATCTAATTTTCGCATCTACTACTCCATGCAATGAATTGTACATCAGCAAACCAGTGGCCGGGAAAGACTGGGTGAAATTTCGCATTAAGACTAGGATTTGGATTAAGGTATGGTAGACTGGGAAAATTCCTGATAAAATCAAAGTTGTAGTCCTTGTCTATCCATGGTCTCGTGACTTCAATAGAATAAGATCTTAGTAAGATATAAGCGAAATACTTGGTCTAAGTTCAGGCACCAATAATAAGTAATGGGAATTTTCGCATTTAGACTATTATAAGGGACCGTACTGGACAAATTGTTTTTTTTTTCGCTTTTGGCTTTGTGAAACTTGACAAGCTTGAGCTTAGATGTTGGAATGTCTTCCGCGTTACTATGATGTTTTGATTTTGATTTTGATTTTGATGTGTTGAGCTTGACTTTGATGTTGAGCTTGACCCTCGGCAAGTGCCGGCAGAAAGTCCAGCATCCACATCGCCGGCACACTCAATAACTATGTCACCACGCACGTTCCCCGCATCCACCCAACGCCAAGCTCAAACAACACTGTGCGCTCACCCCCAGAACGCACGGACAACTGCCGGCACGATGGTTGGTGAGTTTTTTTGTTCGTTTTGTTGTCTTTCTTGTCCGTCGGCGGCGCAAGTGCTCCGTGCTCCAACGACGACGAGATCGAATAATTTTCCACCTTGACATAAGGAGATATGTAGTTGCTCCATCACAGGCGTGACTCCGAGTGAGCTTGTCCAGCTAGTTAGTGATGATGGTTAAGTTACTACTTGTGTGGTAGTACATAGTACAATTAAGATCATCGTCCGCGTGACTTCCACCTAGTCTTCACGTGGCGAACCCCTAGCATTCCCAGGTGACCGACGCCAGACCACTCAGTGAAATATACAAGATCTGCTGGTATGATATTAATACGTGTGGGTGAATGGGAATATATATGTAGTAATCCTCAGCCTAGTAAAGTCCATCTTACATCACACCGTCTACCCGTCTACCGTGCCATAATCGCCTGTGTCTTAATCCCTGCCTCATCTACGGCCTGCTGGAATGCAATCAAATGCTCCTCTGCAACCCTCCTACCATCAAGATCTCCTCCTTCCTGCTCCCACCGTTCAATGCGTCCACGACTGCGCTCCGCACCTTCCCACTCCCCGCGCAACCCACCAAAGCGGTTCTTCAGCGCGCGGATTCGCCGGCCCGAATCTGCTGTAGCAGCTCCATTCACCTGTGCCTGCTCTGATATCGTCGTGAGCGATGAAAGCAGCGCCGCCGTATGTGTTCGGAGCTGCACCAGATGCGGCAGAGGCGCAGCAGCATTGGATGGTTGGGGTGCAGTGAAGGAGGGCTTTTGGGGCGACGAAGGTAGGGATGGTGCATAAGACGATTCGAGCTCGTCTTCCTCAGCGACGGCATCTAGCTTCGTCGGCGCAGGTTCGCTCTCGCCCTCGTCTATGTCATCCAGTTCACAAAGAACGTCATTCCCGCCAACCTCGGTCGAAATCCGGCGGAATTCGCGCTCATATGCAATAAGCTCGCGTACCTGACTTTCGCGTTCTTTCGTGGCCTCGTTAATCGCACGGATCATGTCCGACGCAAGTCTTTCCAGGACGTGTGCGCTTGGTGCAGCGTCCGAGGTATGTACGGGGGATAGAGTCGGTAGGGCATCAACGGCGCGTAAATGGGCGAGGAATTGATCCGTCGAGGCGAGATTTTGCGCAAGGATCTCCATGGCGTCTTGTTCTTGTCTCCTTGGGAAATGTGAGTCATTGTCATAGTCCCCATCTAGACCTTCTTCAACATTTTCATCAGCGTCCTCATCAGTGCCTCCACTTCCACCCAGCTCATCCGCCAAACTCGAGCCCCCCATCTCATCTGCTAAGCTACTTCCAATCTCATCTGCCAGACTGTCTCCTGACGCGTGCACTTCCCGTTCTTCATCTCCATGCACGCGATCATCATCATCAATTCCTTCCGCACCTTCGTCGTATTCAATCCCAAACTCTTCTGCAAGCATTCGCGACCCGCTTCCGGGCTCAGGCATTAGCGCAACCGCGAGTTCATGAGCCAGAGAGTGTGCGCCATTTGGCATGGTCTGATCCATGGATGAGAGCGGTTCGGAAGTCCGCGATGGCTTACGCGGCGAGGAAGACTGGTGTCTAGCGTGCGACATGATGATGCTCGTGGGGAGATTGATTGGATGGTTTAGATGCCAAAGTGGATGTATGGTATAATGTTGCAGCGCCTATAAACGCGTGTTATTGCGATGGTATCTGGGTATGTTGAACGAGCGAAGTGATGTCTACGCAGTACTTGTCTATTGCAAGTTGCTGTCTGTATAGGATAACCTAGAAGTCGATTCAGTGGTAGTGGTTCAGAGTGAAAGAACGGAGAAGACCACGGCTTACTAATCCATTGTAGTACCTTCTCGTTAGTTTTCTCAATCATCTACTACGATACCATCCTGTCCATACTTTGCCTGTCCATACTCATCAGTACTCACCGAGTGTCCTTTCTTTCTAACTGAAACACATCCAAGTGACCGATCCCCGTACCCTATACTCTATTCACGCCTGAGCTTTCTTTTTTTCCTCCAACCTTCAATTTTATTCATCTATTTATCTCACTCACGCCACCAATGGCTGGTTACTTCTCGAATCACTCGCAGTTCCAGAGTCGTTTCGCAACTGCAGCGTCTAGCACTACGACAACCACGACAACCACAGCTACTACCACACCCGCCATCTCAGTAGAGACGCGCCCGCGCCCCCCCACAAGCAGGCACTTTTCCACTTCCGTTATACACCTGCCACACGAGGACCGCGACCGGGGTGCCGATGTTCCTGCGCCGCTATCCGTTCACCCTCTCCGGAATACGTATGTTCGTGGCTTCCTTCTCATTCTCACCCGTGACTAACGCGTATTTCACTAGCTGGGTATTCTGGTTCCGACAACAGCGCGCTCCGGGAAATAAAATAACTAATTATGAGGAAGGCATCAAAAAAATCGCCTCCTTCTCCAGCGTTGAATCTTTCTGGGCACTTCAAACTCACCTCTCAGCCCCCTCTGCACTCGTGCCCACTACAGATTATCTCCTGTTCCATACAGGAGTTCGCAGGCCCGTGTGGGAAGACCCCCTGAATCGTGCTGGTGGGAAGTGGATTGTGCGATTGCGCAAGGGAGTAGCAGACAGGGTGTGGGAAGACCTCGTGATGGGCGTTGTCGGTGACATGTTTGATGAATGTGGTACACAGGGGGAAGGGGAGGAAGGAGTGTGGCCAGAAATTTGTGGTTGTACCATCAGCGTGCGTCAGAGTGAGGATATTGTGAGCTTATGGAATCGCGTCGACGGGGACGCTAAGGTGCGAGAGAAGATTCGGTGCGTCTCTCGCATTTTTTCGCGATCTTTAACGGTCTGATTCTTGTGGTAGGGATACCTTGCGCGTTGTGCTCAACCTACCTCCATCGACCGTCATGGAGTATAAATCTAATAACGGTATGTTCCCTCCATCCCTTCACGATCCATTTTACTGACGCAACGACAGACTCCATGCAAGACAAATCCTCCTTCCGCAATTCCGCGATTGAGAGGATGCCCATCACCGCTGCCGTATCGTGACACCCTCTTATTCGCGTCATGGCACGAACTTTGATCGTTTTATCCTGTGTTTTCGGTACACCTGCAACATCACACGAATGTAATACATTCTTGGTATCCTGATTTTCTTATCAGCATACAAGGAAATAATCGAATATAAAACTGTAGCTCGAATGTTTGAATTGTAGCAGAGGACGAATATCGATTTTTCTGTGGTACTGTACCTGACAAGGACCTGAACGCAGATAAATCATAATTCACTGATTTTACTTCCCATATCAGACTGAGGAGAGAAGTTCGTGCACTCATAGATTACTCTCGTTTCGCACTATGGGCCCTTTGCCCCATTCCTAACCATTGCATTTGACCAGCATCACGAGAGGGAGCATTGATAAGTTGTATTTTTCGAGAGCAGGTGTCACGAAACTCCGCGGCGTTGCTAATTTTGGAACCTCAGTTCAATCGATGCATCGATATGCATCGTTGATGTATTGATCCTAGCGGAACTACGGGCCTCAGCTTGACCAGCCAAATACCACTATGTCACTTCCCCACAAGAATGAGGAGTACGGTACCGAAGTATACTGGTGAGTGAGGTGTCTGCTTCCGAAACCAGTTCACCAAGCAAAGTATCAAGGGATAAAAGATATGAGCAGTATGTCTTCATCGGCTCTCTTAATGAGTGGTGAGATACCGTACATGATTAGAGAAGCAGAGGATGCCTCTTTCGACTGGTTCAAGACCTATGCGGATGTTGCGGATGACATCCGCAAGCTCATTCCTACCAGAGATGCACGCATCCTAATGCTCGGTTGTGGAAATTCAAAGTTTTCGGAGGATGTGGGTCTTTCCTGTCACAAACGGCGCGCAATCCCGCGACTAACACCGTCGAGCAGATGTGGGAAGATGGGTACAAAAATATTGTCAATGTTGATGTATGTTTCCTGCCTTCATGCAAGTCTTGGTCTTGATTTACTTACCTCTTTTTCCCAAAGTATTCACCTGTTGTGATCGATAAAATGCGCAACCGGCACAAAGATTTACGCCCGGAGATGACATGTAACGATTTCCACAGATAATACTTGGAAACGGATCTTAAATCTCTAATAGGGGAAGTGAAGGACGTTCGGACTCTAGACGGTCTAGATAACTCATCCTTTGATGTCGCCATCGACAAAGGTACATCACGAATTTCAATTACTATCATCCGAAATCTCACGCAGCCCCAGGGACGATGGACGCAATGATGACGTCTTCCACAGATGTCTGGGTATGTCCTAATCGCGCGATAACAATATATCATGTACTGACGATCCTGTTGTTCTCACAGGATCCACCGGAGCAAGTGATTAAAGACTGCACAGCAGAGGTATCTCAGGTATTACGGTTAGTCGCTCCGGATTTTCATACCTTCTGGCCTCATGGGGACTGGCAGCGTACTTAAGCGAGATGGCATCTTCATCTACATCACCTTCGGACAACCGCACTTCCGAAGACGATTTCTCACTGGTGCACATATATCGCGCAAGACTTCACTTGAGATCAACCAACTGGGAGAATCTTTCCATTACTATATGTATACCCTGCGGATGCTATGACGGCTCTTGACCAGATTACACAATATTGGTCCTCTGAATTATGTTCCAAGCTTGTGACGCTCAGATACCCCTGTGAATGTATGAAATAAACACCTTGCGAAGCGAGATCTTGAATTGCGTGGACCTTCTTTGCAAGGCATCCGGTCCATGACTTGTTTTTCGTGAATCCGTGCTTGAACAGTGTGTGGAGAATCTCCTAGTTAACAATATACAAAGCCTCCGTAAGTTTGTATTACAACGAATCAGTGCTTGAATGGTGAACTTAGGTTCGGCAATAGCATATTCAAACAGCGTGTACTTTTAGTGAGTGGTATGAAGTCGTCATGACATACAGATGAAAGGAAAAGTTGGGATTTCTCGATAACGGGATATATACACCTGGAATTGACCTTGCATTGTAAGGTGCTGTACTAAGCAAGTGATAAGACCACGAAGTGCCAGCAAAGCACTACGCGTCAGGAGAACCATGTCGAATTAGGAAATTTGAACCCCTAACTAGCCCTCAGATATTAATAAGGTGAACCTCATGGCACAACATACTCCGCCCGGACACGCACACGAGGACGCTGATATCAATCTGTGATGCCTACAGTCCAACATCATGAGCAATTTTACTTTACCTTGGTCACCTTTCTGGTAAGTCATTATCAGGCCTCCATGCACCATCCTGATCTCACTCTGTCTTCGCTAGGTCGAGGACTGCTTGTTCAGAGTGCCCCGCAACACGCTAGAGTCGCAGTCAGACGTCTTTCGCGATTTGTTTCTACTGCCTGTTAAAGCCGATGAAGCTGAGGGACGCTCAGATACAAACCCCATTGTTCTCGAGGGCATTCAACAAGAAGAATTCCAGTCTCTGATGAAAGTTTTATATCCACTGTGAGCCACTCCATTCCACTCTTTGTGATTCCGAACCTGATTATGCTTTGATTTCGACAGGCCGTTCACCCGCTTATCATCTCCAGACGGACTTCCAGCGACCCTTGAGGAGTGGACGGGTGTACTGAAGCTATCCAAAATGTGGGGTTTCACCCGCATACAAGAATTCGCCATTCAACAGATGGAGCCAATACTTGCCACGAGACCCCTAGACAAAGTTGCTCTTGCTCAGGATTATGGGGTTACAAGATGGCTCATACCGGGTCTGCTACAACTGGCAAGGAGAGCAGAGCCCGTTGGACAGGATGATGTACGGAAACTTGGACTTGATACTGCGTTAAAATTGGCCGAGGTTCGGGAGAGCATACAGACCACCATGCCAACCTGGGCTGGACGATATTACATTAATACCACTGAACGTTCAGTTGACGCGCCCATCATAACCGCAACTGCTCCTCGAGGTGCTACTTCATGCGATTTTACCAATCGAATCCGTCAAGTATTTAATCTGCAAGCGTGATTTCATACTCCATTCCCATGCTTTCTATATGATAGTGTTGCTTTAGGTAACATATGATAGCCTGATGTTATCATGTAGTAGTACAATTACTCGCGAATATGGTGAATGCTATATTGTCGTAATCGTAGCACAGTACGACACGGGGCCTAGTCTAGGAGGAAGTGGTTCGAATTGCCCCAAGAGTCTAGTGCGTGAGTAAGAGCGATTCATCGTGAGTTGATTAGAACATTAATATCCCATGCACGGACTCCACAGAGCTCTACAGCCAATTAGACGTGGCAACACATCAGTCATTTGACAATCGTCGAGGGCTGGAGTGTAGCGGATAATCGGCCGAAGTGTTTTGGTTAAGACCATCGTCATTGATAGTGGACGCTCTCGAACCATCCTCTCCGCTGCTCTCTCATATTGATGTCTCTTTTGCGGATGAGACGGACTGCTAAACGCAAGACTTAAATTCAGGCATATCAGGGAGTCAGTCATCTACCGAGGATATCCTGCGCTGTGCTTCTCGACATGACTGTAAGATGTGAAGTATCAGTAACCAAGCGAAATGCTCACCAACATTCTGCCGAAAATGCAAGGGTGACGAGAGTTTTATGTCGCCTGAGCTTCGCTATACTCTCCATTGATGTACTTCTCATTCGTGTCGTCGCACTCACGCAGCGGCCCATCGTCTGCCGAGAGCCAAGACCGCCCCGGACAGCAAGAAGTCCATATAAAACCTCTGACACTCGCAATCTGCTTGTCTTAGCGAGAAGACATTGCGATAGGGCTTCAATAGCTAGGGCGCAGTCTGTGCAACCTGCAACACTGTCAACACAGATGTAAGCGACCATGAAGAGAGATAGACACTCGTCGATGATGCTGTAGTTGGTGCCAATATCATATGTACGTGGACCCCTGTAGAGCATGTTAGCTGCAGCCCCACAAAAGTTACCTAGGTTCTTAATCTTTCTCTGAAGTATGTGCAACCCAAGAGGGCTCCAACTGTTCAAGCGAAATTCATCAAAAACGCGCATCAAAATAGCACCTTCACATTTTCATAAAACCCAACCATCGGATTCTCCCCATTCCTCAACCTCGTCTTTCCAAGATCTGCATATGTCTCCAAAAATTCGGCATGGCTGAATACACTGCTCTTCCGCTCACCAACAGGAAGCCCACTCGCAGACGTCACGCCATCCAAAGGTGAGCGGCGAGCACGGGACGAGAAGTAATCGGCCCCAAGCGTAAGCGGAGACGTGCTCGCTGCCAATGGTGATAATCTTGCATACAGGAGCTCGTCCTGTTCGTCCGCGTCAGGTCCCGCCTGTGACAACAGGAACTCGTACATCTCGCGAAGAGCGGCAAAATCCGTCGGGAACATGATGTCGAACCAGCCTTGCTGCACGAAAATACTCCCACATGGAATCATTGTTGCGCCTACGCGCGTTTGTACCACAGGGGCGTTCAAGCCCGGCACCGCATCCGGTAGCGACTGAAAAGTCTGACAGCAATAGTCGGTGACGAGGAAAGTGCGTACGTAGTATCTTCCAGTAGGCTCAGGAGCCTCGTCGGAATGTAATTGGGTGGTGAGAGGTTCGGTGCGAATGGCAACGATGCGTATAACCTCCGCAAAGATGGCGAACGCAGGAAACGTGGGAGTGGTGCAGGCAGTGCCAGCCGCCGACGCAACGCGAGATAGGATGCGATGAGCGGATCACTGATCTTCATGTAGAACGGTACGAACTCGCCCACTTCGTCCACGGCCACGACCCCCTGGTATGCCTCTAGGGTCTTCAGATCATACCGTACCACATCATGGGCAAAATTGATCCACCTACCTTCCGCTGCTACCACGTAACAGGGCGCGTTTTCCTTGCGCTCCCACCGGAAAACGCTCCGGTTCACCACGTCCACCACCTGGCCATGACCTCGTTGATGTAGACGATGTCCGCTGCGCCCGTGCTAGCTTTCTCGCTAATCTCAATGATTGTATACTGCGTCCGGTCATATACCTCTGGGTACTGCGTCTTTAAGAAATCCAGGACATTCAGCGCCAGCGTGCCATTTCCGGCTCCGAGCTCGTAGATCTTGAAGTCTTCGTAAGGGAAATATTTGAGCAAGTACTCAGACACCAAGCATTGAAGCTATCGCCTGCCCATACCATGGCTGCAGCACATGTTAGTTACCTGTACCAATGACATGAAATGGAGCGCCCACCTTGAACAGCTCCGTCGGAGTGTGCCATAGTTGCCTCCCGGGACCGTCCTCCTCTCCATTGCCATATTCCTTGTACCTCTTCGCAACGTCAACTTCAAACTCGGCACTGTCTCTATACTTGTTGAAATCAAAACCTCCCTCTACGCCACCGCAGTGCGGAGGTGCAGTGAAGATCGTCGCGCGCTTGCTGAAATAGCCGTAATGCGGGTTGTACAACGAATCCTCGATGAAATCTCGGACAAGCATCCGTACTCTTGTTGGCGGTTTACGATGAGACTCGAGGTCACGAGACGAAAGCATCGGGTATGTGAGGTGTTTTGAGTCGACAGTGGTGGAGAAAGAAATGTCTGGATTATAGTTAATTTTGTCATTGTGTTTCGGAGGCGGCTTGTCGCTCGCTGTCAACGCCGTCGAAGAGAAGTAGACATTGAGGCGAGTTTGTCGTGGACAGCGTCTGCGATTCGTACATGAAAGTACGCTGCGAAGCATTTGTTGGTCAAAATTCGGTGAACTTTGGCTTGCAATGAGACTCAGAGACACGTTCTAATACGTACATGCGCTGATGTTGAGTTGTTGCCTTCTACGCATCACGTTGATACTTCTATCGAATCCAATTTAAATCTAATCTCCCTCAACTGCAACTACCGTTGACTTCCGGTATCAGCTGGAACCACAGTTCAACGGAAATGGCTACAGCGGAACGCTTGGTTCGCTCCTGGATGGCATCAGAGAAGGACTCCGAGATCGACGAGACCGTTGCTGGTAGGCCTTTCGTTCCAAAGCGATATCAACTCTCAAACACAGTTCTTCAGGAATATCGAGTGGACAGTTAACGTTGTTAGACATTATAAGGGTTCTCGGTGAATTCTTGACATCAGAGGAGGATCGCTTACGGACGAAAGGTGAACCTGTCGGTCACTTGTTAGTGTTCTGCCCCTCAATCCTTGCAGGTGTCGAGTTCCTCTCGTCTGTTCTGGGACGATGTCCACATGAAAGACTCAATCGCCAGGCTAGTAAGTAAAAGTGACATCTCAAGGATGAAATATACTCAATCTCCTTACCAGTCCGCGTGCTCACTACGTTTTATTGCAGCAAACTCGAAGATCTTGAGACCATCATCCCTGCACTCAAAGGTCTCTCTTACCTTGTCAAGTTTCCTAATATACAGTCGGCTGAGGTGAAGGATATCAGTCGACGCGTACGTACTTTAACCCTCGCACATCCCCATTGCTTTAAACAGCACCCAGTATATTCGCCAACGTCAAAATGAGAGCCCTCGTGCAGTCCACTCGCTTCTTCGTCTTCTCGATTGTCGACTCTCTGATATCAAACCATCGAGACGCCCTGAAGGAAATGGGAAGTACTTTCCTTGCTGGATACGTTAACCTTGCAGTTGGAGAGAAAGACCCTCGAAATCTCATGTTGGCATTTGCCATTGCTCGAGTCTTGCTTGTGGAATTCGATACTTATGCTCATACTGAGGTATGTTTCACTATGATGCCTTCTACTCCATTTTAAACCGTCGCACACAGGATTTCTTTGACATAACATTCTGCTACTTTCCTATCACTTTCCGACCACCACCAGACGATCCCTATGGCATCAGTGTAGATGATCTGAAGCAATCTCTTCGGTGCAATGAGATCTTAAATATCATGGCTTTAATCTGCTGATGTTACTGCAGACTTTGCTTGAGCGCAACCCCAACCTTCGGTCCACTTGGCATTCCAGTCTTTCTGGAAAAGCTCACTGCTGGATCACCTTCAACCAAGGTTACTCTTTGCCATCTCATGACATTCAAAAATTTAATATGCATGTGGCAGCGAGACACTCTACATGTAATGTCCATCTGTCTCCCGGTCTACGGACCTGCTGTGTCGCGTGAGTTTGGGAAGAAGGTGTGGAGCTCTCTGAAACTTGAAGTAAGATCCCAGTCCTTTGATTTTCGAGCATAGCCTTACCTGGGGTCAGATATTTCAACCGACTGATCCAGATACCGAACAATCAGCCCTTGATACACTTCAAGTCCTTGTCAGAACCATTCATGCCGATAACTCCCAAGACTCAGTAAGCGAGGACTCCATAACGGGCCTTGCGCGAGACATGTGCAACGAGTGCATGCAAGCGTTGAAGGAGCCCGAGAAAGCCCAAGCAAGAGCCGCGATGAAGGTTATATGTACTTTTGCAGGAGCCTGATGGTAAGCATGACGATACTATATGGTGGCGCAAGCTGGATCTCAACGGCTCTCTCATTGACCAGGACCGCTTTCCAGTCTTTCAGTCTCGCAAGCCGCTGAGCTTCTCATCAGAAATTTCCATGACCCAGATGAAGTGTCGAACCGGGCGTCGGTGGTCAGTGTTACTCACGGAGTTGAATCGACGCCTCCCGCGGTGATGCTACGCATGCATCCATACCTCGGTCTTCCAACCCATCATCTTCCCCACTCACTGCTTCGAAAGACGCCCTCCTTGGGCTCCTCATCGTTAGTCTGAAAGCACCTGCGACGTGCCTACCAGCACTGCATGGTCTGACCGCACTTGTGCGCACTCCTAAATTAGTAGCTGATGATGAGCTTGGGTACATAGTCCTCGAGGTAAGCGAGCTTTTAAGCAAGGAGCCTGACGAAGTAGAAGACGTAACGTATGAATGTTTTTTTCTCTCCATTCACGATGAACTACTAAGGCTCGTGGTTTCAGCACGGACATCCTCGCTCTCCTCACTGTTATCGCTGGTATCGCGCCGCACCATCTATCATCGCAGTCGCTCCCAATCCTTTTTTCCTCCCTCCCAGATGTTACACCATCTAGAGATGCCACCGCGCAGCGCGCATTTTACTGGCGTGCCCTTTCGGCTCTCAGTACCCTTTGTGTGCAACCGCAACTTTTTGAGACGCTGGTGGTCAGGCTCATCGCTAAACTTGACCTTCTCTGTGCAATCTCGCCTACTCGGACGATTGACCAGGAGAGTACAGCTGCGTATGCCCATGCTATTCTCACGGCACTCGCAAATACACTCGACGCCAAAGTCTCTTTAAAGGACCCAGATGTTCCCAAGTATGCTGACCAGCTATTGCCGCACATTTTCAAACTGTATTTGGAAGCTGCGCTAGCGAGCTCGGAAGTGATGGCTATCACTGCAGATCCCAGGTTGCTGCAAGTTGGGGCGAGGATCATCAGACTTGTGAGTCAGACCTTGAATGTTGCGTGAGTCATTGTCTTATCTCTGGGGCGACGGCGTTAATCGAGATGGCAGGCGGCAAGAAAAACTCATTGCGGCTGTGTTTGCCGCCTACACGCAAGGTGACGTGAAGCTGATCACTGACGGCCTCTTAAACTCGACGACACCGTTTGCACCTCTCCAAGTGGGTACAGCGCTTCGCAGTCCCCTCATATGTGCAACACTGATTCTTGTCGTAGTTGAATGCCAGTCCCCGACAACGGAATAGTTTCACTCTTTTCTCTTCTACCATTGTCCCACTATGCAAGGAGGTATGTCGCATTTTAACTCGATTTTTGGTACTTATGTGACAACGCTTCAAGGTCCGCATGCCTGTCGACAATCTATCCACTTTCCTCTCTGAACTGGTCGCAGTGGAGTGATAATCCATCTAGTACATCATTCCAACGAGATGCTGCATCACAGATTCTTGCGTCCATTGTTAACAAACATGTTGAGGGTATTTCATAGTATATTTTTCACGATAAAATTGGATTGATCACTTCTCTTCAGATGCATCCGACTTTCTATCGTCCCAGCTGGAGAGCTATTCATCATCAACGCTCAAAAACACAAGTATCCCAGCAGAAGAACGAAGAAACGCGATCAGCACCTGGATATCGGTGCTGGCCTTTTAGCTCGCATCCTATTTGTCGCTGATTAGCCACTCCAGATCACAAGGGCACTCCTTGTGCGCGCACATCCCACCGCAAATCCATTCATCGACCAGTTGTTCGAGCTTTTGGATGATAGCTCGGTCAATTGGGATGCAGCGCGAGCGCTTGGTTCGCTCGCATGCGAGGATTCCGTATTGACGAAGCGCAATGCTGCTGTTCTCAAGGTACGCAAAGGAAACCAAATGGATTCCGAAAAAAAATCACATCTTCCTAGATTCTACACGTGCAGAAGTACTTCAACGCAGTGATGCCGCGGTTACTAGAAGGAGCCAAGGGTATGTCAGGTGTCCATGCTTCACATAATCTGACTCATTTCCAATTGGTAAGGATCGGGAAGAGAGACTGCATATCTGGTTGCTTTGGCATACCTGATCAATGCTGTACCGAAGGCGGTCTACGTTACTCAGATGCCCTCAGTGAGTCGTCATTTTATTCGACTACAACATGTTAACGCTTACTAATGGTATTCCCCAGCTCATGCCTCTTCTACTACGCGGACTCGACCTCGCTGACCCATCTATTCGTTCGCACATTATTAACACACTGTCAAACAATATTGACATCACATCCACTGATAAGGACGCTGTCTCTACGTATGCATCGACTCTCGTGCTTGCAATGCTTAAAAACTGTATGCATTCCGAGATGCCGGATTCTGTGCGTTGTTCATGTGTTTATCCTTTCTGCTCCAATTGCTCAATCACCAAAGGGAGTACGCGCAGCAGCGCTCAAGTACCTGGCATTGCTGCCAGGCACAGTACGATATGATTTGCTGCATCCTTACAAGACTCGTGTATTGAAAGAGTTGGCAAAGACTTTGGATGACCCTAAGCGTGCGGTGAGGAAGGAGGCGGTTATCGCAAGGTATGGCACGATAACCTTTTCGGTCGTTTATCTATTGACCATGAATTCAACAGGACGAACTGGTCAGTTTCTATGTGAGCTAGTCCATATCCAGCGTCTGAACTAAACTATCCTGCCAGGTACAAATACAGCGGGTAGATACAATAACACTTTGTTAACCAGCACCTTGGTAAATGAGGGATCCATTGTTTCTATGGGCGATTTTCAGACTATCTGCTTACGACTCATGGTCAGAACAATGATTATACACCTATGAAGATCTACCCTACGAGGTGCACCAGATTCTAGGCAGGCTGTTTTGTCGTTACTAAAATCTGATTAGTACTACATGCTGCAGGCCGTTACTAACTACATAGTATGAAAGACGGTGAAGTTGAAGAACAATTGAATATGTGCAGCAAAATGGGTCTGCTACTTCTAAAGGTTGATTGTAGCAATGTATTGACCAAGGGCTGCCTCTGGTTCGTCCCAAAAAACGAAGTGGTTTCCTTCAGTCTGGAATTTAAACTTGACGTCTCTTGCCGTTTCGGCATCAGGCCCATAATTTGGTTTGGGGTCAGCCAAACACTTCCCTAGTTCATATAACGCCCACACTAACACACCAGGACTCGCTCCACCGCTCATGTACCTGACACGTAGGTTGGGGAGGAACCTCTGCGCCAAGGCCGTGTTGAATATCGCACGTCTTGTCACAGTCTTGCATACGTCTTGTTGAGTGTAGAGGATTAGTGTGTCGGAGCTGCCAAAAGTCTTGACAGACGTGAACTCTGCGAGCTCCTCTGAAGATAGCTCGTGCATGGCGTGAGTTTTTTCCGAGAATTTGTTGAACTCGAGGTCATCAATGTTTCCCGAAGTGACGCTCTTGTGTGCGAAGTACGCTGTCGCCCATTCGTAGAAAAGATTGAATCTGTATTTGACATCAGGTTCGAACTATAGGTCGATATTGTGGATTGGGGGATTAGGTATACCAAGAAACACTGAACCCACATCTATGGGACCATTCAACACCATCTAACGTGATGGATAATGAAATGTGCTCACCATGAGAAACCATGGTATGGAGGTACTTCCCGAGGTCAGAAAGGATATTAGATGGTAAGGCGTCGAGATAGGCCACAACAGCATGGGTGAGCAAAGCTCCTAAAGACCACCCGATAAGCGCGATTCCGCCGGTGGTACCCTGTGCCGGCGGAATGCTTTGCTGGCGGGCGAATGTGACAAGGAAAGTAGCAATCTCGATGGCTTGGCTGCGAAGGAAGCCCTCCTGTCCCTCCACCGTACCGGATATGAGACCAGCCAAGTCTGCATCACGGAAGTTAGTGGTGGGATCATAATCACGCCTGTATAGGCTGACTATGTGAAGACGGTGCGCAGCAGCCAGAGGGAAAAGCTTCTTGAAAACACCTGGATAACGACTAGATGTCAGCAGGGATTTAAGGTGCTATATGATGTAAATGCACCTCCATTGAAACCCATGCCATGGATAAAGACAAAAGTTGTATATGTATTTCCAGGGACAGCACCGCTGTCAAAGTAGTAGTAGGATACGTCGTCGTCAATAGTGAGACTCTCGAGTTGAGTTGAAGTGGACATCTTCGAGCTGGATGTGCACAGTGAATAGACATCCCTAGACACCCCCCTTATGAACTAGGGACAACCAATGATGAAACACGGCGATCAGATTGAGAGCCCTGCGGCACAAGAAGAAAGTTCCTTGAACCAGTCATGTCATGAAACAGTTCCGATGCATGTGAGCTGGTTTGTGCTAGTAGGCTAGGAGAACTTCTTCAAGTTGAATCTGAATTCCATGGTCCAGATTAGTAATTTCAAGTTTACCTTGTGTTTCAGCACGCTGTGCAAAGTTTAACCGGCTGTCATCATGACAAATTTGTCGACCAAACAATCGGAGACGCTAGAATCATGGAGGCAGCCGAGATATTTGTACCCCAGATCATCATACAACTAACTCAGAACTCGAGACAGATGCTTTCAGCATAAACCGGTCCCATGATCCTCATCAAAGTTCTTATCATAACGGGGTAAAAATATTCATCCATACATCTTCTGCCAGATCCTCTACTTACCAGATCTCCGAGGCAGATGGAGTAAGGAAGAATTTCTATCAAGCAGTCGCTGATCTGCGTGATTACATGAGAGGTGTAGTACGAAACTCTTAAGTTCAAGGCGTTTTGCCAGTGGTGTGGGTCTTTAAGTCATCCCCTTTCGAGTGGAACATTGTGCGGACATGGGATCTCTGACACGAGGTCTGAGTGACCAATGGGCGATTCTATTGAGCGCATCTGGCGCAATTTTACTGATCATTGCTTCGATTCTGATTCGACTAGGAAGGGTCGCCCGAAAACCGTTGCCACCAGGTCAGTCGGTCACTGTGGCATTGCCGCCAGTTATTAAGACTAACTACTGTTGTTACGCAGGCCCGCGCTCGTTCTTTGGAGGAAATGTTTCTCGCGTGCCGCAAGCTGAGCCTTGGAAATTATACTCGCAATGGTCTCACAAATGGGGCGCATTCATCGCAAATGACTACTAGTAGACCTCAACTGACAGTTCAACGAAGGCGCCCTCATATACCTTCGACTCTTCGGTCGCGATATCGTGGTGCTCAATGGTGCGCGTGTGGCTGAGGATTTGTTAGAAAAGCGGTCCAAGATTTATGCTGACCGCCCCACTTGGCCGATGGCCGACTTGATTGGCCGTCAGAACAACGTCGGATTCACGTACTGCGGCGACAAACTCCGGGCGTCCAGGAAACTACTTCACGCTTCGCTGGGTGCTGTCTCAAGAAACGAGTGGAATCCCATGTTAGTAGAAGAGTGCGTGCATGTGATGAATCTCTTGGTCGACCATCCAGAGCACTGGATGACCCATGTGAAGTCGTAAGACATTTTCCAAGTTTGTGGCTTTGATTTCACTGAGTAGAGTGTGCAAATATGTTGCTTCTCTTGTGCTTCGCTTCACCTACGGTCGCGAATTAACGGAAGATTATGTCCGCCTGGCGAAAGAAATAAACTTGGACACTGGGATGGCGCTTCAGCCTGGATGGGTAGTGGATTCCTTCCCGTTCTGTTCGTCTCGTTCTGCTCATACTGCTGTATCATACTGATTAATTTTCCTCTACGCCAGTGAAACATTTCCCAAGTTGGTTACCAGGTATGCACTTCAAGAGATGGGCGTTGGCTGCGAGGTCAAGATTCGAACGATGTACACGGGAGCTTTATACTGCAACCCGTTTAGCTGTCGTGCGTTTTATTTCACTTGCCCATGCTAATTTCTATAAACATACTGGTCAGCTCAATGGCACTGCTCCGCCATCCTTTGTCGCTCGCCATTTAACATTGTCATTGAACTGCTCATCGCCCTTTGAAGAGGCAGGTCCTCATACACACAGCTGGAAGTGTATATGGAGGTAAGACGTTCGCACGACCCTTCACCATCCTCACCGTTTGTTTTCTTTGCTCTAACTCAGCCGGAACCGACGCTGGGCGTAGTTTGTTGGGCTGCTCATAATACTTTGCTGAAACATTCAGGCTGTGCCATCTGGCAGACATCCGCGCTTCTCATGTCATTCATTCTTCTGATGGTCGTGTTTCAGGACATTCAGGAAAAGGCTCATGCTGAACTAGTTGCCGTGGTTGGACACCATAGGCTTCCTACCTTAGACGATCAGGCATCACTGCCTTACATTGGGGCGCTCATCAAAGAGATACATAGATTTCATCCTGTCGTTAATCTTATCCCACATAACCCGATGGAGGATGATGAATACGAAGGTTATCGCATTCCTCGCAAGTCGTGGGTCATGTGCAATGTATGGTGAGTCCTTTTCCAACTTTCTTAGCAGATGAGTCCTCAAGTGTGAGATAGGTCCATGACCCATGACCCCGAGATATACGAAGACGCCGACTCTTTAATCCCGATCGGCACCTTTCTGGGACAGTCAAAGATCCGAGGCAGTTTACCTTTGGTTTCGGAAGACGGTCATTTCAACTCCATCCTTTTGACTCGAATTAGCTTACAAACTTCGATTTATTTAAGTTCTGCCCTGGCATTCACTTTGCCAACAGCCGAAACTTTCATGTTCATCGCCTGTGTCCTATACTTATTTAAAATCAATCCTGCAACGGATGGAAATAAAAGTCTATTCCACCATTGTCATATACGTCAACCTTTACATCGTGAGTCATCGCATGATCCCGTCTTGTGGTATGCCGATAATCTTTGCAATAGCAAACCGACTCCTTTTGAGTGCCTGTTCGAGTTGCGGGATCCTATGCTGAAGGAACTCCTCTATGTTTGAGTGGGTTGTCACCCGATGTTGTGGTAGTGGTGTTTCATGAAAAAAAAACCTCATGAATGTTGGCAGGCTAGCAATTGAACCACAACCTCTGTCTTTCTGAAACTTCGGTGGAGCATTTATGAGATGTGTTTCAATGTAGAAAAATTATCACAATATCTAATTAATGTGTTGTGAGGAAGTGGTGAACAAAATACTGATTTTGTGTTTCAGGGACCGGTTGAAGACTGTACATATAACTACTGCCGCAACACACACTTGACGGTTGTGTTGCGCAAGGTTGTATCGCGCAGCAAAGTTTATCAAAGCGGGGTTTGAAGCGGTCAGCTCTTTTCTCTCCGTCCAATGAGAGCCGAGATTTCGCCAACATAGTATACAAAGAATTACTATTATAATCCGTAGTGATCTCTCTGCCCAAATCTCATCTGTACCAACCAAAGGTCTTCGCTTGGTACATATCGTTATGATAGTGTTACTGAGAAATATAATCTGTTGATTGAAGTGGATTCACTTTCTCCTTGATCAACGTGACCGCCTGATCAGACACTGGAGAAAGGTTTACGGAGAATGGTTCAGGGAAGCTGTACAATTGTCATCACCATCAACTAAGGCAAAAGGAACCTCGACCGCACCTAACCAAGCCAGCTGTGAAATTTGGTTTTGGCGGAATGTCATTACCCAACGCATCTTTTGAACTGGATATCTTGACTGTGGCAGATATGTATGAAACCAAAAGAAAAAGGTTGTTCTCGCCCAGATATTTGCCGGGGCATTCCCTGACAATACATCAGCAGGCAGACAAGCTCACTAACTTTACCCATACCGTCTTCCAAAACCAAACGCATACCCATATGGATCAATTGCCGTTTCCTTCACGCAACTCTGCAAGAATCGCTCGGGCGCAAATCTTTCACTGGGAATGCCACTTTTTTGATCTTTCGAGATGGCCCTGTGACCAGCGGTAGTGTGGATCGAAGCGTTCCTCCAATTCTGTTAAACTACTTACCAGACGTTTGGTAGCACAATCGTACCCTTCGGGATATAATATCCTGCAGCGAGAATCGACAAAAACGCATTCCAGATATACAAGTGATTACTCACCTTGATAATAATCTTCGTGTGTTGTTTTGCGCGCGATGCCGAGAGGGAGGGCTGGACTCCATCGCATCGCCTCTTTCACCGTAGCATTGACGTATGGTAGACTGTCACGATTTTGAAGGGATGGCAGCCGATGAAGCCCGACGACTTCGGATATTTCGCGCCTGATTTTGATTTGAACCTCAGGATACAACGCCATAGCCAGGATAAATGTCAGGATAGTCGCATACGTCTAGGCAGGAATGGTAAGTCAGGTGATGCAGGAATGCTATGTAGACCTACGGTCTCTCCTCCAGCTGAATGAACAGTAAGCAATGCTCGATAAATTGATTCACAGGAGAAAACGTACCACCGTATAATGCACCACTTGCCCAGCGAATAAGATCTAGTGAAGCCTTGGATTCCGCATTGCCATTGGATTGGAGTTTCTCGAGACAGTCATAGACAAAAGACTGCCTAGCGGAACCCTTGACTTTCTCTTGAAGCACGTGTTCAAACGGTCGCGATATCAGTCGTTCAATTCGTCGACGCCCGTGTGCCCCTATTTGGTGAATCTTATTGAATGGGACCCAAGATGGAAGGTATTTCACTGGCGTGAGACAGTCAGCTCCGTTCGTTCACCTTCCGAGATTAGACTTTCGCTCACATTGAGGGATAAGATCGACCAAAAAAGCCCCAGGGACTGCCGCCTTTCCTATCATCTCCATGACCTCTTCTGCATCGGTAATGTACTACAAGCAACTGAGTTGCCATTATGTTGTTAGTTTGAAAAAGACGACTGACAAGATCATCTGGCGTTTGTACCGGCAATCCATATGACACAGACATGATTATGCGGCCCGCGGTTCTCGAGGTATATGTCGTCAGTGAGAAAGAATTATGTGCGGTGTAAAGTCTTACAGACGCAGCTGCGATGCGAAGTCCATGGGATGTTCAAGTAAGGTGTCAACATACATGGCGATGGTATCTTCCTGGACCCCGTAATATTTCTTCACTGCGTCCGGGCTCAAGGCCATGCGGGATAACTTTCTGTGTTCCCTCCATGTCGTCCCGTATTGTAGCATTGGCATGCTCTGTCGTGATGAAATCTGAGCACACATTCACTGGATTGCGGTCTTTTTGTCGCACCTTGTCCAAACCCATCAGCTCGCCAACCATCGTGAAGGTTGGCCGATCTGAATACACAGATGGCTTCTTGACCAACAAATCCGTCACAGATTCAATGGTGTTCAGGATAAGGATAGAATTGCCCAGTGCCTCGGCATACACTACATCACCTGTACAAGCCTATTAGGTCGGTCTTTCTCAGTCTTACCCAGCTAAAAGGAACAGACCATATTGATCCTTCCACTGGAGAAATTTGTGCCATGCACGGAAGCGAGGAATCTCGAGCAAGTTGCCAACCAGTAGCCTACGCGGTGGTCCAGGGGGTAGAGGGTGATCACACGAGCGCTTTAGTCGAGCTCGTAAAGGCCATAAAAAGGCGCAAGCGACGACGAGAGGGATGGCAGTGACAAGGAGCACAGAAATCATGTCTGAAAGGATAATAATACTGCGCACTAAGTATGCCTTTGAGAAAGTACAGGAATACAACTTAGTATGGTTTATATTAATATATTTGATCAGCAGAGATCATGCTGCCAGTAGTCGACCAACTTGGCGCTTGAAGCTTGAGCGACGAGCCAGCTCGTGCGGTAGTAAGTTCCGCCCATAGCCTATCAGTGAACCAGTCTCGGAGTTCTTGCTATATGTAAGGTAGACGCAATGCGATTTCAACGAACATCACATGATGTGACAGATGTGTGACGCTGTGGGGATAAGTCAAACCGAACATATTGCCGAATGGCACACCGGCAAGTTAGAGCGTAAAAAGCATGAAGTACTTAAATATTGTGTATGTAGAGTGATTACAGAGGAATAACATATGCAAGTGAAATAGAGTGAGATGTTTGATCTGTATTTTTTGTGAGAATGGGCTCAACTGATTCCATATTGGCTTCAGGGGCTGAATCACCACACTCGACATCTTGAAACTCCAACCCGAAAAGTTGTGCTATGCTAGGCCAGACCTCAGTCGAATCTGAGGTACTGGGATTGGCATACCACCTCTCAAGTTCACTCAGTACGTGGTGGGCTGTGATTTTTCCATGGTATGACAGGGACTGACAGCCCACTTCTACAGGTACTGTCTCGAGAGGTACCTGCTCAAAACTGAGTCAAACTTTCATGTTTCTTGTGGTTTGACTCACTTTTTCCTTCTCCAAGCTTTCCACCTGAGTCCTGGTTTTCTTTGACCGAAGATTTGAAGCCCATGCACTGTGGAGACATTTCTGTGGTGCCATGATCCCTTCCATTGCCGAGCAGCTCCGCCCGCTTCACTCTTACTGTGGCGGAGTTTTTTCTTTGGCTTGGTTTTGTGTGCAGAATGGTATTTAACTATTAGCTCTCTCATTTCTGCATGTAATTCTATTCTGAAAACGCGATAATTATCATTCACATTTTTTCTACTGGATCACAGTACGGATTTGCAGGAAGCTAAGTTACTGAATTGTTATCGACTTTACTGCTATTGTCACTTTTCTGTCACGATTGTCACGTGATGTTCGTTGAAATCGCATTTCGTCTACCTTAGCGATTATGGAGATCGCGGTGGTTTGACATGATCATACATATATTGCTTTATATTCCAATGTGACGAAATGCAAAACTATATATGACAATATCCACGGCTCACCGGCTCTCTGATGTACGTCCGCCGGCACATGGTTTTTCGACCAAAATATTGGATGATACGATGACGTATATCACGACCTAAGCTTGAAGCTTGAGGTTCCTGGACCCGATTAGGGTACCAGGTATAACGAATAGTTTCTCTGTGACCAGTCCCGTGCCGGGCCGCTTTTCATGTTTGTTGTTATTATTATTTTTTGTTGTGCCACTTGTCTCTTCTCCTATTTGCTCATCCTTTCCTCGGACTCGCTCACAATGTCAGCTTCGACGTCCCTCGATTCGCGCTTGTCCTCTTCTCTTGTTCCTCCGGTATTGCTCGTTGTTTCTGATCTGCAGCTCATCGATGATGGAGTATCTGTTGTGTCCACCTGTCTGTTGCACAGGCTTTTTGAGTATTCTGGAGTATCACGGGTGCGGTTTACTGCTGCTCAGCAGTTTCCTGTTGGAGTCTTGCTCTTAGTATCCGCCCCCACCGTTCATCATGTTATTGATCATTTCCCAAGGCTCACGCATGATAATTTTATCGAGATGTGTCGCTTTCATTCCATTTGGGTTGCCACGTTGGATTCTCGTGGTTATATCCGGGATTGCCTTCGTGTCCATTTCTGTTCCCAACAATGCGGTGATCAGTTGTTCGTGTTCAGACACCTTCATAAAGCTCGATGTAATTTTGCTTCGGAATGTCTCCCCGAGCCTTTTTCGATGTCTCAAGGGGACACTCATTGTGCTGTCCAGCAGTTCCTCTTGGGCTATTGTTACCGAGGATGTTAGAACTCGCACTCGCGATGAGGATGCGTCACAGCATCGTCGTTCATATAATTTTAAGATTGGTGTTGTTGAAGATATTGACCCCGCGTTTCCGTCTGTTCGCACTGAGCAGGAGAAATGTGCCATAATCTTGGACTGGCAATCTACCATGTCTGCCAAGGCTCAGAAAAGGGGTGCTTGTGCCATCTGTGGTTATAATGTTCTTGCGTCCGAGTTGTCTCTCGTGGAGCCTGCAAAAATTAATTTTTCGCTCTTACAGAACGAATGTCTCCCAGAACATACTCTGCCTCAGTCGTATGATTTTGAGTTATACGGCTGAGCTATTTTATATTCTAAAGGTTTGACTGACTGTTGGGCGTTAGCCTCGCTGTTGATCTGTCCTACATGTTGATTGGCTTTGCTTCGAAAATGTCCTCGTCAGCCGTTGAATGCGTTGGCCAATTTTCAGTATTATGGTATGGAGAGGTTACCTGACACGGTTTCTACAGCACTACAGTCCATGTCGGCTTATGATCTGATGTTGACTTCTCATGCTCGTGTGTCTCAAATCACCCATTTTTATTCATATAAGCCAGTTGTTGGTGGTTATAGACAGAGTGAGGATGTTTCGCAGCGATATAACCAGGGTAATGTTGCTATTCGTCCCCAAGATTCTCCCCAGTTGTGGGGGTCCTACCTCCTTCTTATGATGAGATTCGGGATGCTGTTTGTGTTATTTTCACTGGTCATAATCAGGTTCCAACTCACAAGACGATTAAGAAGATGTGTTCCAGTTGTAGTGACGAAGAGCATCATTAAGTGTCTTATTGATTTCTTTGTTCAGAACAATCCATGGTATGCACAACAAGGAGTGTCTTACATTGAGGACACTATGCAAGAGCTCTTCAACCCTGACGATGGTGATATTGATGCTGGTATTTTGTGTGCTATGGAGGTTTGTCATCTGTGCAAGGAAGTGGTTACCAATGCAGACATTAAGGACGTTCCACGGGATAATTAAGCTCCTCACTCTGCATGCAATGGAGATGTCGTGATGGAGGCAGTTGGTTATACAAAAGGCGATCATTCAGTCGCTAGTCGTGAATCAATGAAATTACATGCTTTGGCATATGTACTTGATCATAAGCATTTTTTAGTTTCACATACTGGCTCAAAGTTCATGGCTGACTGTCATATACCGGATCCGAGTACCCCCAGTACCTCCTATGAGCATCCCCACTGCTGGCCTGACCCCCTGTTTCCCCAGTCTGCTTCATTCCTCCTTCCCTGACAATGCACAAGTGCATCTCAGTAGGATTAGCCCTGCTACCTCTGCCTGACTCCGTTCTGCTCTTCCGACATTACCCCTATGTCCTCTGACCCCATACCCCTTCCATCCGACCCTATCTGGGGTTCCGCTCCTCCGCCCTATCGGTCCGCCCGATCCTATTCCTACTCTCTCCGCTTTTCCGCCCTGCTTGGATCCTTCGGTTCCGCTTGTAGTGACCCACCCGACCATTAGTCCGTCCGACTGCCTCACTGGTCCACTCCTAGACTAGGAACCACTCAACTGGTCTTATCCCCGTTTAGTATTATAGTTCCGCTTTTCGGGTTCCCAGTAATCCCTATACCCTAGCGAGTTCTGATCCTGTCGCATACATACTTTCCTCCAAGCCTTTTCTCGTATGTCTCAGTCATCCTATTGTAATCCTGTACACTCAGCACATAGCCTTCTGCTATGCTATGCTCATCACTTAGAGTATATAAATCCATGTACACTTGTCTGTAGATACTCAGTCTGAATATTACCTTTTCTAAGCCCTGCTCTTCTGTCCTTTGACTTAAAAGTCTTTCCCAAGTCAAAACTCCTGTTCCCCGGCCTAGGGGATTGACTCCCTAGGTTGGCTGTCCTCTGATCCTCCGACCCTCCGCTTCCCCGCTTCCCCATTCCTCTGTCCCACTGGTTCTGCGAGTTCCGCTATTCTGTGGGTTCTGCTATCCTGCAGGTTCCTCCGTTCCTCCGTTCCTCCGTTCCTCCGTTCCTCCGTTCCTCCGTTCCTCCGTTCCTCCGTTCCTCCGTTCCTCCGTTCCTCCGTTCCTCCGTTCCTCCGTTCCTCCGTTCCTCCGTTCCTCCGTTCCTCCGTTCCTCCGTTCCTCCGTTCCTCCGTTCCTCCGTTCCTCCGTTCCTCCGTTCCTCCGTTCCTCCGTTCCTCCGTAGTCCGACGGTCCTCCTTCAGAGGATCCCCATTCCGATGTCCTGTTGGAACCCATAGAACTCGCATCGGACTACATCCCAAAATTAGGGGCACGTACTCAGGTAAGGGGTGCAGCGTACGAGCTGAAGCCAAGCCCCCAGACTCCGCTTTACCCCGAGCACGGTCTTAACACTGACGCTGATCCTGGTCTGATGTCCTATTTATTTCCTCATCTAAATCCTTGGGGTATTGGTGGTTTCCACCATGTCAGTCGTTCGAAGGAGCAATTCATATCTTTTGAAGCACAGGTAAAGAATTTGCTTCACCAGGATAATTCAGCATTTTGTCGAGATGCTAATTTTGCGTGTGTTTGCTGGAACATGTTGCAGAAACGGGAAGTTAGCCTCAATACTTCCTTTTGTGTTGGTGTATCTGCGCAGCATTTGCTCGCTACTGAGTTGAAAATGGTGGCTCTCTTGTTAACAGGCTTGGCCGAGAAATGGTCGCATACATCATATCCAAAAACCTTGAATACAGAGGAAAAAAGAGTGCTGAAGGTGTTGAGGTGCTTAAATGTGTCAGCAAAATCTCTCAAGGGCAGTGCTGGGTATAAGCTGTGTTGTCGAAACGAAATCTGTTCATTAATGAAATGGTTTTGCATGCCTGCTTTGTTTGTCATGTTGAATCCTCACGATTTGACCAGCTGCATGATACCGATCATTGCTGGACTGGATGCAGTGGAGTGGTGGGCTATGTCTTTGTTTGATAGGGCCAAATTTGTTGCCTTGCACCCTGACATGGCTGCTGTTGCTTTTGATGCACAAATCAAGAGTTTTATTGATGTGATCTTGCGGTATAAACATGGTCCTGGTATTTTCGGACATTGTAAAGCATATTACGGGATGGTTGAAGCCCAGGGAAGGGGAACATTGCATTGTCATATGTTAGTATGGATCACAGGAAACCCAAGCCCACAGGATTTGCGCGATCGTATGGCTTCTGAGCCTGGTTTTCAAGATAAGATATTTGAATGGCTTGAAAGTATCATCAGCTGTGAGCTTCCTAACGATGAAGGCATTCACACAGAAATGTGTGAGGACAATGCAAATGTCCACAATGTGAAGAAGGTGAGAATGACCCGAGGTTGGATAGGCCACCGCAGGTAGCTGAATTATATTCAGAGTCATTCATGTTTGAATTTAATGAGTTTGTTACTCACCTCGCACTTGAGTGTAATTGGCATATTCACGGCGATACCTGTTTCAAACATCTGAAGAATGGGGAAAAACGGGGTGACAAAACATGCAAGATGAGGATGGATGGATCTGTTCAGGAATGTACTGTTGTAGATGAAGAGACCGGGTCAATTGAACTCAGGTGATGGCGTGCTCGCGTGAACAATTTCACTGATGTGGTGTTATTCTTGTTGCAGTGCAACACCGATACTCAATTCATTGGATCTGGTGAAGTGGCGAAGGCTACTGCTTTTTATACGAGTGAATATATTACAAAAAGTGAATTACCTCTTCATGTGGGTCTGCAGGCTCTGGAATATGCTATTAAGTCCAATGATTCTAAGTTTGAAACTGATGGAGACTCTTCTGCCACAACCAGGGAGCGCAGTTTGATCACAAAGTCGGTTAACGCCATGATGGGTCTTCAAGAAATGTCACATCAACAAGTTATGAGTTTTTTGGTCAGCAGCGGCGATCATTACACCAGTCATGTTTTCCAACCTTTCAAGTTCTATGAGTTTGTGAGTGCTATTTGCAGACTAGAGGATTGTTCAATTCATAGTCCTTCTGACAGTGAAGTAATTGATGATGACATCACAAATGTCATAGTAGAAGAGCAAATTTGTGTTCATGTGACTCACAATGGATTAGAGTTCTCTAGCGAGATTAGTGACTATTCTTTGCGACCGAGTGAAAAAGCTTTTGATCAACTTTGTTTATGGGAATTTGTGGAATGGACAAAGAAAGAACGTTTGCAAAATGATAACAAAGTGCATGGTGGTGATGTTGATGAGTTTGATAACAATGATTGTGATGAGGCTGTTGTGAATCAACGACATCAGGGATGACGGGCCTTAGCACAAGGGAATTTCTTGCCTGATCATCTGCAGTGCAACTCCCATGGTCTGCATCTTCGTAAACAACCTGTTGTTCCTGTCCTTCTCGGTGCTAACTTGCCTCGATGTGATCGCTCTGCAGAGGAATACAATCAGTATTGTTGTGCTATGTTACTTTTATTTAAGAATTGGTGAGACCTCACTGAGCTAAAAGCTTCCCATTCAAGTTGGCATGAAGCATTTGAAGCATACGAGTTCCCGTCACATTTGTGTGCACTTATATGTAACATGAATATTGAAAATGAGTGTAAAGATGCGTGAGATGCACATGCTGCGCTTGTGCGATAACGTCGTGCTCGGCCACACACTTTTGGGTCTGCAGGGGAATCTGATGAAGCAGTATCAAATGACCTAAGTGCGTTTGACAAAGCATTGTTTGCAGATCCTGCACTTGATCCCATCAAAGAGTCTTTGGAAGATACTGATGTCGATATTGTTGTTGACCCAGTTTCCTTGACTACTAGACATCTTGGAGACACGCTTGTCTGTTTGAGGGCTGCCAAAGATGCTGGCCTTCTTGATGCAGAAGTATCTCATGGAATTCCCCAAATAAGTGTGAGTGCTGATGCGGGTAGCATTGTCAGTGAGAATGATACAGAAGAACTAAAACATTATTCCTCGTGGATGCAGGCAGCTAAAAAGCGAAAGCACCCAATTGATATTGATTTGTCTGATAGTGTTGCAAAATGAGTTCGCTTAACACAAGAAGGTAATGATTCTGGTATCACCGTAGAGCAGTTAGCAGAAACATCTGAAGATGCAACTGGCAATGGACCTTCAGGCGTGACAGATAAGAAGTTGGTGGCTGAGCAGATCATCGAGGAATTTGGTTTGAAACATAATGAAGAACAGGAAAGAGTGTTTTGCTTAGTTAGTGATCACTTTATCAGAGGTGACGGCAAGCAGCTTCTGATGTTTTTGACTGGCATTGGAGGCTCCAGAAAAAGTCACGTCATCCATGCCATAGTCGAATTTTTTCGGCGGTGCGGAGCTGCTAAAAGGTTGACACTCAGTGTGCCTACTGGTGGTGCAGTGGTGTTAATCAATGGGTACACGATTCATTCACTTACATTTCTGCCCAAACGACGTGGGGCGGTCAAAAAAAATGAGTTGGAAGCAATGTGGCGCACAGTAGATTATCTCATTTTGGACAAGGCATCTCTCATGTCCACTGAGCTGTTGAGTGAGGTATGTCAACGGATGAGTGAGGCAAAAGCATGGGATGAAAGTGTCACATTCAAACCTTTTGGCGGTGTAAATATCATTTTTGGTGGAGACATCGGACAGCTGCGCCCACCTAAATCCAATGCAGTATATAGTTATAAACTGGTTAAAAACCCAGGACTGGCAACAGCTCAAAGTGTTCATAGGCAGACTGCATTACATGGGGCATTTCTGTGGCAACAGGTTGGTAAAGTAGTAGAGCTGAAGCAAAATTGGCATGCCAAAGAAGACCCAGTGTTTGTAGCAATGCTCGAATGCATTCGCAAAGGTCATGCAAGAAGAATTGCCTCAGATGATGGAGTGTAATCTGATTACACGGTGCTCAAGACTCGTATGCTTAGTTATCTTAAAGAGCATTCTCCGGATGAGTTTGCTGATTTTTGCAACGTGCCTATAGTCATTACCCATAAGCTATTGAGAGATGTGTTAAATGAGGCGAAGGCCAGACAATATGCCATTCAAACAACTCAACCTTTCTTCATGTACCATGCACAGGACGAGGTCTCTGGGAAAGCCGCTACTGCAGAACAACAAGAGAGACTGTGGCAAGTAACAATGACAGATTGTCATGATGCATTGGGTCATTTGCCATTGTTAGCAGGAATGCCTGTTATGATTACAGAAAACACCGCCACTAGCTGCAAGGTGGTCAATGGTAGTTGAGGCACATTGAAATCAGTAAAGTATGAGATCAATGAATTAAATCGAAGATATGCTGGTCTGTGCGTTTGTGGAGGTGCCTGGAAGTGCTGTAGAGATTGAAGGATTGGCCAGTATGATTGTGCCTATATTTCCTACAGCAGTCAGTTTTTCTTTTGTTGCTGGTGACAAGACCTTCACCGTTAGACGCACACAGTTACCATTGCTGCCTGGATGGGTGTTCACCGACTTCAAAGTACAGGGCAGCTCCTTAACAAAGGTAATTGTTGATCTGACGTGTGCGAAATCTCTACAAAGTATATATGTAATGCTGTTGCGAGCTCCCAAACTTAATGGGATTGTGGTATTACGATGGTTTTCTTCTCAATGGCTCAATAGTGATTTGCAGGCCGATGCAAGGGAGGAACTGCGACACCTAGAACTGTTAGATAATGAGACAAAATTATACTGTGCTGCTAGAAAGATGTAAAGTGATTTATTTGTTCAATCTATGTTGTAAATGTGATGGGCTTCACAAAGTCTGTTCCCGTCCCACATGTACTCCCACCGAGGCACCATATGATCGAGTGAGAACTCTCTAATCCTAAGAAACACCAGTTGCTACGTTTAGGAGTGACTTCGAAAGGGAAACAAAGACAAGCATGATCTATAGTGCTGCAAATTTGGAGAGGACAGTGCACAGATTGTTGACACGTGTGATGTCCCCACTGACCATGGCCGGTAGTTTGAATGTCGAACCCCCTAGAAGTGTATTTGGCCAATCCAAGCAGAGAATTGAGCATGCACATCTTATCATGCCACATCAGAGGGTTTAGAAGCCCTTTGTGCTCCGTGGTGAGACCAGGATATGCACAGAAGATGCTGATGTGGGAAATGAAATTCATCGCAATGGTAGAATGAAAGTCGAATAGAGGCCCAGCAATCATATCTCCCTTGCTCTCGTTAACATAAATGGTTCTGGAGTCTGCAGTTCGAAAAAATGTTAAGACTTGATTAAGATTAGGAGTATAGGTGTGTTCCTCTGAGCAAGATAGTGTATATCCTTGCATGCTCAAAAATCTGATGAGAGCATTGGATCCACAGGAAGATAAATAAAGGTTGAGGTTGTTGCTTCTGAAAGCTGATGCATCGGTCATTGTGAGAATCAATTGTAACGCGCAGGAGTTGCCAATAAGAATATTGATGGAGCGCTGGAGATCTATGAATCCCACGGTGTCGTCAACAAACTGTTTCAACAAAGAGTTTCTTTTGACCTCAACATAGTGTTTGATAGTGCAGCGACTAAGGGTGTTGGTAGCAGCCCATGCACTCAGTGTGATAAGAGGAAGTTCATTCATGATGAGGTGTACAATGTCATTGGGCAAACACTGTATGGTGGTGGACATGATGCACTGTAGTTCTAGATGTGTATGAGAGTGTGACAATTTATAGAATATTGGGTGTCTCCCGGATGTCTTACGGATGTTTCAGCTTGATGTAAGTGATACAAAAAAAAAATAGCCCCTTTTTTCGACTCATCTCTGACTGCTATGACATCAATTATGGTCTCTCACTCTCCAAAAAAAAGGAATACCAATAATACGGGGTAATGTTGCTATTGTCATTTGTGTTGACGACACTGAGACTTTTTTTGTTAGTTTTCAGCATGCATGAGCTGGCCAATGAAATTGACCAATATCTTGACTTTTTGTCTTGATTAACTTTATCTGCCACAAATACATTTCTGCGGCGGTTTTCTCTAAGATCCCATGCCACTTTCTTTACCATGTCGTTGCGCCACTACGTGAATGCTGACATCTTAGCATTCCTTAATCTCATTGTCTCCAGTGGAGGAGCTATCACTGGATCAACCACACTCTCAATCCTGGTATGACCAACGCAATGGAAACCATAAGATTTGAATATTGTGATACCGAGAGGTAGAGGCGACATTATTCATACCTTTCTCATCAAATTGAGGTATCACTTGCTATCAGCAAATGAAACACTGGCTGTGCATTCTCAGATGATGGATTACATGCTTTCACATCGTGTCTACACATCAAACACCGATGTGGACACTCAAGTTACCATAACTGAAAGCACCGACAACTCAATTTTGCAGGTCATCCTGGGAAGCCCATGCACGACTGATATGGTTTTTGCCACGCCTACTGGATTATTTTGTGCATATCCGCGTTTGTTGTTAGCCCAAATTGTTCTTCAAGGATTCCCACTGCGGTCCTATAATCGAAGATTTCGAAAGCAGATACACCATGAAGCAATTCTTAGTGCTCACCGACACCTCTCAACTTCCCGGTGAATGCAGTGTAAAGTGTCCTCCATTATGGCACAGCACAGCGCGAGACCAAACCACTTTAATTGTGGACTGGGCCATCAACATCAGAGGAAGCAATGCATCAAATGCTTTGAGGCACTTTACAGGTCCGCTGTATTTGTGGTGTCTCAATCGCATATGCTACAACACACTGTGTCAGCTGCAAAGACACGATGTTGAAGATATACGGTTTGCAGCGGCGTCCGCTGAACAAATCATTGAAGTCAGGCATAACATTGCGGAGCATCCAATAAACTATTATATTTATGAGTTTAACAGTACTCTAATTGAAAGGCAGATGTTATCTGGTGGCTGCCATGCTGTCATTTTCTCTGCTTTCTGTGAAACGCCCATGCTGGTTCAAGTTCCTCTGTGCCTGGGTGTCGATGAGTTGCATTCTTTGGACGATTTGTTCACGTCTCTCTGGATTAACGAGTTTGGTCGCAACACCGCCATCATCAATCCAAGTATTGAGCAAGTTGCGATAGATAAACACCCTATGTCCAGGGAAGCTCTACCATTCAGGCTGGTGTACTGTTCACAATTTTGGATGCAGTGGAGGACAAATTACCTTTTGACGCATCTCGCTGATCGAACAAATGGGTTCGACAAAAACTTAGAGTTGGAGGGCAATCTACTTGTATTCAAACAATCTATGATTGATTTCACCACTATTTTGGACGTTAATGCTGCTGACATTGCATTGATCTCTGATGTGACAATATGGTAAGTGCAAATCGGATTTACAGATATATGACTTTTCACTGATAGTGACAACAGGGCAGCTCACACTTTTCAACTCCATTGCGCAAAACTGAAAATGCCTGAGCTTGATATACTATCTGCAGATGATGAGACTACAGCCATAATCAACGAGAGGGAAGGTTGTGATCATGGTATTCATTAACACAATAAACATTTCATATAAGTTTCTGTTATTATTATCAAACCTGTATGACTGCAAAGCGAGCCAGTTGCATGAAAATTAATATAGGAGGTTTGTGACATTTAAAGAACATCACTATGTGACAAGAATACAATTGAAGTCAATGGTGTATGGTAACCCCTGTCTGACTCCTCAACTGCTCTCTTACCAGAACATCCTGCATCGGTAACAGCATGTCATCCATACAAGGTAACACGACTTCAATATTCGCAGAGCGACAACTAATAAGGGATCAGCGTCTAATGGTTATATGGCCCATGATCTTTGGCCTGCTGAAATTACAGAACAGATTGAATGGCTACTTGCAGACAACAGCTTGGTAACATGGCAGAAATTTCCCCTTACACTAGGATGCCTCATTGAATGGGCGGACATATATAAAGACAAGGAGAAGAAGGATAAGGCGCAAGATCACCTGCTGGTATACAAATGCATGCCAAATGCCAAGCCAGGGGCATTGTATCCTGTGTCGATTCGGATGCATGGGTATCTCAATCATTTTTGCTTGGAGAGGTTAGGAAACTGGTCCAGGTAAGTCGGTGTGACCCAAAAAAAAAGAAGGCTCACATATTTTGCAAGGCGTGTAAATGATGTTCGGACAGCAGTTCAACATGTTTCTTTGTCAGTCTGGTGGACACAAAGATCCATGGAGAGCGATGGCGGCAGCAGCCAATCTCACAGGCGATTATGTTAGTCGCCATCTCAAGATCCCAATGAAAGGCATCAAGGATGGACAAGATATCTTTTTCCAATGACGTGTGTTTGAAAAGGTATGTGGGACTTCATGACATGCCTGATTTCTGACTAAATACAATATGGCAGGGACAAGACACTGCTACACAGGCCCTCAGCAGCAAAGATGACCCTGAACAAAACTATGACACCATTAAACAAGAGTGGACTGTATGCGAATTTTTTCCTGTGGGAGAGTTATCAGACAGTGGCAAAATCATTCCTCTTGATCATCTCTTGCTTACCAGAGGCGACTTCATTGAAGTAGGAGCTGAAATGGATTTCGTGATTGGGAGAGACAGAGCATCACGACCGATTCTGAACACATACATGACATGTACATATGTACTCCGCCTCATCCCTCAACACATTGCCAACAAGTTAAACAAGGTAAAATCAGTCTCCATGTCCAATGTGCATGTTACTCAGACTAAATTCCTAGTTAAACAATGATCAGTCCAACAAAAAGAAATGGACAAGACTGATCAAATCAGAGGAAACACCATGGAAAAAGTTACATACTGTGTTGATATTTGACAAACCAGAATAGTGCCATCTCATGTATGAGCAATAGATAGGAGAACAATGCCAAGAAAATGCTTGAATGACAAACCAAAGGGGCCTTGAAAATAGGTATAAAAGAGAGGAAAAAGTGGAGTATAACATGAACCCCTGAACCCATATTTCCTTCAATCACAATGACCAACTGTCATATACCTGATCCGACCGCTCCGTTATTGATATCCGCTCCACTTTCCGACCCCTCCAGCTCCATCCATCCTCCGCTCCGTCCAATCACAAGTCCGCATTCCACCCTACACTTCCGCTCAACCACTCAACCGGTCCCCTTCCATAAACCTCTCCATTCAACTGGATCTTTTTCCCCTTTTAGATATATACTTTCCCCTTTGGTACATAGACCCTTGCTTCCGGATGACCGGTAATTCCTATTACCACTCAATCACTGATCCGACGTGTACATATTGATATCCACTCCAACTTATGTCTTCGCCTATGTAAAATACTTACAAACTATATCCTTGGTACATAGCTTTACTACATAGTTATCCTGATCACTGCCTCATACATAGAAGTATATAACATATCCTGTACTTAGATATTTTCCTTAGTCTTAATATTACTTGTCTTCTCACAGTTACCTCTTGTGAGAATTCTCAGCAGGACCTTGCCTCCTCTGGACACAAGTCTCAACTTGTTGTCACCTCTGACCCTCCGACCCTCCGCTCCAACTTAGAGCCGTGCTCTAAGTCCTCCCCTTATTACTCCGCCCCTATCAAATATCCTCCTTCACCCCTCTGCATTATCCTCTGCCTTTCCCACCCCTACCAACATTCCCCTGCTCCTATTCACTCTCCGCATCACTCCCTGCCTTCTCCGCTCCGCTCCTAGTCGGTCTGCTGCTAGTAGCTCTTATTCCCTGACCCTCAAAGCGGACCCAAGTGGTCCATTCGTCCTACCGTCGGACAACATCAGACCCGCTCCAAATTCAGGGTATGTACTCAGCTAAGGGCGCAGCACAAGAGCTGAAGCCAAGCCCCGACCCCTCTGCTTCCTGAGTCGGCACAGTACCTAACAAATAGTACCAAACTATACAATGTTCAACGTAATGAGCTCTTCACTGTCGGATAACGCAGGGACTTCTGACAACAGACTAAAGACAATGAGAAACAACGAACAATTGAAAATGTAGTCACTGCACCATGAAAGAGCTGAACTGATAGCAATCACATCAACCATTTCAATGGACTGAGGTGTGGCAAGGGCTGACATCTTGACAACGAGATATGGGCAATCATGACGAACAACATGTAAACGATGGTCAAAAAGAACCATGAGGGGGACCATGACACCAACAGCATTACACAAGCGAATGCACAAGCTTTCCACCTGGTATGCATTGACGAAGTATTGATCGACAGCAATGATGTCCCAAGCATCAGGAAGGTCATGGATCACCAACAAAACAAGGCCATTACAAAAATTGGGGCCAACATAGAACGCACGTATGTGAGACGTCATAGACATAGAATGGTAGTTGATATAGTAGATGATTAAAAGCTCAAATGCAGGAGTGCAAGAACCATACATCACAAGAAACCCCTATTAAAAGGGGTATGCCAAGCCGATAGAAAAAAAGATATAACAGAACAGAAAAACACTCCTGTTATGTCAAGGTGCCGATTCGGAGCCTGCCGGAGAGTCAGCACCAAGCATCCAACTGAGTGTAATGCTTAGTCTTTACCTTCTTATTGTTATTCGAATCATAGTATCCACATATCAGCATATTCTTTACCATCCTTCATTTATTCATTCCCTCAGTATCCTAATAGCTTGTCATACTTTATCACTTTCCTTCCGAAATTTTTTAAAGCACACTTCAATTTGAGTCGACCTTATCTGTTCAATCAATGACCCACCAACACCTGAATCTGCAGCTCCCAAGCTCGCCAATGCCTCAGGCCAGTTCTTCAGGGCCTACCACCCCTGCAGATCCACAACCTCAACCTGACGCAACAGACCAACCAGCCAAGACAGGCAGAGATGCAACTCGCACCAGGACTGCAGCAATGAGGCAATCAGCTAGAATCGCAAACATAGGTGCCAACACAGAAGACACAGCAGCTGCCCAAGGAAGCTCTTCCAAGGTAACACCACTACCTGGTGCCCCAGCTAAAGCTGCAGCCAAGCCAGCAGCAAAACCGTCGGCCAAGCAGGCCGCCCCAAAACAAGCAGCCCCAGCCACTGCGCCTCCCGCACCAAGTCCCCAATCTCCACCCACTGCAGCACCAGCGCAGCAGACAGCTGACATAGCAGCGTTGCTCACCTGGATCGCACAACTTGAGCAAGAGCAGGCAGCAAGGAACACTCAACCCATAGAGCCCCCACCCAAGGCAGCCAACCCCACGCTTTTCACGTCCCCAGAAGAGGTAGAGAAAGCAAGAGCTGCTATCATTGCAGCCAAGAAAGACGAGCCCAAGGTCTCCCTTCCTGACGTGGTTCCAGGATTCAAAGTGAACCCCCTCGATACTGGTGAGAGTCGCCCCCCACATCACAAATTGTTTAGAGGCTTCGAGCCACACGCACCTAGGGTCAGCGATCAGTGCCTTGGGTCCCACCCATTCAATCCAAGGCACTCGAATACAGCTGCGTGCCTGAGTGCACTTGGCATCAACACTGAGCTGAAGGCCAGTGCGAGTTAGTAGAGCAATAGGCTCTGTCACTAAAGGCAGCTAACAGACTATACCAGGCTGCAGGCCAAGCTAGTCTCTCGTCTGACCATAAAGTGGTCCGAGGCTGAAGGCCAACCTACGACCTCGTTTTTTGCAATGCACATTCCGAGCTAGGGCTTGTTAAGCCCCTTGCACCCATACTCAACAAAGTACAAGAGCTAATGTCGAGCCGTTGTTGTCAGCTGTTCCGCCCAAGGTCAACGAGGCTTTCAAGGCCTTCAAATATGTGCTGTATAGCACACTCACCTCATCAGCCTGGTGGCAAGCAATAAGGAGCAGCAAAGAAGCCTTCACCATCTCCGCATCAGGCTCACTGATGGCCAAAGGTCTGGATCGCAGAAATGAGAGAAGCATAACACTGTCAGACTGGATTGGAGCAACTGATGTGGCAGAGGATCGCACTGAACACTACCATGTGATTGCATGTGTGAAGGCACTGAAGGCACACCACAGCATGGTCCTAGGACTAAGCTGTTCCCACTCATGGGACATTGCAGTTGAATACGACATCCAGCAATGCAAAATGGTAGCGCAACACCCACAACACGACCTATCCCAGCTAGATGACAGAGCGCTAACAATAATCGCGACTCGCATAGTTACCAGGCAGCCCGCCGTCACGGCGTCATATGGTCAGCCTCAGCTTAAGAGACAGCCACCACCATCGTCATCACAATTTCAACAGCCACCTAAGAAGAAAGCCAGGCTCCAGTGCTTTCGGTGCAGAGGAGCAGACCACCTACCAGGGTGACTGCACAGCAGAGTCAACTGTCACTGGGCACCCAACGGCCCATATCGCATCCTCAGCCAAGAGCGCACATGCCCTCACTGCCCCAGGCGGAAAGATTTTCTGCATCAGCTGGGCAAGATTTTCCAGCTGCCACTTTGCCAATGCCTGCATCAACTACCACGGATGCAGCATATGCGGAGACACTGCCCATGGTGCAGGAACCTGCAGAGCAACCAGGGCTAGATCCTAGATGCGTGGTCACACCCCTCATCGCATCAAAGCTCAAAGAGCTATTATATGAATATAATATATACGAAGACTGGAAACATATAATATCCAACATCAAAGAAGGCTTCAATGTAGGAGTCAGAGAAACACCAAAACCACATTGACATTTCGAGAATCACGCATCTTCACAACTCAACATCAACATAATAGACCAATATATAATCAGCGAGCAGAACACCGGGCGTTACTCTCGCGCATACTCAGTATCAGAACTAGAATCATTAATTGGCCCGTTCCGCACTTCCCTGCTTGGCCTAGTACCAAAGCCGCACTCAATGAAATTCAGGCTTGTCCAGGACATGTCATATCCATGCAACAATCCTGAGAACCCGTCCATCAACACCGGCATAAACCCAGACTCATTCCCAACGGAATGGGGCACGTTCGACAGCGTAGTGGAGCTAATTCTCTTGTTACCAGACGGTTGCGTTGCAGCCACATTCAACATCGCATCAGCTTACTGAATCGTACCTGTCCACCCCAGCCAGCAATGGGCGTTGTGCATTCTCTGGCACAATCTCGTATATGTCAATTGAGCTCTAATGTTCAGATTGAGCTCGAGTGCAGGATTTTTCGGATCAGTGGCAGACATGCTCGTATCCATATATGAGAAGGCTGGTTTCGGCCCAATCCAAAAATGGGTGGACAACTTTTTCGTTATCCGCCTCCCGCACCAAACATGGACAGAAGAAGAGTTCATCAAGCTTTCAGCCTTTTTTGGAGTTCCGTGGAGCTTGGAGAAACTGCGAGCATTCGCGACAATCCAACAGTACATAGGTTTCGATTGGGACTTAGCACGAAGAATGGTGTCACTCCCAGAGGAGAAAATGACCAAGACCTTGGCGCTAATTCAGTTGTGGCTGATGAAAGGCTCGTGTTTCACAGCAAGCGATGCAGCAAGCTTACACAGCAAGCTTGTGCACATATCAGCAATTTTCCTGCTAATTTGCCCTTTTCTTTGCTCAATAGTGCTCTTCACCAACAAGTTCAAGTCACAGCGAGCGTGACTACATGTACCGAGTACGCTAGTCGCTGACCTACAATGGACCACAGAGATATTGTCAATATCACCGTGCAAGAGACCTCTATGCACCCAACACCCAATAGACCTACAGTGGTGGGGTGATGCGAGTACATCATTTGGAGTTGGCGTCGTAATTGGATGGCACTGGGCAGCATGGAAATGGAGAGACGGTTTTTCGTGTTGGCCCAGGCCTCGAGCACGACATTGGATGGGCCGAGGCCACTGCTGTGGAACTCAGGCTGAGGTTAGCCATCCACCTTGGACTCCCAGATCGAGCCGACGCCAAAGGAAAGGACAGTTCATCCTAGTGCGATCGGACAATGCAGGAGTGGTCATGGTCATAAACAAAGGCCGGTCACGAAATCAGTCAAAAAACGTTGTCCTCAAAGAAATCTATCTATTGCAGGTAACAACAACTAACTTAAAGTTTACTCGAGCTCACGCCTCATCATAGGCTCACCATGGCATACACCTCAAAGTCAAACACGTACCTGGACAAATCAACATATCGGATCCACTCTCGCGTGGTGACATACAAGCCTTTCTAGAAAATTCTTCTGGCCCATCATTCAGGACCGACTTTCCATTGCCGCCACATCTCAATGACAAAATGTTGTTTGTTACAGCCTAACCTCTTCATCAACCAACCCCGCACCTCCAACGCCTCAAGATTTATTATCCCTTCGACCATCACCACTACGCCCACCATGCCCAGCAGAAGATCGCATTTTCTGCTGGCGCGGCGTCAACACACCTCCCCCATCCATGATCAATCATCCCGTCATTCATTTTCTCACCAACGCCTCAAACCAAGCATCGCTTCAAGAAACAACAAGCTATGGCTCAGGCCTCAGAAAGTTCCACATGTTCTGTGACATATTCTCCGTCCCAGAAGCAGGCCGTTTGCCAGCATCATTCAAAATGCTGCACTCATTTGCCCTTTGGGCCATCTCTGATCCTTCCACAGCAGAATCATTTCTAAAGTCAGCATCATTTGAAGCAGTGCCCTTTGAACCAGTTTCTGTATCAGTAGCAAGAAAATACCTTTCCGCTATCTGCACATGGCACATAGCGCAAGGTTGGCCACCCCCGCTATCACCAGAACATTTCACGCAAATTAATTGGTCACTTCGAGGAATGGAGAACTTGCAAGGTACTTGTTGTAAACTGGTCAGGCCCCCAATTACACTCCAGATGCTAACGGCTATCAAAGCCACCCTGCGGTTAGATCAGCCGTTCGATGCATGCATATGGGCTATGTCCAGCTGTGCATTCTTTGGAATGATGCGCTTCGGAGAAGTCGCAGTCAAAACACGTATGAGTTTCGACAAGTCGAAACATATCACAAGAAAGGACATTTTCATCAGAGTAGATTTAGCAGGAAAACCTTATGCCAGGCTTGACCTCCCTTGAGCCAAGACAGCAAAATCTGGGGAAACGCAATCCGTATTCATCATGGAACAAGGTGATCTATGCCTAATCCAAGCATTGCAGGAATTTAGCAGAGGTCGTGGCCAGCGTTACCAGAAGACCCACTGTTTTCATGGAGAGACAACAAAGGGCTCATTCACCCAATGGTTAAGACTTGCGCCATTGAGAGCATCAACAGCATATTAACCGCCTGGAACTGGGGAACGACCTTCGGGCACTCATTCAGAATCGGCAGCGCCTCATTCTACCTAGCTAACAAAGTGGACCCAGAGATAGTGTTAAGGTCGTGCTCAAGGGAGAGGTTACTCAAAGGGCTTCGGCTTCAGCTTATGTGCTGCGCCCCTTACCCGAGTACGTGCCCTTAATTTCCGGGGGACAGAGGGGAAGTCCAATGGAAGTCTGGGGAATTCCGGAGGACAGAAGTCGGTGGAGTTCGGCGGAACTCCGGAAGACTTATGTGGGGATGGAATAAGGCTACTATGGAATTCCGGAGTAGAAACAGAACAGAGGTTAGACTACCCTAAGGTAGAGCTGGAGAAGTAGTCCTAAGGTTTAACCCCTAAGACTCAGAGGTGGACAAGAGGTGAGACTCAAGTCCGGAGATTGCAGGAATGAGCAGAACTAAGATGATATTCGAACTGAGGAGTTCCGGAGTATTACAGGGGTTTATATACTGTAGGTATCATGTAAGTAAATCAGTCAGCAAAGGTAAGAGCTATGTACGAAGCATGTGGAAAGTCTATTACTAAGTATAACGGATCAAAGCAGTGAAGTCGGAAATGAAGTAAGAATGGACGGATCAGTAAGCATAGTGGAATAGGACATAACCAGTAACCGGAGCAATAGCTGATCTTAAAGGAGTTAGGGGTGAGTGCAGAGATGAAGGCGGAGCACCGGGCGGAATAGTAAGATGGAGGACCGGACTTCAATGAAGTAGATCTGGAATTCCAGATCCGGAGGTATGGGATATGACAGATAGTGCACATAGCCGGTTGCTGGAAGTCCCTAGCATATGAGACTTACATCAGGGCATTCGAGCAAATAGCAACGCAGCACCTCAGTGGACTCGCCAGCAATCACACAAGCTGTCCTTAAGCTAGCTCACTTGGTTGGGTTTAGCCGCTGAAATTCAGCCGCAGTTGGAGCTCACCAGCATTGGGGTAAGTGGCTCATTCCTTCAGCGTCCAGCCTGAGCTAAAGCTCGGACTCAGCCCAACCGTTCAGAGCCTTCGCCTTAGTTCATCTTCACCAATTCAACAGTCGAGGTTGGAGCCCAACTCCTTTCCACATCACACCATGTCAGATAACATATGCACCACCTCATTGACGGGAATACAAAGATGTGAGTGCTCTGAGTAACACGCAAATGAAAGAACAATTGACACAATAGAAACAGTCTTGACTGCACGTGAACTGATAGCAATGGTTCTCAAACCCATGCCATTGCCAGAGCTTCTATGTTTCGCCCAAGCCTGTTGCGCTGTAAGATTCAGCGCACTGGACATCATAACGAAGCGATATCAGGTCATTCTAGGACCATATGTTCCACAACGACTTGAAAAATTCAACAAACTTTTAACAAATACATGCGGGATTATCACAGGATCGTGTGCCATCAATATGCTGCTTGGCACGCCTCAATATCTGACAAGAGATCTGAACCTCGTCGTGCCATGTGGAGGTTGGTCCTTGATGGAGAACTTCATCTTGGATGACCTGCATTACACGCCCACATCAACAAGCATACATCCGATCATGAAAAACCAATACCGCAGATTCAAAGCTTACACAAAGCACGGTCAGTGAGTCACTTTGATGGAGACAGTAAGGCCATGGGATGCACTGCAACCCATTGCAGAGGCACCTTCCACCATTGACATGACAATGATGACCCCTGGAGGGATTGTGACTTTCTATCCAGAGATGACATTAGACTGGATCAGATACTCTACCCATAAAGGAGACGAACTACAACTGGGACAACACTTAGGGAGCAAAGGCAGCAACCGCTTTCGCATAGAGCGAAGCACAGCATTCCTCAGGCACATGTGTGGTGCAAATTGCCCGACACTCTGGCAGAACATGCGCAACCACAAGGAATATCTCGCGCTCGACTGGGATGCGCGCTTCACGGTAAAGAGGGCAATCACCAACAGCGACCTGGAATGGTGCATGGCCACTGTATGTGAAAACCCAATGTGTCCTTTCCGGTATGAAGTTGTTGGATGTAACACCATATGCCTGCCTATGTCTATGCCAGAAAGTCAGGACAGCATTGATGAACAAATGTTTAATATAGATGACCACAAACCAGTGCGTATTGCCACAAAATAAATGGTACACTGCTAAATAAAGATTAGAGCTATCCCATAGCATATCAAGGAATACTCTATGCGACTGCAAGCGCAACACCACGCATAGTAGACATTCCCTTGCAGGATGGAGTTGCTGAGCTGCGAGACTTAAATGATCTGGATGTCACCTATTAGGTAAACCAACATCAACAGGGAACATTCATTGCTTACAGACAACACCTCCGAAAGACCGTGCCGATCATTCCAAATGCAGAGACAGAGCCGGATCACATATACACTTTCTTTTTTGAGAGCGCGAACACCTCTCCTCCTCCAAATTCATTGACAGATGAAATCGTCCGACCAAGGAGAAGAACCATACAACATAATGGGAATCTTCTGGTCATCAAGAGTAAGCGAGGAGACAGGAGGGAGATCAGCAACATGACAACAGAGGATATTTCCTTGATGACATACATTGTGAAAGTGTGAGTTTGATTGTAAAAACAGCGTGACGAAACTGACAAACAAAAGGGTCCTGGAGGACTTGTGCCTCAACAAAGAACCAGACTACCTTCCAAAGAAAAGGAAGGTAAGATGTTGAAGGGAAAAAAATACATCGAGGATTCAAACATCAATGTGTTCTTGATAATTTGTAATAAATGACGCACTTTTTCCACGTTCACAAAGTAATGAGAACCTTTTGGATAGATGACCTTGAACCAATCTTGGGACACATACTGATGATTGGCAAATGGTACTGTCATAGGAGGGTCAATAGTGGTACAAACATTGGGGACCCTTTAACAACACCCACCTTTATGCCCACAACTCTACAAATGTAAGTACAGGGGAACAATCATGCGTTCTTCATGGTGAGAGTAACAGCTAGCAAGGAAATAGAAGCGGAAACCATAAACAAAAGTGGCTATGCCATGGAACATTACTTAAGTTAGTGTACTGTTACTATGATTCAGTCTATTTGCAATAATCGTCCGATTAGAAAAAATAAAATAAAAATTACCAACGCCTCCGTACTTCGTGACGCACAGAGCAAAGTCAAACAATGGATAAGCATTGCGATGTGATTGACTGATCAAAACATCGTACCAGGATGAAACTGCAACAAGAATAGATAAATGATGGGTCCAGGGGTGCCCGGAGGGCTGTTCTATTTATTTTTGTTGACATCGAACTACTAATACTGAGTGGTCCGGTGATGACGGTCCATGACGGTGGGACAATCTGGGGTAATTTACCTAGAAATATTTTTGTATCTGCAGTACCTAACTTGAAACATTTGAGATCCATTGGCGATTGAGATCACTGGCCATGGTAGTGAGTAGTGATGTGGCTAAGTATTTACTCAGCTCGCATCTCATCAAAGTTGAATGTTGACACAGCATGACGAGATGATAAGTAGTTGTAACCGTTTCTGTTATGCCGAAGTATAACACAGGCAAACAATAATCAATAAGACCAAAGGTCTGTCGATATGTTCAAGACAATAGTCTTAAGAATGTCCTAAGTCAAATCAAGGCTAAGTACCGAAGAGGTAACTTAGAATCAAGTCAGATGTTCAGAGGAAAACCAGCGTAGGTTAAGCTGAAGAATCAGCATCACCTAGCCAGGGTTTATATAGTATACTGGGTACAGGGTATGACGTAATAATAGGTATGTATCAGTAAGCACATGCGTAAGCAATGAGGCGTATGTGTAATACCGAACTAAATATAGCATGATAAGAGACATGCGTAGTAAGCGTGGATCAAGGGAAAAAGAAGCAAGATAAGCACAGCTGTAACATCACCCCCTTCTTATGTGGAAAGTCCCAGACTTTCACTCAAGACCATGACGCCGATCGTCCTTGGTTCCTCCAAGCCCATCTAGGGCCTCAAAGACACCTTTTTCCTCCATAAGGATCAACGTCAATTGTTGAAGCTTCTCTTTGATGTCTCGAATGCTATAGTCGAGTGAGAAGAGTTCTTCTTCTCTGTACTCAGCATTATGCCTTTCCAAGGTATTTTCGAGACAATCTCCGAGACGATAGAGGTCGTAAAGAGCGTTGAGCGCAGGCTCAGTATCTATGGCGTCCTTGATAGGGTTCTTGAAAAGTTTGGACGACAGCATAATCCTACGACGAAGTCTACGATCTTCAAGATCAGACAGGTAGGGGTCAGTCGCTACTTTCCAAGGAGCTGCTCATCGACGAGCTGCAACACACTCATGGGTACGGATAGTGGTAGGGCTAGCAGGAGTATTGATGAACATGGGGATCACTGGTTCATTGAAAATATGATATGGGGACGACGTCCCAGAGTCTGGTACGGGGGATGTCGGACGAGGGGGTTCAGGAGAGTTTCTTTGACTAATAGTCATATAATGAGGGCGCGGTGAGAATACGGGAAATCTGAGGTTGGGAATGGGGACATTTGGGGCACTGTTGTGCGTGATGATGAGGTTTATATCCTCATCATTGGAGGAGTTGTAGTTACGTCCACCAGTAGAGGGCATGGTTTGAATGGTTTAGTGATGATGGTTCGAGTTGAAAGGGGAATGAGTCGATGTGCCTGCTTATATCTGTTCAGGATTTCAGCGGAGTTGGCTAATTCAGACTCCGATAACCATTCATTATCGGCCGATGGGTAACCTTTCCATTTGACAAGGAAGCGTCTCCGTGAGAGAGTTCCTTTATGTCTGAGGATGGCTTCTACCTCGTGTTCTTCTTCTCCGTCAATTAAGTCAGGAGGTGGCGATGGGAAGTTAGGACCGTGTTCTTCATTTTCGCGATAAGGGGTAAGAAGTGCTGTGTGAAATACCGGGTGAACACGCCATTGGTTCGGGAGTTTTAGGCGATATGTGACTGGTCCGAGAACATCCAAGATAGTGAAAGGTCCTTCTCTTTTGGGTGCTAATTTCCTATTGGGGTAATTGAGATGAAGGTTCTTTGCTTCTAGCCAAACCTTGTCGCCTTTCTTAAAGGGTGTGAACTGATCGAGTGATTCTTTGCCTCATGGTTTGTCTGGCGAGTTCATGTGAAGATAAGGCTTCTTCTGGAGCCTTCTGGAGTTCTGATATTCTTGCTTCGACGGCTGGGAGATCCGATTTCTCGGTAGCCAATGGTAATGCTTGAGGGTGATATCCCATCATGAGATAGAAAGGAGAAACATTACGTGCAGAATGATGTCAGGAATTGTGTATGAACTCTGCCATGGGAAGTTTTTCTGACCACAAGGTTTAGGTCGTTTGCACAGAAGATGCGGAGATATACTTCTAATTCTTGATTTACTTGTTCTGTTTCTCCATCTGTTTGAGGGTGGAATGCAGTGGAGAGTGCAGTTTTGTATCCTAGAAGTCTTCCTAGTTCTTGTGCGAACTTAGCTGCGAATTGAGGTCCTCTGTCGGAGATGATCTTGTCATAGAGTCCGGAGTGTGTATAGATGCGATTGAAGAACACTTCTGCGACTCCTTCTGCATCGATCGTCTTGTTGCAAGGCGTGAGTACCACCCCCTTCATAAGCCCATGGTCTACCACGACCATGATAGAATCGAAGCCATTGGATGGAGGGAGGTCAATGATGAGGTCAACCGAACACTGGGCAAAGGGGCGGGATGAAGTGGGGGTGGGAATAGGGCAAAGAGGCGGCGCAGTCGGGTGAGTGTTGACCTTGTTCTGTTGGCAAACAGCGCAACCTTCAACGTATTTGCGAATGAAGGTTGGAAGACCCGGCCACCAGTAGTCACGAGAGAGGATTTCTTGGGTTTTAAAACGACCAGGATGGCCGGCAGTAGGGGCATCGTGATGAAGGGAAATCAGTTCTTTTCATAGAGGGCTGGGGGGAACGTAATTGCGACCTTTGAAAGTAAGAATATCGTTGGAAAAGGTCCAATCAGATAGCGCGGTTTTCATAGGGAGGGGTAGGGTGGGATTTGAAAGGGCGTCAATGGTTTGTTGAACTACGGGGTCAACTGAAGAGGAGATATGAAGTTTCTGTTGCATGGTACTGTCGATGAGATTTATGAACAGTCCAGCTGGTAGGACGGTGACATCAGAATTGTCCTTTGCATCAAGGGGAATATGGTCTGGTCTGCAAGAGAGGGAATCAGGAATGGAGAGATCTTTTCCAGGTATGTGTTGGAGTTGGAGATCAAATCGGGAAAGGAACAGGAGCCAACGAGCTTGTCAACGATTTAGTTGTTGGGCTTGGTGGAAATAAGTCAAATTCTTGTGGTTGGTCATGACAAGAACTGGGAATGGGGAACCTTCAAGGTAGTGATGCCAGGCCTCCAAGGCTCGTATAATGGCTAATAGTTCACAGTCAAAGATTTGATAGTTCCGTTCTGCGGGGGAAAAGGTCTGCGAGAGGTAAGAACAAGGATGCCAGTCGCCATTGGAGTCCTTTTGAAGGAGTACTCCACCAGTAGCATAGAGAGATGCATCCACAGCGATTGCGAACGGGGTGTCTTTGTCAGGGATGGAAAGTACAGGGGCGGAGAGGAATCGGTTCTTCAGGTCATTGAACACTTTATCGCAAGCTGACGACCAATCGAAGATGGAATCTTTCTTTGTAAGGTCAATGAGTGGTCGTGCGATAGTTGAATAATCAGCAATGAATTGGCAGTAGAAGTTGGCGAATCCCAAGAATGATCGAATATGTTTGACAGTAGTAGGTTGTTCCCATTTGACTACTCCGTCCAATTTGACTTTATCCATGCAAATCTGTCCAGGACGAATGAGGAGACCAAGGTATTCGACTTTGGTGGTGTCAAAGACACATTTTTCGGGTTTGAGGGACAGCTGGTGATCGCGAAGTCATTGCAATACTCGCATTGTTTGCTGATGATGGGATTCAAGGTCTTTGGAAAAGATTAAGATATCATCCATATAAATGACCATCCAACCTTCGTCTATCATGTCTGAGAAGATGTCGTTCATCATTGCCTGAAATGTTGCAGGAGCGTTACATAGGCCGAAGAACATGTGGTTCAAAGAGTCCTCTTGATGTTTTGAATGCTGCTTTCCATCTATCTGGACCGTGAATTCTGACATTGTTATAACCTGCATGAACATCCATCTTGGTGAAGATTGTTGCACCTTTTAACTTGTTGATAAGGTCAGGAATTCGAGGAAGTGGGTATGCATCTTTTATAGTTGCATCGTTGAGTCTTCTATAGTCTTGGCATGGACGTAGAGATCCGTCTTTCTTTCCTACGAAGAAGAAGGGAGATGCTTGTGGGGATTGAGATGGTACAATAGTTCCTTTTGCCAGGTGTTCGTCTACGAATTCATTCATCGCCTTTTCTTCTGGTGCAGACAGTGGGTAGATCTTGCAAGAACGTGGTTCGAAGTCTGGTTTCAGTTTTATCTTATGGTCAAAGGGTCGAGACGGGGGTAGGGTTTCCATAGCTGCTTTGTCGAAGACATCTTTGTACATATGAAAGACTTCGGGTACGAGTTCTTCAAATGTCTTTGGCTTTTCTTTAGCATATGCTTCTTGTGCTAGTTGTTGAGCGACGTTAGCAGCCTTTCAAACGGGAAGAGGAGAAAACATGAATCGAGCGGAGTTTGGAATTTTAGAGATTCTGTTTGTTCGGGATACAAAGGAGAACGTGGGAGGAATGTGTTCTTGAGTAAGCGGTGAATCAAAGTTGATTTTCTCGTATACTCCCACGAATTCTTCTCCTTTGACGTAAGCGATAAGAACTTCGTCATCTTGTAGTTCTTCTATTATTTCTTCTTGATCTTCTTCTTCTTCTTCGGGTAAAAGTTCCGGTTGTTCCTCGGGAATCTCTTCCAAGGATATGTATGCTTCTTCGTCTTCAATTTCTTCTATTCTTGGTTGCATGGAAGCATGTTTGTTTCTATTGGAGATAAGGGTTTGAATCATGATTGGGTCTTCTTCTAGCGAGATTTCGCTTTTAGCCCAGTCTATAGTTGGATTTTCGTTTTTGAGCCAGGGAAGTCCGAGGATGATGTCTTCACCTCCTAGGGAGGTAATGAGGAAGGTAGCGAACATAGTTCGGCCACCTGCTGAGAAGAATAGATTGCAGGCTTTGCTAATGGTTCCTGCTTTATTCTTTGTTCCATCCACATTCCGGACTTTGATTTGTGAAGAGAGATTGTGAGTTGAGAAATTGTTCTTTCGTACATATTTCCAGTCAATGAATGTTCCAGCGGCGCCCGAGTCAATTAGGGCGGCTGCTTCGGTGGTTTTATCGGACTTGCAGGATTCGATCGAAATAGGAATGTGCATAGAATTTGAATCGCCTACAGAAGATACAATGAGTCCGATAGATGTACTAGGGGTTTCCGACGCCGGTCCGGTCTCCCCATTTAGAAATCCTTCTTAGAAGAAGAAGGTACTTTCGACGCCTTCCAAGCTTTCCAAGCGAGGAATTCCTGATACTCTGCATCTTGATCGTCTTGTTCGATCTTAGTTTCACGGACTGGTCGTCCGGCCGGTTTCTGCCAACCGGGGGCGGAGTCTCTGTGGTTAGGGCAGTCTTTCATAAGCCCTTTCTTTCCACACTTGAAGCAGAGTCCCAGCTTGTGACGCCTGTCTTGTTCGGACCGCGAGAGTCGAGTGTTGCGTACTTGAGTGGTTTCTTCTTCGTCTATGTCAACCTTGTCAATGTCCATTGCGTATGGATTATTCTTCTTCGAGAAGCCTCCTCCAGAGTTTATGAGTTGCCTCCTAGATTCGTATTCTCTGGCGGCTTCAATCCACTCTTTAATATCCGCGGGCATTTTCTCTTGAATGAGGATTGCTTCTTGGACTTCTTTCTTGAGTCCTTGTCTGAAACACATTGTTTCGATGTCTGCATCTACACATTCGGCTTCTGCCGAGATTCGTTTAAAGTAGGCAATGTATGCCGAAATAGTGGAGGTTTGTTTTGCTTTCATTAGCATGTTGATGGCAGTAAGTGTGTCGTTCTTTGGGAAGAACACTGCTTTGAATTCCTTGATGAATTCGTCCCATTTCCCCATAGGGGTCACGGTATCATGTTTCTTGTTAATCCATCCTGTGGCCCATTGTGGAGCGTGTCCTTTCTGCATGAATGACGTTGCGAATGCAATGCATTTTTCATGGTTGTCGTAGACATCTTTGTTCACGGTTATGTATGTGGCAATGGATGTCCACCAGGCTTTGGCCTGTTTCTGCGAACCATCAAAGATGGCCGGTCTGTTTAGATTGATTTCACCCATTTTTTTAGGTGGTGGTCTAGGTACGAGTGGGGGAGGTGGAGTCGGGGTTCTAGGTGGTGGTGGTGGTTCAGATGGTCCTGGTTGGTCAGGTCTGTATCCTTCAAAGTATTCGTTTTTGTCTTGTTGGATGGGAGAGCCTGGTTCAGAAAAGTGTTCTTCTTCTTGGTCTGACTCCGAGGAGTATCGTCTTTGTTCTCTATAAGCCACGATGTTTCGTGACGACTACTAAGGTAGCATCGTTTGTGATAGAGCTTAACCTTTTGTTACGCTGAAGTATAATGCAGGCAAACAATAATCAATAAGACCAAAGGTCTGTCGATATGTTCAAGACAATAGTCTTAAGAACGTCCTAAGTCAAATCAAGGCTAAGTACTGAAGAGGTAACTTAGAATCAAGTCAGATGTTCAGAGGAAAACCAGCGTAGGTTAAGCTGAAGAATCAGCATCACCTAGCCAGGGTTTATATAGTATACTGGGTACAGGGTATGACGTAATAATAGGTATGTATCAGTAAGCACATGCGTAAGCAATGAGGTGTATGAGTAATACCGAACTAAATATAGCATGATAAGAGACATGCGTAGTAAGCATGGATCAAGGGAAAAAGAAGCAAGATAAGCACAGCCATAACAGTTTCAACTTTCAGATCGTAAACCTAAGGTCACCCCAGCAACCTTTACCAGTACCACCAAGTTCGACCTTCGCAAGAATGAACGCCAACAACATCCAACCTGCTCCAAAAACTCAACGAGTCTTTCAGGACAACACAAACTATAGTTTACCATAAGGATCAATTCTCCATAATGTTCAACTCATCTGATTGCTTTCAGAACGGATGCTGAAGAACATGCACACCTCCAACTGCAACATAACACCTTGAAAATCCTTATGGGTGAGATGAATTGATGCAAAGACATTGCCCCCCTGTTCTCCCTTACACATCATGCACTCTAGATGGCAAGAACTTTATTATACCTACTGACAATGAAGGCATACATTTCCGTGATTCATTGAGGTGCTGCATAATCTCACAGCAATTTCACAAGTAACTTCCAACATGTCCTGGACTTGTGTACCAGCAGTGGCCAGTGGGTTATGGATGTAAGCCTTCCGTGTTCTCACAGGAATATTTTAAATGTAGTATCCCAGGTCGCAGAAGCACTTCCTAATGCTGAAGTGAATGGTGTCAATCTGGCTTTGCCACAAATGTATGTTTCATCACTGGTTAATTCAACTGTGGTTAAAGAGCTTTAGAATCGAGAACTTGGGAATTCCATTGAATGCACACTTTCACAAAGTCGATATTAGTACGTGCCAGAGGAAGGTTTCTGTATCTGCTGTTGTAAATTGTCTCTGATAGATCAATCCCTCCCATTCCCAGATCATTATTTTGATATCATTCAAATGTGCATCATACCAAGTGTACGTTCTCAAACACAAAGATGAGTAATGATCGTTGATGCATCATAGATCTCAAACAGGACCAACCTTCTCAAGGAAATTGGTCATGTCCTGCAACTGGGTGATACTATCGGCCTCATAAATTCGTCATTATGCTGACTTCATCCCAGGGGGATATATCACATTCCTTGAACCCAGAATATCAGGGAATTGGCAGACTCCGGGACCATCTGCCATCCAGCTGGGTCCGGCCGGGTTTGTCTGGGTCCGCCTGTGTCGCTCAGTTTCGGAAGTGATTCAATTCAATCATTTGATTCGCCTTGGTGGTAACACTAGAACAACATGACAGTGTTTAATTGTTTGCTGTGCCATCTTGAACAAGAGCCAGGCACAATCAGTAACACCTCGCTCACTTCTCTTTTCCAGTTCGTCACTCTTGCAACCCTGCTTAAAAACAACATCATCCTTGTGGAGCCTTCCTTGAGTCCAACTTCAAACCCACCGTTTGTTCTATCACCTGCAGTCACCACATTTCTTAGCGCAGGCTGTTCAATCTCTCCAGCTGAAGTCAATATGCATGGTCCCTCCTCAAGGATGTCATCTGGAGTGGAGGGATCACTGTCGATGTGGGATGGCTATGGGAGACACATGGCACTCAAAGGGGTGTAGGTAAGTTCATTTGATTGCATTGTCACCTCTGTTTCTTTATCTAATGATGGGATGGTCCCAGCTGAGTATCTGCTCTATCCTCCTAGCCACTCATGCCTTCATCCCAACTGCCAACGTCGCGCAAAAAGCATGACTCTCAAGAAGGCTGCTCAAACCTATGCAGTGTTGTTCACGCTGACGAAAGGCCTGTGCATTGCAAAAACCATCCATCTCTACTATCAAAGTAAGCTGCACTCTCACTTTGAGTCGTTATTTTTGTCGTTGACAAGGTTGACTAGCTTGTGGAATCGATTACCACCACAATTACAGTGTGTTTAAAGGAGAGTGCACCTATTACGAGCATCAACCAGATAGTGTTCAGGCTGCGGATAGTGTGTTCATTGAGAAGAGTGTAATCGAGCTCTTTAGGACTGCAATGGATTTCTCGTGGTACGCTATATACCATGCTCTTGATCTCTCCCATCTGACTATAAATCTTGGTTGCACCCAGGACTTCAGCTATGAACTGCGCAAAGTTGTATAACCTTTGCCTCTCGCGTGGTAAGCAGGCACCTGCGGACTATAAAGTCAAGTTTGCACTCTCTGTTGAGCATGTTTGGGACGGCTATGTAATCACTTCACTGCTGGAGGACTGCAAGTGTCACATGAGCACCCTCATTACTCCCCACACTGGTGAACAGCAGGACCAATTCACAGAGGCCATGATCGCAAGGAACCGCCGCATTCAGCTCTATGGCTATGAGCAGGTCCGTCGCCACTACTGCAATAGATGCACAAGCATGTATGAAGATGAGCAAGGTGTCGGTGAGTGTCATAGTTTCGAGGCTACATGGGACTAACAGGTAAGATATATACAGTCACACATAAAGTGTCTGTTGTCGACGGTGTCACTGTCGGCCATCCATGCTGTGCAGTTTATAACTGCCACATCCCACTGTCTAACAACCACCATCACTTTTGTCCTCTACACTCTGGTCAAAATGACAAGTGCGTGATCATTGGCTGTGACCTGCCTGTTATATGTGGCCAACACACTTGCTCAATACCAGAACATCATCAAATTGAGGATACTCACGAGCTGCGTGGTCAATCCAGATTCCAGCTTCAGGAGTGCCTCACTCGTGCCAGAACTACCATTGCCACCAACACATCTCTCACAGGTGATCCACCGGACGAAGAAGAGTATGAGTTCGATGAGAACACCAGGAGAGCACTTCCCGCTACCAGTTCATCCCAGGATAGACCTGGAAGGAAGAAGTTCAAGGCAGTCTTTGGCCGCCGGCGCACACACAATGAGCAGTTAGTTGTTGCTCTGTGCGGTATGATTGTTGCTCGAAGGACCTTCTTTGGAGCGGAGGGAGTAGCCAGCATCAAGGTATGTGTTGTCATTCTATGACCATTTCTTCAACTCTCATGGTTATCTGCAGCAATTCATCAAAGAAGTCTATGCAGGCGAAGATGCTGTCAAGCCCAACCACATATTCTTTGACAACAACTGCACCCTTGCAAAAATGGTGATGGGCAACCCTTTCTTTGACAACATTGGCTTGTCCGTCGACATTTTTCATTTCAAATGCAAGCATTCACAGACCAACACATTCTGCCAGGAGAATTGCAACCCAGAAGCATTCCCTGAGCTCCATAGCAATGATGGGAAGGGTTGGCGGTTCAATTCCTCTGTGGCAGAACAAACAAACAATTGGTTCGGCAAGTATCACCCCATCGCTCATGAAATGGTAGCTCACAAATTCAACTTCTTTTGTGATGAGTTGATCTTACAGAGGAATTGTCGGACACAGGAGAAGCTGGGCAAGGATGGACACCACCCACGCATATGGCCATGTCAGCAAGTGTTTGAATAGCATGTAGGATACAATAATCATGTACATTACCATTCTAATAGACACCTTCTCGTCGCCATTACTCTGTTGAGTTGGACAATCATGATGACAATGAAGGTACTTTGCAGTTGAGTTGGACGACATGCGCGGCTACGTGCACGGCCGAGTTGGACAATCATGATGACGATGAAGGTACTTTGCAGGCACGCAAATCTGATCTAGAGGAACTCACGTTACTCTGTTGAGTTGGACGACGTGCACAGCTACAGTGCACGGCCGAAACTAAAGGCAGGCACGCAAATCTGATCTAGAGGAACAGTATTAATTATGAGAAACAAACAAAACTATGACGCGAGGAGAGAGACACTATAGGCAATGACAGTGATCAATTATGAGAAACAAAACTATGATGCGAGGAGGGAGACGCTATAGGCAATGTGAACAAAACTAAAGGGAAATGAAATTGTGGCTACTTGCGCGGCTGTCTTGCCTTCTTCATGAAGGAAGTCCAGCTTCCTTTCTCCGTTCGGCCGTAATCAATGAAATGTTGGTGAAGCGATGTGTTGGGCTCGAAGTCCCACACCTTGCGGTTGTCGTAAAATGTCAATGCTTTGAACGGTACACCAAAGTGGCCAATGAATGCATCTGCCACACTGCGTCGTCCATCAACTGCCCTTTGACAAGCATTGAAACCCCGAGAGATGTCAACCACATAAAAGTCAACAGGCCAGATTGTGACTTTCTCAACAATGATGGCATCATGGCTTGATGATCTGTGTGAAAGAAGACTTCCTGAATCCTCCTTCTTCACAATCAGTGTCGAGTGCATTGATGAAATAGATGATGAGAGTGAATGAGAGTTAGAGGCATCAGAAAGATTGAATGAGTCAACAGAAGGAAGTCGTTTGCGGCATGGTAAAACACGGCAGGGAGCCTGAGGAAGTGGAGAATGGTGCCGCTTGGCTGCATGGACAGGTTTTGTCGTGTCATCCCCATCACTATCTGTCAATGACAAGATAGACGAAAAGCGACGCTTGATTGGTGGTTCTAATGGGTGGCGCTTGATTGGTTGAGCTGGTGAGTCATTAGGTATTTCATGCTCCTTGTCTGACGAGACCAGCGACAGTGAGGGCATATGAGAGCGAGGTTTGCGAGCATGCAGTGCAGGATTGGTAGGAGGTAGAGATGGTGTATGTGAGTTCCGTACAAGAGATGCAGCACGCACATACTTCCGTTCACTTGTCAGGTCCATCATGAGGTTGGCACTTACTGGGCGTGTCAGTCTGCAAAGGTGCCAGTCAAAGTCCATGACAAAACCAGATGATATTCCACATCCATCCGACCCATCCTAAACCCATCCACAGGTATCCATCTCCCATCCGATGCTTGCCCATGCACGCATGGATGATCCGTCACTCGCATGCGTGGTCGGATGCAAGTGCATGCGCTCGGATACGTAATAAAGTGCATCGGATTGTTTTGGAATGTTTCGGGTGTACATGTAATAGTGAGTGCATTCGATACAAGTCATGGACTCATAGGCGATACGCATGGTCGGTTAGCAAGCGGGTTTTTGCCCATCTATTAGAGGTGCTTTGGTACATACAGTGGCTCAAAAAACTGTCTGCATGTTTTCACATTTTTCACTATCTATGATATTGTGTGAGAATATACAAACACATCAAGGACATGCTGGTACCACATTGTAGTACTACTTCAGGGCTTCCAATTGAGCCCTATGGCATGGGAATCAGTCGAGATATGGTGGAGATATAAGGCTTACAAAATGATGACTCATGTGGACAGTTTTTTGACTCAAGTATTTTACAGTGACAATCAGGTATTCCAGTACATTGTGTGACCTCCCTTGGCTTTAATTACTACCTCTATCCTTCTAGGCATACTCTCAATCAATTTCTGGCAATATTCTGCTGTAATCCTTGCCCATTCCACTGCTACACTCTCCCATAGCTCCTATACTCCTTTAGAGGGGGTTTCATAGGCTTGAAGCTTCTTCTTGAGTGTTCCCCAGAGATGTTCAATGACATTGACATCAGGGGACTGTGCTGGCCAGTCAAGAACATTGATAATATGTTCTTTAAACCATTGTCTGGCTCTCCTAGATGTGTGCTTGGGATCATTATCCTGTTGGGAAATAATGTCTTTTTCATCAATCCCTGATTCAGCTATGCTAGGCAGCAAGTGGTTGTTTAGAATGTCCACATACTGCTCAGCATCCATCCTCCCCTCAACTTCAGCAAGCATACCCACACCATTCCATCCCATACAGCCCCATACCATTAGAGAACCTCCTCCAAATTTGACAGTCTCACTAACCTCTCTGTCTGTTAAAAAATCCCTCTTCATTTTCCATACATATACCTTCCCATCTGACCCAATCCTATTGATTTTGGTCTCATCTGACCATATAACATGCTTCCAATCCTCTACAGTCCAGTTTTGATGGGCCAAGCCAAAGGTAGTCTTCTCTGCCTATGTTTGATAGAGAGAAGAGGCATTTCTTCTTTGTTACTGCCTTGAGATGAGCTGCCTTGAGAACACTCCTCACAGTTTGTGAAAAGACAGTGGTGGTGATGGTGGAATTGATATAATGGGTGGCTTGGACAGCATTATTAGCCTTTCCTATAGTGATATGTTGAATGATAGCCCTCTTATTAGCAGAGGTGGATGTCCTCCACAAGAGTTTTCCTTGTCCAGGTGGCTTTCTTTGATACACATGGCCACAGTAGACTTGCATACTTCAGTTCTAGAGGAAATTTAATGAGCAGAGAGGCCAGCACAGGACAAAGAGAGGATATTATCCCTTTGAGCAGAGGAGATGGCTTTCATGGTGATTATGACCATGACACATGACACATTCTGGTTTATATAGTTAGATATAGTTTTAAGAGTATGCCTAGAAGGATAGAGGTAGTAATTAAAGCCAAGGGAGGTCACACAATGTACTGGAATACCTGATTGTCACTGTAAAATACTTGAGTCAAAAAACTGTCCACATGAGTCATCATTTTGTAAGCCTTATATCTCCACCATATCTCGACTGATTCCCATGCCATAGGGCTCAATTGGAAGCCCTGAAGTAGTACTACAATGTGGTACCAGCATGTCCTTGATGTGTTTGTATATTCTCACACAATATCATAGATAGTGAAAAATGTGAAAACATGCAGACAGTTTTTTGAGCCACTGTACTTTCCCTCAGTCGTTTCTATCGCCTCCTTTGGCAGCGGCTGAGTGCGGATTCCATCCGCTTTACTTAGGTGTATCCGCGGACCCTGATCCGCATTGCTTAGGGTACTAATGGATCGCATCTGCTTCACTCAAAGTTTGTCAGTCCACACACTCCCTGACACATGCATCTCTCACAAAGAGGATGCCAGCATTGCGCTCATGCAGAGTGACCATGTGGCCCACATCAAACCGGGTCCATGTGTTGAGGGTGCTGGTTGTACCGCTGGATAGGAGCAATCCTTGCAGGAGCGGGAACATCAGGGTCCTCGGATGTCATGCACAATTTATGGAGGACTGAGAGTGAGAAGTAGAAGTTGGGTAGTTTGAAGCCATCTTGAAATTCATAAATTATGGGCTCAACACCATTCTGAATCCATGCGTACACAACAACAGTGTTCTTCTCCTGAGCGGCAGCCTGTAGACGTTCAAGTTCACATTGGTGCCTTTCTTCATTCATTTCCTCTTCACAAGCATTTTGCTGCATAAAGATGGCAGGCATCTGCATTGCATAGCATGGTGCTGCTCGGGCTTTTGGTTGCGACAGGCCAGCGACCATGTGTGAAGGAAGCTGCACAGGTTCACTAGCATCTGGCAGCTCAATAGCCCAACCCTTGCCCTTCTGGACTCGTGCAGGAGGCTCAGGAACTTCCAATAAAGAGGCCAAGGGTGGGGACAGACAGATGTCCAAGGGTGGGGACAGACAGACGTCCAAGTCAGAAGGTGCAGCATCAAGAATCAATGCCGGCTGGGAAGGTGGGGGTGGGGGCACAGGCAGACATGTTTGAGGCTGATGAAGTGTTCAAAGCGCCAATGATGGATCTAACACAACAGCAGCGGTATGTCCTTTGACAGAACAACCACCCAACAGGCCGCAATGTGTTTGGCATGCAGCATTATCACAATGTGCATGGGGATGCTTCTTGCACACCAGGGCAGCGCACATAAGGAGTAATGTGGTGTTACTCAAGGCAGCAGGCTGGACGACAGCAGTTGGGGCTAACTGAGCTGAGCCCAGGGTGGGGGAGCTAGAGGGACTGGTTGAACCCCATGCCCAGCAAAAGAAATTACATGGCACTTGCTGCTTGCCAGCAAATTTCTTGCACTTCAGTGATGGAGTCAGTTTGGTGAACAAGTCCAAGAAAAGATAGCACTTACCACTGCCATCCAACGACCCTCGTTTCCATTCTCATTTGTTTCGCACCATCGCCAAGGAGCCTCCTCTTTGCAGTTATTGCACGAGTGTATAAAATCAGGCTGTGGTTGAGCCAATCAAGCATTGAGAACAGCTTCCCATGATGGTGCACCCTGCGAGGTGGATGGGGCATTCATGGTTGTCAAGAAACCTGGTAATAGGAGGATATCAACAATATTTATCTGGCAGGCACATAGAAATAGACTTACCGACGTTATCAAGTAGCTTGAGAACCACATAAACATTGAGAAATGAATGACACACTGTGGAATATAGTAGTTAGTATTTGTAAGATACAGGCCATGTTGGAAACTTACAGGTAGCATAGAGATTGAGAGAACACATACTGGGCTGGGCATGCAAAGGCATGGTGGCAGTAGTGGTTGGTTGAAAGCAAGAGATAAAGATAACCAACATTATGATGTCGTGAACCAGACAGGATCTGCACTCGGATGGACTCGGAAAATTCCAATTTCCCTGGATGTCCCCCTCGAACCAAGACCCTCTTTCTCTGGGACCCAAGGCACTCGCACTGCTGCATTGATAGAATTTGACCACCTCATAATGCAGTCACCTCATACCCCTGCTTCGGGCACTGGGGACAATGATACGTCTTGGTCACTCACTCTGAAGATAGCATCTATGCTTCAAGAAGCCGTAGATGATCGAGGGAAAACATTATTTTACGATGTGTTGTCTTCAGAATTTCTCGTTCCCATAGGCGGTTGGCCTGACAGGTAAGTGAATATGAGCGTAATCTGTGCTTGCTTACTTGCATATTGCAGAGGAAAAACTAAAATCAGTAGGTTCAATGATAGCAAAAGTGCAAATGGGTCTGGTTGACGCATTCCGTCCGATGTTCATCGTGCTCCAGTTACTCACTGATGACGAATTTTCCTCTCTTCGGGTGCGCGTCTTAGCGGAAATTGGGGATCCAACTTTACAGTTACAGATACATTTCATCAGCGCATGGGGCCATAAAGTCGCTGAAAAATCTGGCTAGGTAGCCTTGTGTCATGTATTTCTGCTTGCATAGTATTCATGTAGAGATGATAGATTCCACATAACAAATAAAGATGAACGGGCTATGAAAAGTTAGCTCGCTTACACCGCGGCTAAGGATAAATGCTCGCAGCGATAATGCTTGTGTGTTCTCAGCTCCTCTCATGTAGGTAGCATATTGATCGACGGCTCAGGGGAAAACCACTCGATATTTTACGCTGATTTGCACGTGCAGTTTTACATATACTTATATAGCTGCCAAATAGGCATCGAAAATGCACTCGGACCTAGGCAAGGTCATGCAACCAGCATCACTAATCTGATGATCCTGTTCCAGAACCTTCAATGACCCAGTGGATTCTGCAATAAAAGGTATCCATATAGAAGTTAGCGCATGATAGGCAAACTACAGATTGAGCGCTGTGCAGGGAAGTCTGAAACACACATCAATTTCCTAATTGGAAAGGAATTATTTTATTCCAGACAGAACACCAGGATTGGCCAAGGCACCGGGGCAAGATGTCACACATCCCCTCATGGAATCCAGGCTGGCATCAGGACACAAATGGCCATTTCACCTCATTTCATCCAGGTTACGGTGGTGTTTGACACCCATTTGTACCATCAGCAGCACAGCACTGGACCCGAGAAGGTCATCTTGATTATCCCCCATGGGGTAGTTCTACCGTGGTTGACAGCTTTATCGTAGGGAACCAGGATTCTTAATAATACCAATTTACATGCGGCCGTGATAACTCAGTGATAGCCAGGACTCCAAGAGAACATTGAGTGCGAGCGTGCACCGTTCTGACTAATGATCATCCTTAGCTGCAAGGATACTTCACCAGTCACCAGTGGGCTTGGTAATAGTGAGGCATTTCCGGCACCTCTCTTCTCCTTTGACCCTTTTCAAGATCGAAGTCCTCCGCGACAGATGTAATCTTGATTGTTACTGTCTCGTAAGTTGTGTGGACCGTCGACGTGTATAGCTACTGGAGGAGGAAGGAGGCAGATATCGCAAGGTATGGCATGATAACCTTTTCGGTCGTTTATCTATTGACCATGAATTCAACAGGACAAACTGGTCAGTTTCTATGTGAGCTAGTCTATATACAACGCCTGAACTAAATTATCATCCGGGTACAAATACAGCGGGTAGATACAATAATACCTTGTTAGCCAGCACTGTAGTAAACAAGGGATCCAACTGTTTCTATGGTCGATTTTCAGACTATTTACTTATGACTCAAGGTTAGAACAATGATTATACACCTACGAAGATCTACCCTATGAGGTGCACCAGATTCTAGGCAGGCTGTTTCATCGTTACTAAGATCTGATTAGTACTACATGTGTGGCATTTAAGGTAAACGTTCACACTGAATAGAGTTGTTTTCTTTTGAAGGACTTAAGATTCAGACAGAGAAAACTGGCTGAACTAAGCTTCGTGTTTTGGTGGGGGTGAAAGATTAACTAACTATCTTCTACTACGAGTTCTACTTTATATACCGTAGTAATGAGCCAATAGAATGTAAAGGAATACTGAGGAAAGAATAGAAAGAATGTGCCTGATACATATATGATTTGTCGTTTAGGTGACGAATCAATAACTAGGCTTTTACGAGCGTTGCATACACCCTCCAGATCAACTCAACGGGGGGGATCTTTTTGAGGTTCTTTGGGGAGAGAGTGAAAGCCTCCCCATAGTCTAAGCGCTAGGCGCTGGAGAAGCAAGCCTGGTGGGCACGGGAGCCGCAGCAGTGCCAGTATGCGGTACAGGTCCCCACGCAGCTAAGATCACGGTGAAGGTAAGTACCAGGATAAGAGATATACGAGCACAAGAGCTTTACCGAAGAATTCGGCCTGGAAGCATGCTGCGTTATTGATGTCCATCTGCTCAGTGGCAGAGATGATGTCGGCTATGTCAGGACCCTCGTCTGGGGTCGGAGAGGTGGATGACGCTGCCGTAGGTGCGGGGTGAGGTACTGGTGCGGCTGACGCAGCTGCGATGACTTGGGCAACCGTGGAAGGGCCTGAAGGAGGGGAGGATTGTACTGCAGGAGCAGGGCGAGTTTGGGAAGGAACCTGAAGGGGTCGATCACGGTGATGACTGCGATTGTCAAGCGTTAGGTTGGGGTTTTTACGAGAGTGGGAGTGGTGCGAGCGTTTGCATCTGCGTTCACGATCGCGCTCAGCACGGACCTCGAGGTCAAAGGCATGAGCCTCTTTGCGCATAGCAAGTTCTTTGGCTTGGGCTTCAGCCCTAAAGAATCGCGTGAATGCGTTCAGGGCATCAGAGTTGGAGTCATCACGGTGAGTGGGGTTCGCGAACCTGCGACGACAAGGGGGATTAGACCAGCCTCATCTATGGCTCGAGTGGCAATTGTTCCCAGAGTTAGGGGGATTGGAGGAGCGGTGAGGGATCTCACCTGGCTCCTGGCCAGAGTCTACAACCATGGGCTCAGGAGGGGAAACGGAGGGCATGAGTAGAGTTGTTGGGGACTCTGCAGGTGCGTAACGTGGGCCTGACCCAACTCTTAAGTAGGTATTCTGAGACGCGAAGAGGCTAGCTTCATTAGGGAGTTCGCGGATTAGCCAATCAATGAGGTCTTCTGCCGCATAAGGGTTTTCTAGTGAGGAGCTAGCGCTGGATATGCTAATTTCAGGTGATGTTCGTGAAAATTTTCTAGGGAGGTGTTGGATACCAGGGAACCCCGAGAGCTTCAAGGTATTTCCCGACGGCTTCGAGCCAAGATACTTCGTAGTAAGGTAACCAGACTTTATTGCCTGTAGTATATTCAATTTCGAAATAGCGAGTCGGTTCCCTGGCCGTTATGATCGACCATGCGAGCTACAGACCACTCTTCGAGACTTCCCAGGTCAGAGATCTGGCTAGGTTGTCTCCCGGGGAATCGACGGTCATCATTGGGGACGTGTAGTCTCAGGAGGTGAGCGTGGAATGCAGGGTGCAGGCCGCGTTGTTTGAGGTCGGCTGGCAGATCTAACAGGTAGGAGTTGTTCCGATAATCTTCAAGGATCTTGAATTTAGGGGCAAGTTTGCGCATGTGGCCCTTTGGTAGGGAGAGGTTCTCAGTAGACAAGTATACAAGATTGCCCTTTACGAAAGGGGCTTCCTTGCGTTTGTGGTTAGATAAGGCGGTACTTTTGACTTGTGCGGCTATAATGGCATCATGAGCTCCCATTATGGCGTCTTTCATGCGTTGGGCAAATATACGCACGCCAGGGTATTCAGACTGTGCGTTCCAAATCATCGATGGAGGCTGACGGCCATAATTGAGGATGAACGGGGGCTCCTTTCTCGAGGCAGAACTCGCCAAGTTAATCGCGAACTCGATTGCAGGAAGTTTCATAGCCCAGTCCCGTTGGTTCAGGGCAATGCACTGACGCAGCATTTGAGTTATGGTGTGATTGGCGCGCTCGGTTGTCCCGTCGGTTTGTGGATGGAAGGATGTTGACATTCGCAGTTCGGTACCGGTCAGTTCGTTGAGTTTTTGCCAGAATGTGCTGGTGAATAGGGTGTCTTGGTCGCTGACGATTCGGGACGGCATACCGTGCAACTTATATACAAGGTTGAACATTACTTTGGCAATGTCTTTTGCTCAGTATGTCTGCTTGGTGGGAGCTAAGTGTACCATGGCCGTTAAGTGGTCTATTGCCACGAGGATCATGTCAAACGCGCAGTGCAGCATTTTGGATTCGGGGAGCGGTCCAACGAAGTCTACTCCGACCATTTCCCATGGTCTAGTGGGTACCTCAAGCGTCTCTAGCAAGCCATATGGTTGATGGTTCATTGGTTTAGAGACCTGACATGTTGGGCAGGATTCACAAAAGGCCTTGACGTCCGCCGCGATCTCTTTCCACCAAACATTCTCGCGGAGGTAAGTTAGGGTTTTTGAGGGACCTAAGTGGGCTAGGATCGAGTGTGCATGTGATATGAGTAGTTCTCAGACTCTTCGGTTGCCGATTAGTATGTCTGGGATACAAAGGGTGCGTTTGCTATTATCTTTGAGGAACAAGCGGCCGTTACTCAGTTCAAAGTTCTTAAACGCATGCAGTTGCTCTAGGACTTGTGAGAAGAATTTATCTTCGGCATAGCGGTTGGCGATCTTCTCGTGTATGTCTATCGATGGGTCTCCCATTGAGATCACATCGGTGAGGAGAGGGGGTGATTCCGATAGGATTTCCTCAGCGATGTTCAGTACATTGTTTGAATTGGGGCGTGTGTCGCATGGTTCGTGCGCGGTTCGTGCGGCGCTTGAAGCTGGTAAATGTGGGTCCTTGTTTGTGCATGGTTTGTCACTTGTGTCTGTTTGGACGTCCGTTTTATCGTGTGTCTGATTGTTTTCGTTCGTACTCCTGCCCTCCAGTGATTGTGGGGGAGTTTTACCGACCTTCAGAATTACTCATCTGACTTTAGTCATTTCAGTGGGCCCAGGACCCGTAGGTCCGCCCTGTTTCCTGCAGGGCAGTGTGTGGTGCGACGTCTGTAAGGGGCACGTGGTTGGCAGTCTTGATCACTTGGGTGCTTGTGATGAGTGCTGGTAGTTTCGCTTGCCTGGGCGTCGGGTTCACGCGCACCCGCGATACTGGCCTTTGATGCTCTGCTGGTAGTGTGGGGCGGTTCATTAGGGTTTCGGCAGCCGACACGTTTCAAGGCGAGGCAGGACGAGCGTCTTGCTTCAGTAGCCCCCAGAAACAGGGGTGAACCAGTATACACCAGGGCAGTCACAAAGTTGAGGAGGAGGGAGCGTGGTGAGTCGTCTTCGGTTGTGCTGACATACTCACTTGCAGCTCTAACGGTCCCCTTAGGTTCATCGCTGTAGATTCGGGACAAGGCATCCGCAAGCGTATTCTCTATGCCTGGTATGTGGGTGATGTCAAAGTAAAATTCGCTGATCAGTTCTAGCCAGCGGACTTGCCGCGGGGACAACTTCTTCTGCATTTGCAGCCATTCAAGTCCCTTATGGTCGGTTAGGATTCGAAATTTGTATCCTATCAGTAAGTGTTGGAATCGCTTGAGCGACTCAACAATTGCTAACAGTTCCTGCTCATGCACAGGATAATTCTGCTGGGCTGAGTCAAACTTGCCCGACCAAAAGGCGATAATGTTGGCCTTGTGAGCGTCTAGACCTTGCAATAGTACACCACTGGCTCCGGTGAATGAGGCGTCTGTAATTAGGTTCACCGGGCTAGTCCCGTTTACGGCAGAAGGTAAGTCAAGCGCTTTCTGCCGCACTTCACGATGAGCCTGAACGCATGCCTTTACTAGGTCAAATGCTCGCTGATCTGTAGGGTCCCATGACCATTTCATCGTGTGAGCCGCTACTTTTGACAGATGCTGCATGTCGACGCGAACACTGTCGCATCCAGCAGTGAGATACCCCACAGACCTGATGAACTGCATTAGTAGTTCTTTTGATGTGGGCGTCTTCCAGTTAACAATTTTATCGACCTTATGAGGGTCGAGGCGGATACCCTCATCGTCGATTACGTGCCCCAGGATGCACAGTTCGCGCATGAAAAACTGAAGTTTATGCTCACTTAGGTAAAACTTATTAGCTCGCAAAGTGTCGATGACGGTTCTGACGTGACAGACATGATCTTCAGCCGAGTCGGAATAGATCACAATATCGTCTAGATAGACGTCCATGAAGATGCCAATATAGGGGCTGAATATCTGGTTCATCAAAGACTGGTAAGTGGCTCCCACGTTGCAGTCACCAATTTGCATTACGTGGCTAATCATGGTACCGTCTGGAGTGGCGAACAGCGACTTGGGTATGTCCTCGGGTACGATGCGAATTTGCTCATACGCGTCTTTGCCTGTCTAGGAGCGATCGATAAGGGTGGAGTGTGACGTTTCGCAGTATGCCTTCTATGTCAGGCAGTGGGGAGGCTAGTTTGTGGGTGTTTTTATTTCACTCACGAGTATCAAGGACAGTTCGTAGTCGAAGGGTATTGTCCTTAGTCACCTTCTTCATCATTATCATTGGGACGGCGTTGGAGCCACTAAAGAACTCCCATCGCCCAGTGCGGATGTAATCATCATGTTTGCTCCACCAAAGGGGGCGAAGTGCCTCTGGGCAGCGGGATTGGCGCCAGGAGTATGAGGCTGCGATCATTGATCAGAGGAATGACATGGTTGATTTCTCAGAGAGGAGGTAAGGGGGTTTCAATTGCCTCTTTGCAGATATCTCGAGCAGTACTGACGCAGTTCCTCCCTGTAGGTTTCAATAGTATTACTTGTCAATCCAGAGCCTCACAGTTCTAGAACTTGCGTCTGTGCTCCTCGGATGGGTAAGGGGTCCAGGCTTCTAATTTTTATTTCGGGAGGATTAAATCCCAGTAGGATCTGATGCTGAAACAAGAACGGCATGCCCAGGATGACGTCATAGGAATCTAAATTCGCGATATCGAAGGTACGATAACATTTAATGTCTTGATAAGTAATCTCAATGTTCGTAGTGGCTTTGACGACGCTACGTGAGCCTGAGACAGGTGAGTTGAAGGGGGATTGGCTTCTCGAGTACGTCGTACTTCAATTTCAATTGATCGACAATGGTTGTGGATATGAAGTCAGTCAATGACCCTGAGTCCAGTAGGGCTCGACAGGGTCGTGCATTTACGAGAACGATTATGACAATTGATCGAGGGAGGATCCGAGACGTCATCTTCAGTCGGGCAGCCTGTTGTTGCAGGGTTCGTAAATCTGGTAGGTCGCTTTGTTTATTGGAGCTTCCCCCACAGTATAATGATTCAACTACAGGGGGTTCTTCATCGTCCAGAGATTCAGTGTCCCTATGGCTTTCGTCGTCGGACAACTCACTGTCAAGGAGGACAGGTAGGTCGTCTTCAGCGTTGAACGGAGGATTAGGCTGACGATCAGAGAGGGTATCGTCAATATTGCAGTCCATAGGGGCCGGGCTACACTGCTCTTTTACTGTGAGTCCTGTCCAAGAGGCCTTGGACGACGACGCTGTTCTCATTAGGTCCCTGTAGTTCCTTAGCTTCAGATCCGTGAGCCATGCGGCGGTATCGAAGTCGGGGTCAATCATTTGCTCATAGTAGATGATGTAGTCGTCGAGATTGTGCTTGTCCGAGAGCAGGTAGGTGTTCGGCCCTCTGTGGTTTGATAGGCTAAACCTGTCCTTTCCATAGGGGTCATATATTGGGTCGTGTAGCTCATCGGTAGGGAGTGGAACCACAAGTCAGCAGGATCACCAGCGTTCGCTGAGCTACAACGAGGTGCTTGGCGATGTCCAATTCATCCAAGCCAGACATGTACGTGGCCATGCCATATAGGCCATGGGTAATCCCTTCCTCAATCGCCACGGATCATATGTCGGTGCTTGTGACTCCGACTGTGCTGGCTTGAAGGGTAGATACTCTCGCATGAGGTTTGAATGGAAGTCGGTGTCATTTTGGGCAATCCTTTGCAAGGTGACCTGATTGTTCACACTCGAAGCACTGATTATTGTCCTGCAGTCGTTTTAATTGATCAGCACTCTTTTTAGGATGGTTGTCAGGATGCGCTGTGCTCCTTCCTGTGTTCCAACACCCTTGACGATCGCGGTCAAGTTGTGCGTTGGGTCAAGTCGGCCTGGGATGAGCGGCATGTACCGACAGGGAAGGGGCGTGTGATCAAGACTCATTGCGTCGCGCGTCAGAGTGGTTGCGGCATTCGGGTCTACTGTTTTGGCGAGATAATCCCGCTGTGAGGGTGGGGTTAATGGCGAGAATGTTAGGGTCCTTAGCGTTTTCGATGAACGCACGCTCGGTGCATAACACTTTCTTTTCTAGTGTTTCAAGGCTCACTGTGTTGGGTTCATAGCCCTTGTCTACTAGGGATGCTTTAATGTAGGGCAAGCAGTTCATACAGAATTGCCGCACTTTCTCTCTGTCATTAACATCACCAGCCATATCAGGCAAGGTTGTGAATCCTTCGTAAGTAGTCTCGCACGGACTGCTTATTGTCCTGGCGACAGTCCAAGAATTTCTGACACTGTTGCATCCGGAAGTCAGGGGGGAATATGTAGTCGAATAACTGTTCAAAGAACTCAGTGATCGAGTAGTCCTTATTAAGGTCTAAGATGTCTCTCTCATAGAAACGGTATGCTTGGCCACTGAGGTACTTTCCAACCATTCAAAGGCACTGAGTTGTAGTGAGTTGAGCTCGTTCTTTCCAGTCGCGTACCTCTCTAACCCATTTCTTAAAGGTAGTAGCATTGGCCTCACCATTGTAGGTGAATGGTGGTTCAGTTTTTGATGAAGCTTTGCTGATATCGGAGCAGGTTGAGTTTTGTGCTGATACTCGCGACGCGCCAGCTGCTTGGCGCGCTTGACTTCGGTAGAGTCGCTATCATGATCAGACTCTGGTTCTAGGCCAGGAAGTCCGCTCCAAACTCATTAGAGGTCGTGATCACGTTAGTGCTAAGGTCTTTGCTGTATGGGAGAGTATGAGCAATAGCACTCGAACGGTGAGTCTTGTTTTGGCCATTGGCCATACAAGGTAATCCATCGCTTAGGTCGGATTCAGTAAATGATTGTTCGCTGTCATCGGGCGAGTCGTCAGGTGAGTCTTCAGGACTCAGGTCGTCTGGACAAGAGCCTAACATTCGCTCGCCTAACCGAGCTGTTTCGGGGAAGGACGGATGAGGCACACTGATATCGCACATTGAGCGCTTGGGTGGACTTGGGTTTTGTCTCGGTGACAGGGGGCATCAGTTGACTCGTCTCAATCGCGTCGGTTGGACACTCCTTTATCGGTTGGTCATGATGTAAGTTTGCAGTCTGTGAGACTGGATTTTGTGTGCTCACGCGTTGGGAGCTGTAGGCCTCGTGAACGCGTTTTCGGGACTCCTCTTCACGGATTTGACTTTGAATTACCAGGATTTCGAGCTCCCTAATCTGCTCATGGAGTTCGGTAACTTCGTAATCATTCTCATTCAATTTTTCTTGTGTGTCCTTGCGATATTGCCTTAGATACAGGTTCTGATGTTGCAATGATCGACGGCAATCATTGTCGTCCCAGGTCGCTCTTAGCGACACATCAGGGTCATTCGAGCTTGGGTGAGCTGCGCCAGCAAGTCCTTCGTCATATTCAGTCCAATGATCCAACCAATCCTTGGGTGAGGTCCCTAAGGTGGTGCTCTTCCCCTTTCCCTTGAACTCAGAGGGGATTCTAGGGGTCGAGGAAGTGGATACCGGGTCGCTGATTGGTTTCAATATCGGAAACTCGGGTACGTCCCCGATTTCGTCGTTTTTGGGGAGGTCAGCCCAGCTGACTATGTTTGACAGGTACTCAGTACTTGGGGGGTTATGAATATCATTTTCATATTTTCTATCTACAGGGCTGGGCAACACCAGGGGGCATAGTCCAGGGATACTCCCGAGTAGTGGAGAAACGCTCATAGGTGCAGATCCATCTGGATCAGTACCATCAACTACTAAGGTTGTTTGAGGTACGTCCTCATTGATTGGTATCAATAGGGTACTAGAGTTTTGGGGAGCATCCATTGCTCCCTCTGCGCTCGCGGCGGTTGGCAGGTCGATGGTTGGGGGTTCGGCCCACACACTATCTGACCGCTCAACTCCAGTGACGAATGTTTCGTCATGAGTCCATGCACTCTCGACGCCCAGTTCAGAGAGCGCCATCGTCTCTGCTCACTCTGCTCATAGGAGTCGGAGGGTGAGACGATGTACTAAGTGTACTGAAAGATTTTGTCGACATTTGTAGAAGAAGGGTGAAGGGTCGTCAGGTCTGAGGGTGATCAATCCTCGTCAACGGCGGCCGTAGGAGAAGGGGGATGGGGAAGCTTTAGAGAATCGAGTTTAAAAATATGTGGCATTTAAGGTAAACAGTTCACACTGAATAGAGTTGTTTTCTTTTGAAGGACTTAAGATTCAGACAGAGAAAACTGGCCGAACTAAGCTTCGTGTTTTGGTGGGGGTGAAAGATCAACTAACTATCTTCTACTACGAGTTCTACTTTATATACCGTAGTAATGAGCCAATAGAATGTCAAGGAATACTGAGGAAAGAATAGAGAGAATGTGCCTGATACATATATGATTCGTCGTTTAGGTGACGAATCAATAACTAGGCTTTTACGAGCGTTACAACATGCCGCGGGCCGTTACTAACTACACGGTATGAAAGACGGTGATGTTGAAGAACAATTGGATATGTGCAGCAAAATGGGTCTAGTATTTCTAAAGGTTGATTGTAGCAATGTATTGATCAAGGGCTGCCTCTGGTTCGTCCCAAAAAACGAAGTGGTTTCCTTCAGTCTGGAATTTTAATTTAACATCTCTCGCCATTTCGGCATCAGGCCCATACGTTGGCTTGGGGTCAGCCAAACACTTCCCTAGATCATATAACGCCCACACTAATGCACCAGGACTCGCTCCACCGCTCATGTACCTGACACGTAGGTTGGGGAGGAACCTCTGCGCCAAGGCCGTGTTGAATATCGCACGTCTTGCTAAGGTCTTGAATACGTCTTGTTGACTACGGACGATTAGTGAATCGGAGCCACCGAAATTCTTGACAGATGTGAGCTCTGCGAGCTCCTCTGAAGACAGCTCATGCATGGTGTGAGTCTTGTCCGAGAATTTGTTGAACTCGAGATCATCGATGTTGCCCGAAGTGACACTCTTGTGCGGAAAGTACGCCGTCACCCCTTCATAGAAAAGGTTGAATTTGTATTTGACGTCCATCTTTAACGGTAGGTCGATATTGTGCAATGGGGGACGTGGTAGACCAAGAAACATTGAAGACAAATCTATGAGACCATTCAACAACATCAAATGTCATGGACAATAAAATTTGCTCACCATGAGAAAGCATAGTATGGAGATACTTCTCAAGGTCAGAAAGAACATCAGATGGCAAGGCGTCGAGGTAGGCCACAACAGCATGTGTGAACAACGACCCTAAAGACCACCCGATGAGCGCGATTCCACCGCTGGTGCCTTGTGCCGGCGAAATGTTTTGCTGGCGGGCAAATGTGACAAGGAAAGTAGCGATCTCGATGGCTTGGCTGCGAAAGAAACCCTCCTGTCCCTCCGCCGTACCGGATGTAAGACCAGCCAAGTCTGCATCACGGAAGCTAGTGGTGGGATCATAATCACGCCTATATAGGCTGACTATGCGGAGACGGTGGGCAGCAGCCAGAGGGAAAAGCTTCCTGAAAACACCTGCATGAAGGGAATAAATGTCAGCAGGACTTTATGGAGTACTGTATGATGCAATCGCACCTCCATTGAAACCCATGCCATGGATAAAGACCAAGGTCGTATATGTGTTTCCAGGGACGGCACCGCTGTCAAAGTAATAGTAGGATACGTCGTCACCAATGAGGAGACTTTCAAGTTGAGTAGTAGAAGTGGACATCTTCGAGCTGGATTAATCCCCCCTGGACCCTTATGAACTAGGATCCCTGGCTATAGTCTCGGCCCATACTTATACAAGTACCAGTCGTCTGGAACCGACGTTTTGGGAAGACGCGCAATTCGACAAACCGGCGGCGGCCGGTGTACCCGGTTGTCCTACATTGTCTGGTTCAACCATCTGTCTTCCTTCTAACTACGAACCGTCCTTCTAACCTACGACTGTCTTTCTATTATTATTGGCCTGGCTACGAGAGATTAGGAGTTTCACCACCCTGCGCAAACAGCTCAATGAGATTTTGGCTTAGATCATAACAAATTTGAATTTTATCGACTGAGCTTACATGATGTTGCAGGGGTTGAACGTGGACTCCTGATCCCAATTGATCAAAATCGTTCTTGATTGTTGCCCCCTACAACCGGGCACGTATAGAGGCACTTCGAGCGATATATATTTTGTAAGGTCTCTTCCTTTCGTGAGTCAATTGCGATGAGTTTAACTCTCTGCCCTTCGGCATCCGCAGACTGGTGTCCCCTGAGGCCAGCGAGCCGGTTGAACAAGTAACAGTTACATCTCACATACTCAGGATGTCTGCCTATGAGGGCCGTACATCCAATCCGGCTGATCGTGCCTTGGCCTTCAAAATGGTACTTGCCAACGAAATGACACATCATGATCAGCAAAAGACATAATTTTCGTTTATCAGAAAGAAGTTTGATGCTTATGGCGCTGGTGATGGAGCAACGCGATTGGTGGAACAGATATTCAAGACGCTGCTATACTATCTGGCTGATAAAAATCAAGTCGAAGTTATCTTGCGCTGATAAGGTGTGATGCTCAGAGATATGATGTGATAGGTAGGCCAGCAATTGATACATGATTGTGCTACTGCCTATACAAACTCAGTACTGAATGCATGATAACTCTCCTAACAGCAGAAGGCCAGTCGCATAGCGATGGTGAACAAACTGATCCGGGGCGCTGACCTACAGAATATGCATGCATAAAGAGTAAGGAGTCCAAGGCCTATGGATATCATACGCAAACTGAGATGTTTGCACAGCCTGGAACCGTTCTCACCGGCTACATCCACTATCGTATGGTGCTTGGCGTCACGGGCAAGGCTCTGACTAGTTTTGGTTCAAGCAAGGAGTTTGTTGCTGCCGTCCGGGATACGTTGACAGGTGAGTGGTAATATCATCATGCCCTTTCTTCCTCGTAGCCCACGCGCGTGCGTATGAAGATGCAAAAATCTTGCACTGTGATGTCGGCCCTGCGAACATTATCATCACGCATGATGGCGGCATTCTCATCGGCTGGGGCTTCTGCAGAAGACTACTCACAGATGACGGGCCAGGTAGTGGTGATTCTAACCACTCTCCTCGACAGTATCATCGAACGCGGTAGCGTGCCCCCTGCCGTCACATCTAACATCATTCAAGAGCCAATATTACGGATAGGGTACTTGGCAATTTATGTCAGCAGCGATCTTACTGGACCAAACCAAGCCGCAAGGTCGCATCGACGACCTTGAACCGTTTCTTCATGTCCTCAGCTGGGTCACACTCCGCTACTTGGACAACACCATGAATACTCTCGCCCGAGCCACATACTTGAGCAAAACATTTGACGAAGCTCGTATTGAGAACGGTATAGCATCGGGTGGAGAGCACAAGGAGCTTCACTCGGTCGGTGATGCATATATCCTCGCTAAACTCACCTTCAAGAAGACATCTTCCTTGTCGAATTTGTTGCGGGAGATTGCCGCAGTCTTCCGATGGCGCTATGCCGAGATACCGGAGAAAGAGCGTCATTCTTTCACCCGCATTCAAAACCATATGGAGCAAGGGACACTACTTCACACAGCTCTTGAGCTGCTTATGAGTGTTTCTTCGGTTGCCATGCAAAACCTGGCAGATGCATCATGGCTACTCGATCCACTGAACCGACACCTTTTCCCGACTGTCGAGTAGCCTGCCGATGATAAGGCTTCGCTCGATTGGCTTCCTGTCGATGCAACATGGACAGCAGAGTAGGCAGCAGACATCTTTGGAGACATCAGAGCGTGAACGGGCAGCTTCATATGATACTGGCACTTTGGGTAAGTGGAAGAGATCTGAATCTGCGGTCGGCGAACCAGTGAAGCGGCTCAAAGGGACAATGACAGCTCTTAAGCGATGTATGTATTGTAGTGAGATACGCATCATGTCGAAGAGAAGTACGTGTTTGGAGCTTCGAGTAACCCTCGAATCTCTCAGTACGTACTTCTCTTGGACATCGTCTGGCTTTAGTTTGGTCATTTACATCAGCGCCGTTCACAAGATTGAATATGATAGCAGTGAGAGGGACAATAATGTGTGCCTTCGAGCGAGATGGTCTTCTCAGAGGGGAAACGATTACAGGAAATGAGCTGTGGGTCAATTGTACATGGGGACTCGGATCAGTATACTTAACTTAACATGGCAATGAAGTCGGCGAGACTGGGCAATACAAACTGAATCTATGACAATCCACGACTCAATTCCATCTACGACGAGGATGCTCATTGGATCTTTTGAATGTAATTCAACCGGATAAACTATCATCGAGTGGAATTAGGTCCTAGAGTCATGAAGTACACGATACGAGGGTCGAGGCTACTCACTGTTATACATATACAATATTTGCTGATGAAGCTTCTGAAGTAGCGCACCATACGAGGGTCGAGACTATACTTAAGGAGTAGGTACTCGTCATACGACAGAGTTCAGTGTGCTGACTAAGCATTCTTCTAGCCAGTCGGAGTTTGAGCCGAGCTTGTGATCAAAAGTACTTTGTCGATTCGGCTTGCCATTTCGCAAGTATGTGGGTGAGTCTTGGTGCCACCATTTTTCATACAGAAAGGATACTGACCAGGTGCATAGACTGAACATCGCAATCCCGAGGGAAGAACATACTGGTTTAATACTGGCAGTCGTGAAAGTGTCTGGGAGAAGCCAGATGGTGCGTATCTTGTTTTTGTTCGTTCTGACTTGCACTAAAGGTGAATTTTGTAGATTTGAAGACGCCATTTGAGGTGATTTACTTTTCTACTCGTAGTCGTGTGCTCTCACTCACTTGTACTTTCAGAAAGCTCTTGGGGAGACGAAATGGAAGGAATACTTCTCGGGAGGCAGGAAGTATTATTACAACGTATGCCCAATGATGCATTTTCCTCATCAGCGTCTAATCTACTTCAACAGACCGAATCCAAAGAATCAAAATGGGACATGCCAGACGAACTCCTCCTGCTCCTCGAAAAAGTCGAGAAAGAGAAGCAAAACAGCCAGCTTGTAGTTGCCGGCTCCATCCCGTACGTCCATAAACACTCTCTCTACACTCTTTCCTGACCATTTAATCGCAGCACTCCGGCTGCTCCAATTCCTGCTGCGGTAATTGCAGCACAGCCTGACGGTACCGTCGCCCTTGCCGGCTCCGCCGCGCTCCCCTTCAGCAGCTCAGGTGTTCTTCCCGCACGTCCGAACCTTCCAGATGATCCAGCCATCCCTCACAACGGTTTTGCCACCTTTGAGGAGGGTGAGAAAGCTTTTATGCATCTCTTGCGCAAAGCAGGCGTCGATGCAGACTGGACGTGGGACCAGACTATGCGCACCATCATCACAGATCCGTTGTACAAGGCTCTTAACTCCCTAGCTGAGAAGAAAGCATCTTGGCAGAAGGTACGTTTCTTTCGTTACGGTGTAACTTATTGCTTAATTATCGTCCGCAGTACACGGATGGCCTGCGTCAGAAGGAAGAAGAGGAGCGTGAAGCGCGGCTGTCGAAGCTCCGCCCAGCCATACGTAACATGCTCAAGGGCAATCCCAACGTGTTTCATTACACTACGTTTGCCACTGCCGATAAACTATTCTCCCAGCACCCCATCTGGCAACAAGCTCGTTTCGAAGCTGAGCGAAAGCTCATATTTGATGAGTACGTTGCAGAACTGAAGCAGCGTGAAGTGGTGCGTCCTTTTTCACTTTCTCCATCATGAATGCAACCTCACCTTACTCACAGCAAGAAACCCGTGCTGCGCGTTCGCGCGCGATCTCCAAAGTCGTATCTCTTTTCAAAGAACTCGACGTCGACGTTCTTACACGTTGGCGCAAAGCCCACGAAATGGTTACCGAGTCCCCAGACTGGCAAGCTGACTCCTGAGCTGCGCAAACTCCCCACGCTTGACATCCTCCTTGCATTCGAGGATTACTCGCGTGTCAAAGAGCGTGAGTTTGAGGAGCAGATGCGCCGTGCACAGGTTGAGAAGACGCGCGAGGAGCGCAAAGCCAGAGAGGCGTTTAAGGGACTGCTGCAAGACCTCGTGACGGCTGGAAAAATCAAGGCGCGCGGCAAATGGCGTCATGTGTATCCGACTTTTGCTTCTGATCAGCGATACCTTAATATGCTTGGCAAGCCTGGTTCGAATCCTTTGGAACTTTTCTGGGATGTCGTGGACACCCTTGACCAGAAGCTTGACGGCAAGATCGCTATTGCTGAGGAGTGTGCCAGGCGCGGTGATGACCCCAATGCTATGGACGTAGTGAAAGGCGATAAGGAGAAAGAAAATGTGAGCGTGGTGAGCGTGCAGACGACATTTGAGGAATTCAAGGCTCGCGTGAGGAGGGACCCCGATAGCGTAGGCAAGCTCGGGGAGGATGATTTACGTGAGGTGTATGACACGGTGTGTTATTTTTTTTTATGTGTGTCGAGAGTGCTCATCAGGTTGGTAGGTCCACGAACAAGTCGTAAAGAAACAGAATGAAGAGAAACGCCGCGCAGAGAGGAGGCAGAGGCACCTGCAAGATGATCTTCGCTACGCGATGAAGAAACTTCCTGAGCCGCTTGACATCACGTTGTCCTATGAAGCTGTGCGTCATGTCCTTTTTTCGGCACGAGTTGAATATTGACTTGAATCCTCATATAGGCTGTTCCCCTCCTTGAGAATCTCGCCGAGTACAAAGCTTTGGATGACGACGAGGGCCGACGTGCTGCCTTTTCCAAGTTTGTGAAAAGGCAGAAGGAGCGCTTGCGCGAGGCCGCGTCAGAAGATGGTGCGTCAACCACAAGTAGACGTCGCAAGGAGCCTGAACGGGAACGGGAGCGTGATCGCGACCGTCGCGATGACCGCGACAGAGACAGAGATCGCGAACGAGACCGTGAGCGGGAGAGAGATAGAGATCGGGATAGGAGCTCCAGACACCACCACCGTGAGGACCACGATGGGTATCATGGGCGTGACAAGGACGCGCATGGCGAGCGGGACAGGGACCGTGAACGTGAACGTGACAGAGAGAGGGACAGGGACAGGGAACGCGAGCACAAACGCCATGTGCGAGACGAGCGGGATGGTAGGGATGAGCGCAAGCGTAGGAAAGGCTCGAGAGAGCGTGGGTATGGACGCAGCGATGCGCCGCCGTACGGGGATGATGAGGAGGCTGAGCATGCAGGGGACAAACCCGAACGGAGCAGGGACGGGAAGCGGGGCTCTGACAGGGCACATAGCGAACGCGCTGAAAAGGTATGTAAGTTGTAGCATTGGTGCGCGTATCGCACTAACATATTGCAGCGCGCCCGCTATGATCCTGATATTGATTCCCGATCCCGGAGAGCTGAGACGCCTGAAGAAGGGGAGATATAATACTTTACTGACTTCAGTTTTCTCGCGTATTATCATGATTAGAGAACAAAGATAATATAGTGCTTGTCTACATGAGGGTGCTAATGCTATGAAGTTGAAGGCTCAGGGAACTCTATGGAACCTATGCGCAAACGAGTGTATGGGTGCTTGTTCTTGATCGTCTTCTGGTAACCCTTTCTACGCTTCTTCTTAAACACCACCTCCATCTTTCCCTTGGTATGTTCCATAACAGTGGCCTCAACCCTGACGCGGCTTGGGGATATTACGGGGTCTCCACGAACAGTGTAATCCCGAGAGCCAACTTCATGTATGTCTTGCAACGCCAAAACGTCGCCGACACACACGTCTTTGAGATGTGGAACTGTAAGCAAGTCCCTGGGCGCGAGGAGGTATTTACGCCCTGCAAGAGAAGCGACGATGTACTGCGAAGGCTGGGAACGGATAAGGGAAAATGCGGCGCAAGTGTTTTTCGGGAGCGATGCCTGCGTTGACACCGAACAAGACGCGACTAAAATGCGTGTCAGAAAACACAACAAGTATGTAAAAATGAGACTGACCGCGTCTAATAGTGCTTGATAGCCAACTGCGCATTTGCCAACTAGCCATGGCGAAATGAAGAGCACGAGTAAGGACACAGTAAAGACTGCTAATGATCCCTGTGACAGTGTGACAGTTGTGACCCGGAGAAGTGATTTAATCGGCGATTTAAATTAGGTCAGTTCCGAGAAATTCCTTTAACACCGATTCTACTCGTTCCTTCTCAACCCACTCTTTACTGTCGCGACAATGCACAGAATCGCTCTCCACAATTCGGCGCGCAGAGCTGCCTTTGCTGCTGCTTCAAAGGTCCTTCTTTTCCAGCTTTTCCCTGTACAATTTGGTGCTCATACAACTTTTTTATGTTCAGAGCAACGCGAACGTCGCTGCACTCGCCTCTCGGTCATATGCTACCGCAAAGCCTGGTGCGTTCTCCTTTATGACGTTGTCTGCTGTCTCTGACATATATGGGGACCTTCCGGGCGTAATTTATTATCGCTATGTCATATGTAGCCGCATCCGAGGTTTCTTCGATATTGGAGTCCCGTATTGCCGGTACCGCTATTAGTGGGAACGTCGAAGAGACTGGCCGTGTCTTGAGTGCGTAGTAAACGTGGTCATTTTCAGCCTGTTTGGTCTCATCGTGTCTGCAGGCGTCGGTGACGGTATTGGACGTGTTTGGGGTCTCAAAATGTCCAGGGTAGGTCGCGAAACTCTATCACTCATTCCATGCAAATGACGTTTCCTTGCAGCCGAGGAGATGGTGGAATTCTCGTCTGGTGTCCGCGGCATGTGTCTCAACTTGGAAGCTGACAACGTCGGTGTCTCCATTTTCGGTAACGATCGTCTCATCAAGGAGGGCGACACCGTCAAACGTACTGGCCAGATTGTCGATGTTCCTGTCGGCCCCGGTCTCCTTGGTCGTGTCGTTGACGCTCTCGGTAACCCAATTGATGGCAAGGGTCCCATTGAGGCTGCTGAGCGGAGACGTGCTTCCCTTAAGGCCCCCGGTATCTTGCCCCGTCGTTCCGTCAACCAGCCCATGATGACTGGTCTTAAGCCCATTGACGCCATGGTGCCCATTGGTCGTGGCCAGCGTGAGCTTATCATTGGTGACCGTCAGACCGGCAAGACCGCCGTCGCAATCGACACCATCCTCAACCAGAAGCGGTGGAATGATGGCAAAGACGAGGACAAGAAGCTCTACTGTGTCTACGTTGCTGTTGGCCAGAAGCGTTCGACCGTTGCTCAGCTCGTCAAGACTCTCGAGGAGAATGACGCAATGAAGTACTCTATCATTGTTGCCGCTACCGCCTCGGAGGCTGCTCCCCTGCAGTACCTCGCACCCTTCTCTGGATGTGCCATGGGCGAGTGGTTCCGTGACAACGGCAAACACGGTATGTTGTTATTCGCTTCTTCGGACAATCCCGGTACTGAGAATTCCGTTAGCCCTCATCATCTACGATGACTTGTCGAAGCAGGCCGTCGCTTACCGTCAAATGTCCCTCCTGCTCCGTCGTCCCCCGGTCGTGAGGCTTACCCCGGTGATGTCTTCTACCTCCACTCCCGTCTCCTTGAGCGTGCCGCCAAGATGAGTGACAAGTTCGGTGGTGGATCCCTCACTGCTCTCCCCATCATCGAGACCCAAGGTGGTGATGTCTCCGCTTATATTCCTACTAACGTACGTGATATTGTGACAGTGTAACCCATTAATTAATCCTTGTATAGGTCATTTCTATCACTGATGGCCAAATCTTCTTGGAGGCCGAGCTTTTCTTCCGTGGTGTCCGTCCAGCCATCAACGTCGGTCTCTCCGTGTCTCGTGTCGGTTCTGCTGCCCAGACGTTTGTGTCTCCCGTTGTATTTTTTGTATACGTTCCTTAATCCGATTATCTCTGCCTACAGCAAGATCATGAAGAAGTTCGCTGGTTCGCTCAAGCTGTACCTTGCTCAATACCGTGAAGTCGCTGCCTTCGCCCAATTCGGTTCAGATCTCGATGCCTCGACACGTTTCCTCCTCTCCCGTGGTGCACGTTTGACTGAGCTCCTCAGTAAGTAACTGTGTCCGATGATATATAAATATAGCTAACGTCCCCCAACAGAGCAAGGCCAATACCAGCCCCTCCCTACTGAGATCCAGGTGCCTATTATCTACGCTGGTGTCAACGGTCTCGTGCGTATTCCATCTATTCACCTTCAAATGTCGGTGACTAATCTCCACGTAGCTCGACTCCATCCCCGTCGACAAAATCACTGCATGGGAAGCTGAATTCCGTTCGCATCTGACTGCCACCCAAAGCGCCCTCTTGGAGGAAATCGCGACCGGCAACGTCACCCCCGAGATGGAGGCTAAAATCAAGAAGGTCGTCGAGGACCACGTCTCGTCATTTACCTCGTAGACTAGATATTCCTGTGCATCTACCCCGGTGCTTGCTGTAATGGACACCCATTAAAATTCCATCGCGAATACCATTATTATTTTCGCAGCGCGATTGATTGTGGTACTGTATGTAAGTCAAAGCATAGTGAAATACTGAGCTGGTAAGTGGGGTACATCATTCAAAGAAGCCTGAGTTCGCAACATCATCAAGTCCACGTCAATCTGCGACTCTTGTCTCACTATCGTCGTCGTCGTAGTCCTGGTCATCCTCGTTTTCGTCGTCCATGGACTCCTTGAGCTACATTACGTGGATTGTGGGTATTAATATCCTAGGAAGCATGAACAGATACGTACCATCTCTAGTAGTTCATGACACTCGTTCAAGTGGGCCATGACGATGGCCTGTCCTTCGGGAATATTTCCACCTACGCCCACGAATCTACCGTCCTTCCGCATGGAGTCGATCTGGTGCAGTGCAAGTTGATACTGTGAAAGATAAGCTCCGGATACCAAATGAATCAAGGGGACCGGCGACCCACAGGATAAAGGTCGCGAGCCGTAAACGGACCGCCAAATTTGTATACTTCATTGAGACACTTCTTCACTGTGGAGAGTTTATTGGCCTGCATACGATGTAAGAGGACCGAGATCGAGAACAGATGGGAGAAAGACACACGATGGGGATGAGTTCTTCGGATACCGGCTGACTCGATGATAGCAGACGGTAGATGAGACCGTAACACCGTCTCAGCAAGTACAGTAGAACCTGTGGATGTGTAAATAGCTGTTGATGTGTGGTATATGGGCACGACTCACATACTGTCCCGGCGGCCGATTACCCTCCGTATCGACAAATTTGCCATCAACGCGCATCTTATCGATCTCATGCAAGCTCATCGAATAGTTGTAGAGATCTGTCTCGCGGAGACTCCATCTGTGCGTGAGGACGAGATTCTCAAGTTCCGCGCGCAGCTCGTCCAGGCGGTCGTGAATGGGCTTAAGGGAAGACGCCACGTTCTTTGACTCCTCTTGCGCTTTTATTTGCTGCAAGATGTCAAAGCATTCCTCCAGGAGGGATGTGCAAAGCGCTTGAGAAGCAGGCATGGTTCCTCCTGGTCCAAGGAATTTCCCGTCGACGCGTTTACTGCGGAGGTGATAAAGATGGACGATGTAGTTCAGTCGATGGCGCATATATTAGAAGCACTCACGAATCGATCTTACGCAGTTCCTCGGCCAGAGCTTTTATTTCGGACTTATGTGAGCCTTCTTTGGCAGCTAGCGCGACGAGTTGTCTGCGAATTGAGACGAGGCGTTCGTGAATGGGAACCAGCTCTACCGAGAGCACAGACAAAGAATCTTGGAGTGATCGCACGATAACATCTTTAGAACCGCAGCAATGCATTAAGCGACTTTAAAAAGGATATTCGGATATGAAGAAGACGTACCACATTCATTGAACTGGCGCTCCAGGAGCTTCACCATAGCTTCGGGGTGCCTACTGCTCTCAGCATCCTGTTGTACTATGGAGCGGAGCTCGTTCAGTCTCCGGTGGAAAGGGGCCGGGTCCGATTCATTGTAGACTCCCGATTCTTCCATATGACTGAGGATTTGCTGTACATGGAAAATAAGAATCAGTATGAATCTTCATACAGCAGATGAATGTCTGAAAATATGAGGATGGTAGGGGATGTGGTGGACCATAGCCGGCTGGGTCTCCACGGCGGGTAGAGCATATCGTCCGCAATGAAATGATGAAGAGACGGTGTACTGACTCTCATAGAGGCCAACTGTGAGTACACAGCGGGACACTCTTTCGTTCGACCCAATGTAAGATAACACAACGAGAGGAGACTGAATACATCAGCCAGTGTCGTATCCACTCGATTATTGTAGGTCGTATTGTCGTCTCGGACATCGTTGAGTTTTGTGACTATCGGGGAGGGATAACCGAAATGAGATAAATAGTGCCTGTAAAGAAAGAAGATTTATGGGCACCTTGTTTAATGACGGCCTGGTAAAGGGCATTCACATCTGACGGCTTGATAAACTCGGCACGGTCCCTCTTCAGGGCAGTAAGCCGGTTCCGTATGCTGCGGTGGGCAAGGGTTCTTGATACACGAGTAGCAATAAGGGCGCGAACCAGACTTACTTGATCACGGCCTCGAGGATCGGAAGCTCTGCGATATAAGAGATCAGTAAAGGCTCGGGATCAAAAGCATCATCTGCCACTTGCCCTCTTGCGCGACCGGTGCGCTCATCGGTATGATTCACAGTTCGTGCTCGTCGCCGAGTACGTTGAGCACTGATTGTATTTCTTAAAGGAACAGAGACGCCAGCAAGCCAGCTTCGTCTCAAGGAACCCAGATTTGACCTATCATGATCGGAAAAGGCAAGTACTTCATGCTCCATTTCAGCTTTCCCACGATATATTCCCATTTAAGCTGACTCTGTTGGCTACTGGCAGTGCCCAGCAAAGTGCCTGTTCAAGTCAGCTTGTCTCCTCGTTCTCCACCACCACCACCACCACCACCATCGTATATACCATCTGCACGCCCATCAAACACAATGGAGAAGATCAAGGAGGTCTGAAACGATCCTTTGCGCACGTCCGATCTCTTGCTGAACGTTTACTTGTAGAAAATGAACCAGCTGCGCTTCGAGGCAGACAATGCGGTCACTCGTGCTGAAGATGCAGAAGCCAAGAACAAGAAATACGATCAGATTATCCTTGAAAAGGATCAGGAGATTACTTCAATGACTCACAAGATCTCGGTTCTTGAGGCAGAGCTTGACAAGGTGGACGCGAAACTTGCCGAAGCCAAGGCCTCACAGGAGGAGGGTGAATCATTGAAGAGCACGAACGAGAACCTTACAAGAAAGATTGCACTACTGGAGGAGGAACTGGACGCTGCTGAGAAGAACGTGAAAGAAACGATGGAGAAGTATGTCGTGGCTATCATCTGTTATCAATTACTGATCATCTTTTCAGGCTGCGGCAAGTGGACGTCAAGGCAGAACACTTCGAACGTCAAGTCCAACGCGTTGAGCAAGAGCGCGACCAATGGGAGAAGAAGTTCGAGGTAGGTCGATGTACTTTGCTGCTAGATATGCCACCTAACCCCCTTGTACAGGAAATGCAACAGAAATACAAATCGTCCCAGGCAGAACTGGACAACATGGTTGCTAACATGGAGTCGATGTAATCATCCTCTTCGTGCTTTCTCCTCTTTTGCGCTCTCCATATAGAGCTTCGATCTTGACTATCTCACACCACAGCCCACTCATGGTGGTCATGACCCTCTACACGATATTCTCATAATTCTTCTATCAGGAATAGTGTTTGATTATTTAACTGAATGGATTCTTGCCTCAGATCTTGTGGCCGATTGCGCGATCTAGTACTCTCTTCTCAGTGAGTTCCTTGTTTTGACTCCACTAGCACGTTAGGGGGTTCAAAGTCATGATTACATAAGTTGTGAGACATTGATTTCGTAAACACGTGACTAGTCGCGATCACTCGAGCTTCTTCTATCAACCGTAGGGAGCGATAGCCGCCCTTTAGTAATGTCGGCCTCCTGATAAAAAGACGACCTCCCTTCTCCAGATTTGTCTTCATGCCCACGCCAATTGTCTCAACACAGGTGGAGCTGGTGTCTCGCTCGCTGCACCAGCTCCCATCCAACATTATGTATGCCGTCGTCTCGATTCGCACAAGATCATGTCATTTATAGTCTGACCCTTGTGGATCTCATCCTATATTCCATTTCCATTTCCCTGCTCAAGTTCGGAATGGATATATGGCCTTGCACTCAGGGGAGCAAATATAGCCCACTTGTTCTATATCTATTTCCCCCTAGGCTCCCAGTCATCCATTTGCGGCAGTGCCTCTCAGTTCTCCAAGATTTTCTCGTCATCTCTAGGTCTTAAGTATGTGGGACTGAGTGGACGATCTGACCGAGGAGCTTCTGGGATTATCCATACATACCTAAGACCAACTCAAGACGCATTGACCTGGCGACGGCCCAGGCATCATTGAGCTAGACTCGGCCTTCCTCAAAGAACCTCGACCTATATCAATGTCCTCCTCGCTGGGCGAGATATCGAAGGAGTCCAATTTCATACATGAGTGTGTGTCACCAGCTAATTGTACGGTTTAATAAGAATATTCATAGAAAACAAGCCTTTACTCCTCCTTAAATTTCAGCGAGACGGAGTTTACGCAGTGTCGTTCGTCGACTGTAGAGGTTGTGAGGCCCAGATCAAAAATACACAAGATAGAAAGGAACGCACTTGGCGTGTCGAATCCTTCTCCCTTGAACACATGCCCAAGGTGACCACCGCATGCGGTACAGGTAATCTCTGTCCTCGTCATAAACATCGACCGATCTTCATGCCGACTGACAGCACCAGGGATCGCTACGGTTAACCATGAGAAACAAGTTCTATTTCCCAGAATGACAATTTACCATCAAAGAAAGCGGGCCATCCGCAGCCACTGTTGAACTTCGTGGTGCTCTTGTATAGTGGTGTTCCGCAGCCAGCACAGCCATACACGCCCGGGGCGTCATGGTGGTTATAGCTCCCTGTGTTGGGCGCTTCTGTTCCCTTCTGACGAAGGATTCTAAACTATCTCCAAAATAAAGAGTGAACATACGCCCGATGTGGTTGATCGGCCAACACACCTGCTCTGGAGACAAGATGGCACGCCATTCGCCTTCAGACTTGGAATTAGCTCCCATGACAAAGGAGGATCGATGGAAGTGAGATTTGAAAGTCAAAAGTGAGGCTCTTCTGATCCTGGTGAAAGACGCAACAGACCTGTTATACCCCAGTAGACGAGGGCTTGCGATCATATGGTTGCTGGCGCTAGCTGCTGACAATATTGCTGAGCAAGACGCGTACGATGACGTCAGGTGACCAGCCGAAAATGGCCGCGCCAATCAGCTTTGACAAAAGCATCGACTGTCTTCAAACTTCAGAAGCTTCAAAGCTTCAAGGTCCGACTTTGATAGTACTATCATGATTGACAATGGGCCTTCATTATTACGGTTCGAGTACGGACGGCATTGAAACACAAGACACTCGACTCAAGCCCGCGCGTGCAGTAACAGATGCGCACATCCCATGCCTAGCAAGTAGGGGCCGCCACTATGGACGGAGGATGCTCTTTCATTCGTCCATTTCGTTCCCACTGTCCTCTTTGCCCTCGAAAATTGTGATTCTTGTCTCATCGTTCACTTGACATTGACATCTCTGGCACCAGACGCTTATCCGAGGACAGCAGGCCAGTGCCGCGAAATACTCCCTTTCTTATCCATGTGCGGTAGACAAGGCTCGACATTGCTTCTCTAACCACTTCACAAGGTTGCCATACGGGCGGCCCAATGCAGGCATTTACATTTGGATGGCTTACTTGGATGCCAACTTCAATTAGCTTATGCACAACCGAGAGAGCTGCCAGTGGGATCCGACACATATATGTTTGACGCTCACCGCTGACCGCAGAGGTCATCAAGACTGCTGTCTTACTGAACAACACTAGTTAGCTGTCATCTCTATGATCGGCGTGCTATGTGACTGATACCATGGTCTTGTATGTTACAGACTGCCCCACACAATGTGTTGTCGAAGTGTGTCTGAACTTTCTTGTTGGCCTTTTACATGCAGGTCGAAGACCTCTCCTACTTGGAGGGTGAACAGAATATTTTCATTACGACACATTATTCTCAATACGAGAGCTACGGTCTTGTTGAATTCACAATAGGTATGGGTACGATATGATTTCCTATTTGGTCAGAATATTCATTTAATCCGTCAATTGCTCAGGAGAAAGTGCTCCACTTAACATTCTATTGAGCGAGCGATAGAATACGTTTCCGTGCCACCTCGCGATGCCTCAGCACAAGAGAGTTCTTCGTCTATTCCTGTATCGGCGAGGCCAATATTTTTTCACTGTTCTCATCTGCTACGCCCGATAACAAGCAATGTGCGGGTTGTACAAGAACGTTGGATCGACGCTCGCAAAAGACGCCGAGTCTCGAGGAAATCGGCAATCTACGTGCTACATAGAACACCATTGAGGAACGACCATAAAGGGTGCCGTCCAACCATTGCTCAGCGCACAAAACACTTCGGTTCCTAAAGGCGTTAAGCTTTCCCACTGGAACAAGTTGGGAACAAGGAGACTAAAGAAGAGCGCGATGCGGCAGATCGGAAGCGCGGACACCCGCAAATCGAACCAAGCAGCCTGGCACACAGAACGTGGACCGCTAGGGGCAAAGCGCCACCACAAATCCAAACCGCGATATGATTAGTGGCAGAATTTTACTGCGTGTATTAAAGACCCCCAAAGGTCTTAAAGCATACACACCTGACAATGCTGTGCTTTACAGTGAGATTAGGACCAATGACGCTTGTATAAGTAAGACAAGGTAACATATAAAATGGGTAAGTTGGCTGGAACAGACGTAATTACGGTGGTAGTATTGTGGCAGCGCGTAAGTGCCCTGAGTCAGGGCACCATTTGGAACCTTGGTTAGTGGGAGCTGTCTAACTTGGTCCCTGGATTGGCCCATCGATGAAGCACTGAAATGAGCAGCGTTCCGTGGATCAGGATATCGGTCAACGATGCAGAGTGTAGTATCGGTGTCACCCTTGCTATCAGCCTAACTATATAGGAACTAGATACAGCAAACCTAGCACTTGAACTTAAAATCCTTGTCTTTAAAAAGGACTGGCTGTAACTGCGTAGCCATGAACGTCATTTTCTGGCCATATGCATTGGGAATTTGAAAACCAGGAAACGCAAAGTGCAGTTCGATTACACAAGACAAACAAGCCTACTACATCTACAAAGTTAAGCGCGCCAGTTTGATCCAAACTGCACTCCCCGTTTGGACTAGGCCAGTAACCTCTATCCTACACTCAGGCCAGTAGTCCTCTCCACCAATGAGAGCGCTCGCTTAAGGTCGACGAAAGCTAGGGAAAGCTTCAAATTGTCAACGTAAAGAGAGGCTCTCTCAGATGTAGGACGGTGGCTTACATGTGCTGATTGGTATCAGCAGAATTCAGATGAGAACCGACGCCTACCATCATTATTAAACACCGCACGGTGACATAAGGCGGCAGTGAACGTGACGAACCTCCATTCACCCCACTGTTAATGGTTATTCCGTTCATTTCTGAATCAAGAGACACCACGCTGTGGTTATAATGGCTGGAATAATCATTGTAAACATTGATTGTGAAGCTTGGGCTAGGAGACGGTGGTCTGCTCTGTGAGGTCGAGGGTCTGACTGAGATATCAAGGAGCCTGTTAAGTGATATCATGGATGATAATTTTAAGAACACACTGGTTTGAGTATCATCTTCGTCTTCTTCTCCTCCGGAGATTGCGATTTGATTCAGCATCGCAAGGACGTCGTTGGCTTCTTGTTCAGTTTGTACATCCATATTAATGCCTCGGATAGTTTCGTTCGGAGGAAGATCTCTAACTGATTCACTTGTAAATTATGGACGCGGGAAAAGAAGCATCGCACCAACCCAAAATATTGCCTTGATCAAATGGATGCTTAGTGCTCTGCGATAGACTGCGGGGATGCTACATACCTCCTACCACATCACGCGGACTCTCCTCAGAAAAAGAAACATCGCCTTGTGCGGACCCTCCTGGGCTTCCTGAAGCTAACCAACAGAGTCGGCAAGGGGAAATCGCTCTTTACTTCTGACATACCAAAGATATCTTCCGTACCCGGCAGCAATCGTCTGGTCAGGTCTTCCGAAGTTCTCTGTGTCGCTATTCAAAAGATGCCCGTTGTGGGACTAGTCGACTTACTTTGATAGCCGCATAATTCCGATATGTGAATTTATGAAAACGCTTGGCATCCGACTCGCGAACGAAAAGGTTTACAATGAACTTGCGAAAAGATTTCCTCTGTGCCAAGATTTGGTCTCTGAGTCCTACCAGGCTGTGGAGATAGATAAGGAATGAACCAGGTCATCTGGCTGGTGGAAACAAAACCCACTCATCATATCGATCTCTATTAGACATGTAGGCTTCATGGTAGGTAGCTTTGTCAGTTGCTGAGAGGCGCGGTTCTTCCAACAAGCCGGCGAGCTCTTTCAAGGCTGCCAGTGATAATTGTAGATAATGCTCGCCCTTTTCTTGAGGTGTCCGGCCCTTCAGCTCGATAACAGTCATGGGCGAGTTTGCAAATTGACTCGCAGGACCTAGATCCGTGGCTACTCGAACTGTCGTGTTAGACCTTGGGGGATCCATGTGTTGACACTGAAAATGATCGGGAGTTGGTGTGGTAAAGTTTCGCGACAACCGCCGTAGTTGCTTATGAGACCGGTCAAAGAGGACAAGCGAAGGACAAAAACCTGATTTAAGAATGTCGCGCAGGAAGATTTATGGGGACATGACCACTGATAGCGGCTGGTGGATAAAATGCCTACTTGGCGCTTGAACCTTGTCTATCATGTAATCAGCGAGGGAAAAAGTGCAATATAATTTTCTGTCATTCGGATAAAAGCTGCTTATCAGGGTACTTCGCAGATGCCCTAGTAAATATGAATTGTCGAGTGCTTGAGCGGTGATAACTTGTCATGGGGTCGCTGTAGGAGGTATTTTACTATTATGTAATTAGCATATTACTTCTGAAGTCCGCGAAGTGCCGGGGTCCGAATGTCATTTACCCATGCTCTGGGTTTGCAATTGTGTGGACACTGATCTGAGATCTGAGAGACGGCCTACATAAGCGGGTACTTAGGCGACAGTGTCCTTGAACTATCCCAAAAGTTCGCTCTGAAGTGTCTCTCAAGACGAATCCAAACATAGATAGGCTGGCACCACACCTCAGGCTTTAGATCTTAGGTAATGATGCCGTTAAGTTAGGCCGCGCATCTAACGGGCTCCATGCAACATTCTGCTATTACTTACATATATGCACATAATTAGAGCCCGTTCAGCAACCGAAATTTGAACGAAATTTGCCAACCCAAAGTATTGGAAGTGTCTGAGATGTAAGCGGAGTCAGAAACCAATCGGTAAGATTGATCGTTATTGATATGTTATCACAGTATAACATGGATCCAGTACTCACTATGCAGCCGCTGTTGAATCAGCCGCTGTTTGCTGACCCAATACTTGCTAACAGTCTTATTCCACAGGGACCTCTCATTACTGCTCAGCTGCTGCCAGGAGCTCGACAAGCAGATCAGAGTTGCCAGGCGCGAGCCGCAGTCCGCGAACGCATGCTTCGTTACATCGCTCTTCTCGTCAATATACTGCTCGCCGCCATAACACAAGTCTTCCTGCAACAAATCCCGGACGAGCCTGAGCCCTATCACACCTCTGCGCTGACAGGGGAAGAGTGGGTGATAGAGCTGATTGTTGGCCACCCAGAGCGCATTCGCTGCGAACTTGGCGTAAATGCCCACGTCTTTGAGAGTTTGATCAATGACCTTCGAGGCCTTGGCCATACGGATTCACGATACGTCTCGCTAGAGGAGCAACTGGCCATTTTTCTATACACGTGTGTGACAGGATTGACTGTCAGACACGTCGCGGAACGATTTCAGCGATCAAACGCTACAATTTCTCGGTACGTTGTATGATCTACTAGTATATTTCACACCTGATACTACTAACTCAACTCTTTTGTAGGTATTTCCGCAAAATGCTAGACATTTTTGCATCCAACCCTTTCTACGCTACGCATGTACACCTTCCTGCTGAAAACGCACCCATCTCACGCACAATTCGCGACAACCCGAAACGTTGGCCATACTTCCGCGATGCTATCGGAGCAATCGATGGAAGTCACATTCACGCATTTCCCCCCTCATCCACCCGCCACCTTTACTATAACCGAAAAGGCTTTGTCTCTCAGAACTGTCTCTTCATATGCAACTTCGACCTCAATTTTACGTTTGCTTTGACTGGGTGGGAGGGGTCTGTTACAGATGCACGACTTTGGGAGATAGCGCACAACGATGGCTTAAATATCCCCCAGGGGAAATATCTTCTTGCTGACCTTGGGTTCCCATCATGCCGGGAGCTATTAGTTCCTTACCGTGGTGTTCGCTATCATCTGGCCGAGTGGGGTCGCGCCAGCGTCAGGTAAGCTTCTAGCTCATTTTTTCTTTGTTCGGCTCACTCAATACCATTTTGTTTTTAGACCTGAAAACAAGGAAGAATTATTCAACCTTCGTCACGCATCTGCACGTAATGTGGTCGAACACATTTTCGGTGTCGTGAAGCGACGCTTTCGGATCCTTCTAATATCCCCTGAGTACAAAATCGATATTCAAGCCCGCATTCCCACAGCGCTTTGCGCTATTCATAATTACATCCGCGCTCATGACCCAGATGAAGCGCCTCTGCCACAGAGAGCTGTCTTCAATGACAACCCTGCCCATCAAGGACTCGGACAACTTCACAACGTCGATGATCACGCTCCGAATGACAGCGACAATGACGACATAAGCGCAAGTGTATTTCGAGATCGCTTGGCGACGCAGATGTGGGACGACTATCAGAGTATTTTACGCGAGCGAGACTTGTTAGATGTATATCACTTCTTAGATATTGACAAAGACTTGGAGGACGAGGAAGACTTAGATGAGTACTATGGGAACGATGATGAGAATGATGCATAGATTCGTAGCAAACTTCTACTAGTACATAACAATCAATGGAAGCTATGGACGTGAGAAGATAAGCGATACAAATGAGCAACACAAAAACAAGTGATGCGAAGATGATTCGTGATGATGGCAACATTACAACAGCCCCAAATCCTGCCTGTTTGCCTGCCGGATCATAGATTGCAAGAACCCCAGACGCCTCTCAGGCTGGATGACCAAGTAAGAACTACATATTGTCGGGCTCCTCATGAATAGGTTCATGAGGACAAGTGCGTCATCTTCTGATAAACCCGGTTCATTTTGCATCATGACGAGGGCCCTCGTTCTTTCGTCCGACACCCGAGTCTCATCAGTAGTGGTGGTCAGCGTCGTTGTGAGACTGTCTGTGAGACGGTTTATGGAGCCCTGGAGGTTCATGAACGCAGCGGTGCTGGCAGCCTCCTTGGCAGCCTTCTTGCTTGTGCCTGCATGCGAACTAGAAGCGCCACGTGAGATGCTGCTGGGTGCCGCTGACCGCCACGGCTTTTTTGAAGATGATGCCACCGAAGTTTCGATGGTGGAAGGGGGTGCCGAATGCGAGAGAATCATGTCGGAATGAGAACGTTTTCCTGTGCTAGAGGAAGAAGTGGGGGCAGGGGGGATGATGAATGAACTTCCAGCTACAGGTGGAAGGGCAGACACGTTCTCATCCCATCTAAAGTCATTGACACCCCCTGTGCTATTGCCAGCCATGTTGCCGACATCACCATACGTGCCTGGGGGGGCAGCCATGCTCATCTCGGCAGCCACTGGTACCTGTGCGGCTAATGAAGCTGGGTTATAGGCGGCCGTCCCTTGTGCACCACTACCGCCTGGTAGAAGGTCTTGCATGGCAGCATAATGTCTCCATCTGCTATTTTTGAATGACTTCATGGTCTTAAGCAGAAGGTGAGCACCAGACCGGAGACCAAAGTGTAGTTCAATACATACCTTATTGCTGTTACTGGCGTTGATATACTCGTCCCACATGCTTTCTGCGGCTTCCCCCTGAATATTGGCACCATTCTCATTGTCCCAGTGACATCCTGATCGAGACCGGCGATATTTATCGATGGCGCTGTATATCTGTTTCAACTATAATATGTTAGTGATGGTGGCTGAGCGGTGTGAGACTCAGATGGATGTGACATACCGATGCCCATTTGTTCTTGCAGTGCTCCATTGTCTTCACAGGGCCCCGCTTCCATAGTGAAGCAATATCTTTTGAAGCTGCAAGGAGTGTCGCATCTTTGAAGGTGCTTGATCCTGCGATCTTGGATTTCTGTGTAATGAGATACTCCAGGAAGCGATCGGTCTCCTCTTCAGTCCAATAGGCCTTCTCTTTTGGTGCTTTGTCTTCTGGTTGCACCATCTCTAGAAGTTTAAACTGAGTGCAGATGATGAAAGCAGCGATAGTCGCATAGATGCGCTTTCGCTGCTGAGGATCGACTTGATATCGACTGATAGTGGTCATGGTCGGAGGGAGAGTATTTTCAATCTCCGTCATCGGCTTCTATGGTGCCGCTCCACCATACTGTCACACATTGGCAAATTTCGTTCAAATTTCGGTTGCTGAACGGGCTCTTAGCTACTTGATTCTGAAGTCCGCGAAGTGCCGGGGTCCGAATTACCCATGCGGGTTGCTCGTGGGTCCATGTTTGTTTCAACAACTTTTTTACTTCTATTTTACACCACAGCTCAGAAGCTTTTCTGAGGATGGCCCAGTCTACCTCTGCTACTCGTTCCCATCTTTCTGAATACGAGATTTGGTGGAGGGACCACTACAACTTCCTCGAAGACAAGGGCTACAAGCTACGGAATCGCTATAGTCCGGACTGGGTGCCCTCTTGGACAAATACCAACAAAACTCCCATAAATTGCGAGGATGGAGTCAGGTCGCCAGTAGGTGCCGTCTGCCTTTGCTGACAGCAACCTTGCTCACTGTGTGTCCTGCAGCACTATCGTCTGCTGGATGCACGCCGCACTCATGATGGCGCTCGCGTGTCACTGAAATCTATAGTCGTATCGCGACACCCATATGAGATAGAGATTGGTCGCTATTTTTGTGGCTCACCACTCAGCGAAGATCCAGCTAATCATTGCGTGCCGATATACGATGTTCTGAAGGTGCCCACCGACGATGATCTTGCAATATTGGTTATGCCGTTACTTCGAGATGCTACAGATCCCTTTTTCGACACCGTTGGAGAAGTTGTTGATTGCATTCACCAGCTTTTTGAGGTAGGGGCTAGATCTACTGTGTCACAATGTCTTCTTTCTTACCTTTGAAGGGGCTGCACTTCATGCATAGGCATCACGTCGCTCACCGGTACGTATACAAGTGGCTCGAATGACTTGTTTGGTGACCTGTACACAGTGACTGTATGCAGCTCAACATACTGATGGACGGCAGCATGTTCATTGATGCATGGCATCCAAGCGATCAATATATGTCGGAGGACCTCAAACACCCGGCGAGGCATCGTACACGTACTCAATCTCCCCCACGATACTATTACATAGACTTTGGTATCTCCCGCAAATATGAGGCGTCCAACACCAACCCATTGGAGGAACCCATATTTGGTGGAGATAAAGAAGTGCCGGAATTCATAGAAGACAATCATAGACCTCGGAACCCCTTCCCAACTGATGTTTGGTACCTTGGGCATGCTATTCAAGAAACATTTCTCGACGTAAAGTGCAACAGTGGCTTCTCATGTTTCATACTCTGATTTGGACAAAACAGCGCTACTCAGGTGTGGGATTCCTGGGCGGTCTGGTGTCGGACATGATGCACTCGGATCCAACACAACGTCCGACCATGGACGATGTTTTTTCTCGATTCCAGGTTCTACGTCAGGGCCTCAGCAACTGGAAATTACGTACTCGGGTGGCTCATGATGAGGAGAGATCTCTTTTTGATTTACTAGCACATTGGGCCCGTCGCATCCAGTACATAGTACGCAGGATTCCTCCAACGCATACCTTGCTGTCATAGAGCGGACTTCTTTATTACCAGTCTCCTACTAGTAATGCACGAGTTTTCTGCCTTTGAGTACTGCCCGCATTATGGAGTGCAAGGCGTCATGCTGACTTGACGCAGCAGTGTCAGATGCGACCAACCATCTGCGCTGCCCTACAATGCAACATTTTCCTGCCCAAGTATACTTCAGAGGGAGAAGGGTTGATCCCGTTCAAATGTGTACATAGTTATCTGTGCGGGAAGAATTTTGACGTGACTGCACAGTTCATTCAAGATACAGTTTCCGTGCCTAACTTCATGAGTCACGGGGAGCATGTCAGCTGACCGAGGCCGAGCCAATATGCTCACCCGTGCATCAGTTATGATATGAACACACAGGCGCCGCTATCAATTTATATTACACTGCTATAGATGTCGAGGACTGGCGCGGCCGAGCGCCGTTACGATTTGTACGTGTACGGCGTATAGGCATTAGCGCTCGCAGCGTCTTTCGCAGGAGTTAAGTGCTTGGGTCGGCGCATCGGATCCGACGTACGTCACGTACCCTCTTCGCCAGCTGTACATTGGAACTTACCTCGGGCCACTTCGAAATTACATAAGTAACTGCCAGGTGGCACTGGGGGCACCTAGTAGTACCTGCTACCAAGGCCTCCAAGGCTTCTGTTGGACCACACCGAATTGCTATAACATCGGTTTGCCGCACCTGCAATTTGGATGACGTGGAGTTCGCACTCGGGTGACCCTCATGTCAGTGTTATCCCATGTGAGTACTACTATCAGTCCAAGTACTTGTATGAGATATAAAAAGTATAGTACTTGTTGGCAACGTTGGCGTGCAAACTTGAATGTGTACTTCATTTATAAAGCCATGAACAATGTTAATGATCCAAGTCGAATTCAAACTGTGGGTCACTTGCACGTTGGTGCATGCTGTGGGGCCTTTTTTCTTAGCCTCTACTAGAATACTCAGAGCCGAAGGCCCCAACTAAACGCCCATCTTGATTATACCCCGCGTACTACACGCAGTGTTACGAGATCCGCTGCATGCTTTCATGATCCAGTGGTTCCACCAACTGGTTTGGCCTACGAAATGAGGTAAACTCACATGGTACTGTATAATTTCGACCTTAGGTTCGTGGGAGTTTCTGCACTGCATTACCTAATGGCTTTGTGACAGGTTCGTCTCTCGAGGACAGCTGTGACAAACTTAAAATAAGTTCATAAGGTTCATATATACATGTTCAGTAGGATAATATATGTACTTTCTACACACAGTATAGCTCAAAAATGACAATAAGGAGTGGAAAAAGTGGTTAGGTGAATGTTTTCCTAAAAAAACATATCTCAAAACAAACATATCATATGTTATGTCACAAAATTAGGTTCGTCAACCCAAAAACAGCTGTGACTGTCACAAAAAATAGGTTCGGTTCATCAAGCTACTATTGGTTACCACTCGCTCGTGCAGCACCACATTTCGTGCAGTCACGCAAATGTCACGGAATGTCACGGAATAGTCACACTGTCCGATTTCGCAGTCCGCTCGACACGTTGTGGATTAGATATTAGGAAGATATATACGAGTGTACCAGTGGCTAGTATGCAGTAATCTAATTGAATATGTATTGCGAGTTGCCGGAGTAATGAAAAGGGAGACTATTAGGATGCCCAGACAGCAATGGCTGTGATGATGTAGATATGACAGGAGCGGTTGTTGAGAGTACAGCGGGGCCAACATGATGTAGGTGGTTCGGATAAGGAATGGGGAGAGATCCTTGCATTTGCGGAAAAAATGGTGGCTGCGGGTAGAACATATTGTTGGCTGCCGTGGGGAGAGAAGTACTTGCTGAAGGTGTTGAGTTTTCATTCGAAGTTGGGTTGGCAACGGCAAGTCGGCAACAGGCCTGCCAGTGCGTCGTTTTGAACCATATAGCGCCGAAAATCGAGGATTATCTGCAAGGGCTGTGCGAGTGTCAGGATCTTCCAAGTGAGCTTTGATCCGTGCAGCAAGATCAGCGATTTTTCCGTCTCTCGAGAGTCCGAGTGCTCCGGCAAGTGCTTCGAGATCTTCTTTCCGTTTGTATGATGCAGCACTGCGAAAACTGCCATGAACACCAGTCAAGGTATCCTGGATGGCGGCTTGAATGCGAGCCTCTTTGGTGGGATCTCGGGGACCTTTCCGCTTCCCACCGATTCGAGTGCGCGCCATCCGTGCGGCAAGTAGACGCGTCCAGACGCGTTGCCACCAACGCGTCTGAGTTGAAACTCCGCTACGACATCGGACAGCAGGTGACAATGGAAGTGACAAAAGCCTTTGTCACAAGCAAACATTTATCTCTCTTGTTTCTTGTCCGAATGCATCCGTCTAAGCTCGTAAGATGTTCTTGTGTATTATTATTTCAAATGGACATAGTAGCTTGAAGATTTGTAGTAGGAAAAGTGTGGTTTTGGAGGATGCACGAAATGTGGTACTGCACGAGTGAGTGGTAACCAATAGTAGTACAGTCTTCCAGAAATTGGGTGTGTAGTATAGCCTGTATTCTGTTCTTTACATATCATGAAATTTTAATTGTGAACCAACTTAAATTTTTGTGTCTTTGGTTTACCGGTCACGATGCGCTGTTCCGAAAAAAAAATACCGGCGGCGACGGCCTAGCCAGGCTGCAGGAAGGAGCAGGAGCAGGATTGGAGGAAAAGGCAGAGGATGCTGTGCACAAAGACCGCGAGCTCGACAAGTCGGAAAAAGATTCACGCCTTTCTCCGATTACACACCTCCCTCACGTAGTCTCCCTTAGGCAGACCACAATAGAATGAAGATAGTCGTTCCTTCTATATTATGTCCCTCGCGTGACGTTGGGGCCTGACTTTTGCAAATTTAGTAGAACAAGCAGGTGCGTTTCGACTCGTGCTTTGACCTGCGCACAGCTCGACACCCCCAGGTTTGTAACACAATAGGTAGAAGGCCACTCTATTGTTCCACAACAATGTGCGATGTGGCATTACTGCTAGCCTACCCACTCAATATTTATCGAGTACAACGTTCTCCGCGCTCTCCAAGCTTAACTATCTAACGATCAGAACCAGAATGCGGTACCCAACTCCTTCATCGACCAAGCCATCCGAAAGTTCGCGGGTCACAAAACATCCTTCTCGAACCTCAAAAGACAACGCCGCGCCCTCTAAAGGTGTTCATGCTCGCAAGCAAGTCCTCAAAGCATTCACTAGACGTGCTTCGCATTACGATCCTCTACCAGTTCGTGCTTCCTTGTGCCCTCCCGAGTCCTAGCAAATTCATTAGCTGTCATTTTTATAGCCACGCATCACAGTCCACGGATTACCTGGTTATACTGGCGGCATCCTGCCACCCGATGCAGTAGACCCTCGCCCAACCGCGGTGACCTTAAACAGCCTCGAATGTATTCGCACATTAGGTATGACATCACTATTTCAATAGAGATGGATTCAGCTAAATTGATGTAGGCGATGGTGCTTATGGTCATGTCATACTCGTACGAACTCTCAATCATCCAAACTCACGGAAACTGGAACGCCCGGGATCACTATTCGCCGTGAAAGTTCTCTCCAAAGAAAGGATGAAACTGATCGATCAGGTACGTGGGACTTCACTGCATCATCTTCCCGACAATAACCTTCCACACAGAAACACCCTGCGGATACTAATGCCGAGAGAACACACCTGTCGGAACTGTCCTGGAGTCCCTGGGTGAACGGTGTCGTAGGCGCCTTCAGGGACGAATCGAACCTTTACCTCATGCTCGAGTTTATACCGAGCGGATGCTTCTACGACGTGATTCAAACGCGCGGCCCCTTCGATGCTGCCACTGCCCGGTTTTATTTCGCCAATATCGTGGCTGGACTGTATTTCCTACATGGAGAAGGAATTATTCATCGCGATCTCAAACCGGCAAATATCCTCGTTAGACCCGATGGGTATTTGACGATTGCAGATTTTGGATACGCACGTCGAGATGATGACGAGAGCGGACCAATCACAGAATGGTTGATGATCGGGACGCCGATTTACATGGCTCCTGAGGTCTTATGTTACCAACATATGACAGGTCGAAGCGTCGACTGGTGGGCGGCGGGCGTCACATTGTACGAAATGATCACGAAGAGAACGGTCAGTACCATTGATTTCTAACCCGCAAGATTTTCTTATATTTTACCCGTTTCTTTCAGCCATTCTTCGGTACAGATGAAAATAAAATATTCAAGAGGATCTCCTCGGGGAAATACAAGTGGCCCAAGGGCCTCCGCGTGGGCGCGTCACTCAAGTCCATCGTCGCAAGTCTCCTGAACACGACAGCCGAACATCGTCTGGGTGTCAATGATTCAGTTCTCGAACACCCATGGCTCAACAACATTGATTGGGATAAGATGCAGGCTGGTCGCTACTTGGTACGTCCCTCGTGTAGGTAAACGAAAATGCTATATCTAACAGATAGATGGCGTAGGCCCCTTGGATTCCTGGAGTGCCTGCGCCCACCCAGACATGGCTAAGCAAGGGCCTGCCGCCGCCGCACTGCATCCCTGATCCTGAAAGTTTTCCCACCAGCTGTGCACCGCGAATGGGATGACCGTCTACCCAGGAGGAAATTAGCTGTTTAGCTGAGTTTGGCTACCATATCTCATTTATTGTCACTTGTCACTTGATGTGACTTGCCTGCGTTGTTTATACCACTGTACATTCTCCGATAGTTACACAATTCAAACCTGCTTATCTTCATGTCACAGGTATCGAACCACTTGAATTTTGTGATCACAACCAGATGTGGCTAAAGCCTGAACCGCAAAACGTGTATTACGACAACAATATACATACAGGCTGACGACCAAAATTCAAGTTCCAATGGATCGGATCGGATCATATGGAACGAACGAAAGTAATAGAAGAAACGGAGGCGCTGGAGGAGAAAATTCAGCCTCCATGGTTATTATCAAATATATTAAATGATCAACGTGATTCGCAGGAATTAGCGCTGAATGCATCTCTGCGCCACTTCGAAATTGACTACTACCTTAAACTGCCAGGTGACAGCCAGTTGGTGTGGGACGAAGAAGTCAACAGCCCGAGCGCCGTTACGTGTCGCAGGAGCAGCCCGTGGCAAGTAAGTACCTGTGGCGCCCTCCTTCGACCTCTGGCGCTTTCTCTGCCCCAGCGGCACTTGTAGTGCCTGCTAGGCAGCCTACCCAACGCCTCTGCTGCACCAAACCAAATAGCTATAACCGTAACACCCGTTTGCCATCCGGATTTTGGATGATGTGGAGTTTGCACTCGGATCACCCTCGTACCAATGTTATCTCAGTGAGTACTCGTACAAGGGTTACTACGAACATCACTCAGTGCAACTATATGATAAATAATACAGTGTTGGCAACATTAACGTTGCCGTTGGCAATATATAAAGCTCCGAACAATAATCCGAGCAGAATTCAAGCTGCGGATCACTTGTACGTTGGTGCCATGCTGTGTGCCCTCTTCTATTAACTTAGCCTCTACTAGATAGAGCCGAAGGCTCCAACTAGACGCTCATCTTTATTACATCCCGCGTACACATGTAGTGTTAAGTACCAGATCCGCTACATGCTTCCTGAGTTCTGATTCACAGTTGTTCCATCAATGTTTAGGCTATACAATGAGGTAAACTCACCATGAGCTTATCACGATGCAGGCCAGGCGCCTGAAGCATTGAAGGTTGGTACTCCGTCAAATAGATCACATTTCTATCTAAATACCAGGATCGAATTTGCACCCACCTTTGTTGCTGCAATGTCTCGTTTGCCTGCCAACTTCCTGCGCAACACAATTATCATCAGTAGCCAGGTCATCATCCTGGCTTTTGGGTACTGATTCCTCGGTGCAGTTCTCTATTATGGTCACCTTGCCCTACCCGATCAAATTGGTAGCTTGTTGAGGCGATACCCTGGAGAGCTGACGATGGTTATTACATTGATAGCAACTGTGCTTTCAGTCTCTGCCGCTACGTATGTATACCCCTTTACTCTCTCTAATTTACCATTCAGACAGAGATGGAAAAAATTCTAGTCTCTTCACGATAGTCGGTCAGAGAGGCACTAAGGCATTGGATGTCGCAGTCCGACTTCTCTCTCATTCAGCTGAGCGCTGGAGTTGCTTTGGCCAAGGGATCTCCTATGTGGAGACCTAAGTACTTTCAACTGACCACCCTGACGCTATTCGTCTTTGGCGTGCTGAGGCTCTTGACAGCTGGGTAACTCGTTTCTAAGAGTACTGTGCTATTTCAGTGTCTAATCTTGATGCGGACATAGATGGACGACTCTCTTGACGCCGAGCTACTTCCTATGGCCAATACACATGAATGGATCCGAACTTGACATAACTGGAAACGCGTTTTCCACCTTCTGTACGAAGAATTGCAAAAGCAGGGTATCACTGGCAGTGCGTAACCCTACTTTCTGTGACCATTGGTTGCTCATACGACGGACCACCGAAGTTCAGGACAATGCGTTCGAGGTTCTCGACATCGGCGGAATGCTAAGCGGAGTTGCTGCTGCGGGGCATATCTATGGTCTTCCAGGGACATTCAATTTCAATGGCGCAAAATAGGATATATCCACTCGTACGTCCAGTCCCTCAGTTCGCTTGAAACTGTTTTGCGATGCTGTTTATCTAGAGGGGATTGTGCCCACCATTGAGAATTATTCCGGCTCGGATGGTGTTCCGAGTGCCAACAGTACTCGTCTCGGATTTTCTGGTGGAAATGTTACGGTCAACACAGGACCCATACTCGGAAAACACACCAGCGGCCACATCCCTGAAGGCTTCAGCAGGAACTACTCAATGTCGCAGCAGGGTTTGACAGCACACGTCAGCTGCCGGGCCATTAACTTGAACCAAACGCAGTACACTTGGGACACGAACAACTCCACCGTTATCTACGTAAACCCGGCTGCTTCGAACAGCTCCATTACGAGCCTACGCTTGTGGAACATCACTGCAAACTGTGGTACCAGTGAGTCGGGATCGAGGATATCTTGTCTCAAGTTGACTGACAGCTGCTAGATACGCTGACGAATCAGGAATATGTCACTATGGTGGATGTGAATGGAAATGCGAGCCTTTCAGGGAGCGGCTTTCTTCCATCCGTCGTGTGCCCAGGACCGATGAATATGAATCAAATTTATACAAGCTTCAGTAAGCCATTGAAATCTGCCATTGTACTACTCATTAACCGAATGTGTTCCTGCAGCGATCTTGTCACAAGGATTTTTCAAGTATAGTTTTCTCAACGCAAGCGTTTGCGAAGTGGTCCCATTCTTGACAACAGTCCGCGCCGATTATTCCAATGACCTGATTTCTTCCGTTCCCACATCGTGCACATCTTTCCAGCCAGTGAATACCAATTTGCTCTCATTTGTCGCTGGAGTCGCCAGGTTTCAGTCGATCAACTCGCAGGGGCTTCTGAGCAGCGCAATCGGTGACACCTTGTACACCATCTATTCCTCGACAACCAACACATCCATCGACGCCAATCTCGGAAATCAAACGCAGGTTTATCAAGAGCTTGTCAGTTTCACGTCTCAAGGACTTTGTCAAGCACTCATGACTTTCTTAGGAGCAGTACTGGCGTGGTGTGGTCGAGTTCTCTGCCACAGTGAGGCTTTCTAATCCGTTTAATCCAGCCCATGTTGACTTGACATGGCTTCACAGTTCCTTCGCTCGGGGTTTATGGTTGTGGGCAGCTTTCCTGATAATGTCATCCCGAACAACCTCCTCCCTTCATGGACCATGTACATATCGACAATAGGTTGGGCTAAGCGATCGCCGACATATCTTCTAGCCATTCTTCCCATCACCATCATCACCATCCTCACTTTCGCCTGCGCTTTGTACAGCATTATGCAAGCGTGGAAAGAGAGACACATCGATCGCCCCAATATCACCTTCGACGTGTCAAACCCTCTTCACCTCATCATGGCATCCGCTGCTGGGAATCTCGCTCTAAGAAATTTCGACGAGGACGGAATAAACTACAACGAAGCCGTGGAGGTGCGGCTGGAGGAGCCCAAAGAGGACCATAGGGTCAAGAAGTTTATGAAAGCTGGTTCCCGGACCTCGGTGCTGTTGGAGACTACTGTATGATTTTAGGTTCTATCGCGCTATAGTGGTGTCTGTTCTCGGTCGCATACCCATGCTTATTTGTTGACACTTTAGGGAGGTAGATAGAATTATCTTGAAGATGCGAGGGGGTGCTAGTTTACCCACGCTTGACCGCATGTCCACTAGTCGTTTGCAAATCTGACATTTGCGTTGAATGTGCATATCGACAATAGGTTGGACTAAGCGATCGCCGACATATCTTCTAGCCATTCTTCCCATCACCATCATCGCCATCCTCACTTTCGCCTGCGCTTTGTACAGTATTTTAAGTTCGCAGGCGTGGAAAGAGAGACAGACCGATCACCACAAACCCCCCTTCGACGTGTCAAACCCTCTTCATCTCATCATAGCATCCGCTGCTGGGAATCTCGCTCTCAGAAATTTCGACGAGGTCGGGATAATCTACAACGAGGCCGTGGAGGTTCGACTGCAGGGCGATGGTGTCAATAGGTTTTTGGAAGTTCCGAAGGTTAGTCTCCCTCAATAGAAGGAGGACAGTCCTTCCTTCTATACTTCTATAGTCAAAGGTCAGATGATGTCGAGATACCATCGTGTTATGGTATTTGCCTATATACTCATGCTTACTCTTGTCTGACGTATGTAGAACACTTTAGGAATGTAGAACGCGGGCCTCAACGGCACTTTGTTGGCATATGCGAGTGGATGCTGGTTTCTTATGTCACCCAAACTGGGCGGTAGTCATACTCATCATTCTCCATCTCTCGCTACCCCGCAGTGGAGACATCATGGGTTCTCTCCGGGCAACACGATGTTTCAGGTGGCATCGTGTGTTATTTGCATATGTGACGTCCGCCATCGACGTGCATCTAGTACGGAATACAAAGTTTGAGGTTCCATCATGATCAAACCAGGTTCCTGATCAGCACAACATTCTGGAGTATGAGGATTGCACTTCCTCTACGCCCCACCCGATACCTCCTCTAAGAGCAAAGCGTCTGCTTCGCATACACAGGGTCCCTTCTACTTCTCGCATCCGGTTGATAACGGATACATATTTTCCGATACTCGTAACATTTCACCTTGTCACGTTTTTCACACTTCACGTTTGCACTATCCCGACACGCCTTATGCCTCATTGCACGTATGACGTCTTTCCAGGTGTTCCCCTTTGACTCTTAGTCTTTCTTTCACCCTCTCTCAACGAAACCAAGGCACTCAAACTAGTACGTATACTTAGATGCGCATGCATCCTCATATTTTGACTATTGAATTGACTTACAGCTCTGATCTACCGACGCACTCAGTATCTTTGGTTTGATTCTCTACTCGATTCTATTGACTCTGTCTCTCGCGATCGTTTCTTTCCCCCTTCGAACTCGTCTCGCTTGACGCTACACAGTTCGTAGTTCTACAATATGTAGTTATGAAGTACATACACGGTGGAAGGACACTTTCGCGTTTCTATCAATTGACAATGATGTCAGACCGAAGACAGCGTAAAGTGCCTAATATTCCAGTACAAATTCGCGAAATCCAAAGACGCATCCATATCTCATACATCTAAAAGAAAGCACAATCATACAAGATCCCTCCCTCAGAAGCCTAGATTGTAGCACTACCATCTAAATAATAGATCCCCAAACTGACCAACCACTCCCTTCGCACAACCCTGCAAGCCTCATCGACACCCGACCACAAGTAGCACCATCCACAGCCATCGCATTGCCATCCGCCTGTGGTTGAACTTGCGAGACGTGAGAGTTGGATTTGCGCTCGTGGTGGACGACGTGAGTCAGGTGCACGAGAGAGCGCGAGGTCTTTTGAATCGTCTTGTACATATTTACAACGATGGAACGATGGAATACACAGAACACGGATAAGGTGCAGCCTTTTGCACCATGATCAGTGTTGCAAAGAAAGATCGAGTATGATGATCGCATCACCTCAGCCATCAGAGGACTTGGACTTGGAAGGAATTCCCGCCCTCTACGAGCTTGGCTTGCAAGGCATCTTTCGAGCGTTTTCCAGACAGATTCAAGTTGCGCGAAGCAGCAAGTTCCTTGAGGACTTCAAAGTGTAAATCTGCAACAGCGGCCGCCCCCTTATCGTAACAATATGCGAGGTTGCTGGCTTCCAAGTCATCTTGGAGCTCCTTCACGCTACATCTAACCAAAACGCTTTCGATACGGGAAGCTTCCGCAGGGTTATCGGCATACATCTGAGCATTAGCCTTGCGAAGTTTGTGAAGAAGCACTCCATGCCGTTCAATTGCCTCGGCCTCCCAAAGTGATGCCAGAGCTCGCGCGTTCTTGGCTTTGCGATCAGCTAGCTTCGTGAAAATAGCTTCAACGATGACCCCATCAGGCACGTTTTCCATGCCACGCTCGAAGAGCTCTTTGGCCTAGTATAATTATTGTCCATATGAAGTTATCTGAGGTACAAACGAGGTCAACATACCTCTAGGATATCATCGATAATGTAATCTGTATTCGGGTATTCCCCCATAAACTTTTCAGCGAATATGAGACCTGCTATGATAGGATCATCATCGACCTGAGGACGGAGCATTGGCCTGTGGCAGGGCATTGGCCTGGGAAGGGGCATTGGCCTTGGACGGAGAACTGGCCTGGGGGCGCTGATAGGGCTTGAATTTTGGGCGCTTCTTAATGTTCGCATGATTAGACGGATGACTGATTAGCGGGGGGACGAGATGGATCTACATCAACTTCACCAGAACCACGGACGGTATCTTCAGATGATGATGACGATGATCGTTGACGACCGGGGTCAGTGGATTGGGATTGTAGATCATCAGGGGTGTGGATGTCCTGCATAGGAATGCCTGGATCAGTGGCATTTTGACTAGAACCGTCGCTGTCCTGATGATCAGAACTAATGATAGAGCTTGGAAGACCGAAAGCGGCGTCCATGATGGTATGCTCGTGAGGCATGGCGTGCGCATGCTGCACCATTTAAACCCCTTGATCAGCTCTACTTCCGGAGTTTGAAAGACTTACATACTACTACATCGGTTGGCGCTCGGATGCCTGGTCGGCAGACCATGCAGAGGGAGGATGCAGTCGTTCCTTCTGCATACTATGTCCTGACGTTGTCCTGACGCCGATCATCAGGACTGAAAAACTGCAATTACTAATGCCGTTGCCAATTGGCATATCATAGCTGAGTGCGCTGTTCCGATAGCAACCCCATCTATTGACTTCAGCCTTTGATATCGAATCGTTTAGAACGCCACATAAAATGCCTACGCACGAATGGTGGATCATGATCACAGAAATGTCAGAAATGACCCATGATCTTGTTCACGAAACATCATCCTAGGCCATCTCTACCTACCAGGACCCTCGCGCGAGCAGCAGCTCTTGCCATTCGCACTTCAGTGGGCGTTTTCAGAAATTCAAGCCTACCCTACATCTGGACAGGTCCAATCATTCGCTGGATGCGGACGAGCGCCCAGCGAAGGAATCTTCGAAGGAGTTCACATCCCTTGTGAATTAACGCCGCCTTCTTCTCAATCATCTGCGACCCTGCATCCATCCACTCAAACTCGATCCGACTGGATCAGGTGCTTTCTTCTATAGTGATGCGCAATCCGAGTCCGTCTCTGATGCGAAGAACGATACCAAAGTCATACTGCATGTGCATGGAGGTGGCAACGCTCCGGGCACGCATCGCAGCACTTTCCTATAGGCCCGCAACGGTCGCCGAGAACCTCTTTCCACCGGCGTCGCAAGGTCTCTTATACCATGACTTGGTCCCAAAAGGCCTCGACTCACTATCGCAGGCGATAGTACAGGAAATTTAGGTATCAAGAAGGCGGGTGGTACAGTGGAGCTTGTGGAGTATGCACATTCGATGCATGGTAAGTGGACGTTTCCAATATCTCTGCGCAGTCGGACGACGGGTTAGAGGCTTGCAGCTTTTATGTATAGTTGAATTCATCACACAAGGTTTCGACCTCGAATCGTCATGTGATTGATTTAATTTTACATAACATTCGATGCCAATTGCGCCTCTTGGTGCAATGTGGTCTGTCGTAGCGGTAGAGGGCACTATTGCGCTTGCCCGTTGTAGCACAAAAGTAATGGTGTCTGGGTTTGGCCATACCATCTCAGCACACGTTCACAAAATCTAAAGACGCATCCATATCAATGCTTCTAAAGACGTTTTAACACAAACACAATAACACACTCGAGCAAGAGTACGAATACCACCATCAAAACCCTCGCAGCACTACCACCCAAACAACAAATCCCCAACCTGCCCGAGCATGCCCCTCGCAGGACTCTGCTGCGCGTTCACAATCGGTATAGGCATGGCATGCGCAGATTTCTGGGGTGCCGGCGCAGGAGCTTTGCGAAACGCAGCCACAGCCGGCGCAAGTTTAATCGGCGTCCCCACAGTAGCAGCACCATCCACCGCCATCGCATTTCCATCCGGAACCTGTGAAGTCTGTATTTGCGACCGTGACGGGGAAACAGACGCCATGAAATCAGGTGCGCGGGAGAGCGTGAGGTCTTGAGCAGGGTCCTTTGTGCATCACCGAGTCAGTACGCTGCTCGACATCGTAGCATGGATGGGAACTTACAGCCCATTTAACGCCCACCATCCAAGTCCCCCCTAAGACTTCTCCATTTCTCCTGACCGCACGCATCGCTTCCCCAGGGTCACGGAACCCGATTCTAAACGCGTTTACGATCTCCGAATTAGGCTCGGGCTCTGTGCTGGCACCAAGCGAGCGGAAATATTCTACGGTGAGGGAATATTTGTCTGGTGGATAGCCGAAGACGATGATGTAGGTCGATTGGTTCGGGGTGGCTGGTTGGGTATGGTTTTTGGATTGGGAGATGTTCAGAGTGGAGGGTGAGTTTAGGGAGAAGGGCTAGTGAATGCGAGAGTGATTAAATAACAGGGAATCAGGATGTGAGGACGAAACCTACACGCGAAGGAGGTAGAACTGCCCGTTGGGACTCGCCAAACGAAGAACCCTCACGAAATATATCATTGACTGAACTCGTCGGTGGCGCGTCCATGTCTGCGAACGTCTGCCTTTGTCTTGCAGCGAATCGAATTCAGCACAGTGGGATAATAATGCAAAAGTAAACATACGTGCTCGAGCTTTCAAACATCGACTCAGCACCGAAATGCGAAGCCCCACCACGAGTCAAGCCCTTGTTTATCTTCGCCTTCGTCTGCACGACGGGGATTTCATCTGTATTTTGTGCGCTGGGGGACATGACCTATGCGCCTGATTCGTCAGTCCCGTTTCCAAACATGGTGAACTGTCACTTACATTATGTTGTGCCACGGACTGCGTGGACCATATGAGAAGTTAGGGTAGTGAGAGGGTGGTGAAGCGTACCATCATGTATCCTGGCTGGTATTGCGTCCTGGACTGCCCGAAGGTGTCGGTGAGGGACGTGCCGAGGGGGCCTGTGCCACTTGTGCTTCCCCAGGGATTGTGGCTCGTACTTTGTGCATGCGGATGTGGGTGAGTATGGGGGTTCGCACTCGTTGACATCGTTGCTTTTTTTGTATACAAAGTACTTGAGTACAGCAGGAGAGCAAGGACCAACAATTTGAGCAGAGGCTCTTGAGAAGCTAATTTTCCCACACTTGTGTATTTATCTATGAGCACTACCACCACCCGCCTCGCTTACTCCTTACGCGCAGGAACGTTCCGACCTGCCAATCGTTCGGTCCCATCATCTACTTCCAAATTATCTACGCTTTCCCTTCGTACCAATGTACCTGGTTCATCCAAGTTCCCCAACACCCGCCAGACTACCTTTACCCGATCGTTTCATGCATCACACGCGGCGCACGACTTCCATTTCGACACCCACCACTTTGTACAGCGGCTCGAGCGCGAGGGGCTCAACCGGGCACAGGCGGAAGGCATAATGGGTGCCATGGCGGAGGTTATCGACGAGAGCATACGGAATATGACGAGCAACATGGTCACCAAAGCTGACCAGGAGAAAGTGAGTGCCACGACCACCTCTCGCGGTACTGTGAGACTCAACATAGACGTTCAACCCAATCGCCCGTGTTATTCGCTTCCACCAGCATCAATACACTCAGCAAGTCGACTTTGCACAGCTGAAATCCGAGCTGCAGCTTATAGAGAAGAACGACCTAGCTTCTTTGAAGGCTGATAATGACCGCTTGGTTGCGGATATGGAGAAGCTGAAACAGCGACTGCGGGAAGAAATCACGCGCACGCAGGCTGGCGTTCGACTGGATCTTAATTTGGAGAAGGGACGGATGCGAGATGAGAGCAGTGGACAGGAGCTGAAGATCAAGGAGGTGGATACGAGAATCGAACAGGAGATTGCAAATTTGAGGACGACGATTCAACAATCGAAGGTGGGTTCTAAATGTCTATCTTCGTTTGCGACTTTGGATACTGAACCCTTGGGGATTTAGGCAACAACGCTGCAGTATCTCGTTGGATTCGGTAGGTGCAAATTTAAATGGTTGGCTTTGGGCTAACGTTTTGCATTTAGTGACCGGGTGTTCTGCGCTTCTGATGGCGTATCTGAGATTCCGAGTATAACACGGATGCCATCATGTGCCTATTCAAACTCGGGGGGCTTCGATCATGCCAAAGATCGACATTATAACCTAACTTATTGTCGTCCTAGGACACACTTAATTGTATGTCTGACTGTAGATACCACATGGATTCTAGTGGAAATTGATAACTGATAACATTAAGGTGACTCTACCAAACCAACCCAATTCAATTGCTAGGGACAGCACCCGGGATCACATGCTCCGGGATAACGCAGCAATGTTTTCACGGTCAAGTTTCGAGTTGACCGTTAAAGCATGCTCCTTAAATGCCCCACAGGTTCCTTATGTGATTGAATAGGCATCTCATATTCAACAGTTTAATAACAGTTTAGCATCGCCCATCGACAGCTTGTTGCGCCTCGGCACCCAACACATCCAGTATCTTGTTCCTGGACCGCAATGCTGCCCTTCTTTTCCTTCTCACCTCCATCGGCTGCTCTTCGGCTTCGTCTTGGGTAATCAAAAAATCGAGGTAGGCCCGTTCCGCCGGTCGAAGGATGTCGTCGAACGAGTCGTCAGAGAAGAGTTCAGGACCTTCTTCTTCGGATGATGCCTCGAGATTAGTTGTAGGTGCGATCGGCGAGGGGTCCAATGGTCCAGTGGCTTCACTGAGCCGCATTTCTTCGAAATATCGCTGAAGAGCGGTAGTAGGAGGTGTCGCGAATGGATTCTCGACGTCCCAAACAAAGCCAGATGTTGGGAAATTGCCGAATAGATCATCTTCCCGTTCTTCATCATTTCCCCCCAGGGCCAGAAACTCGCCTGCAATTGGGGGCGTTTCGGTGTCTTCAGTCTTGTCTGGCTCCAAGAACGAGTATACACTATCGTCGCTACCGGCAGTCGACGATTCTTCCTTGCCGGGTGACTCGTTGGAGCGCGAGGGCCCCAGGACCACGCGTTGCGTATATTCCTCAGCGACTCTGCGCTTATGGTTTCGCTTCTTTACGAAGTTCATCCCCATACCTGATGCAAGCCCACGGCCAAGGTCCTTAAGTGGTCCAACGATTGTGATGCCACTTGCATTGCGGCTACATGGACGCTTTACATCTACGAGAGCCATCGTTTCTCCTTGGGTGTTACCGCGATGATCATTCTCTTGATCTGGGGATGGGAGTAGAGCAAGTCTCCGATCTTGGTTTGCCTGCCTCTCGTGATTGCGCGTGAGTGTAATACCGAGGACCTTGGCAGCCTTGGAGTCTGATTTACCGAAGGCCTTTCGCTCGGCAGGGGTGAGTCTGTTGGTGGGGGAGAGTCTCAGAGCGTCAGTGATGCTCATCGAAGTAGTGCTATTGGAACGCGTCATGACGTTTGTTGTAGACATATTTTCTAAGATAGTGCGGAGTATAACTGGAGTTGAGGAAGAAATACAAGATATAGCCAACGATTTGTGGTGACCTCTACAGACACTGCGAGGTTCATTTTTATACCCCGAATACTGTGGACGGGTTTGACGGGTCCACCGTGCTGTTATCGTCGACCGTGCCTAAAATGGATCAGTGGGCCAGCTCAGTGGCGTGCGTCTTTGTTCATTACACTTTGATTGCCACTTTGACTGGTGGTCGAAGGTGGTCCACCACTGGTCACCAGTGGCATGATAGTCTCCCCTAGCCAGACCAATCGAAGGAAGACAATTGTTCCTTCGTATTAAGGTGGCGTGATGGGCCATGGCGCATGTTGTCTTGCGTGGCGATGACCCGTGCAAAAGGCTGGAATTCCATTCGCATCTGATACTTTGGTAAGCTTCAACACGGTCGGATACTATCACTCCTGGGAATCTGCAACTGGCATGTAATATGCAAAATGTTCAAAACACCTCAATGCGCTACTTGAATCACCTCGAGAAAATTCATGTGTATGTAGGCTACTTAGAGATGATGTACTGTCCAAGTAGAATAAAATTTTCTTGAGTGTTGCAGCTGCGAGAGACAGAATAGTGGTGATTCGCAACCTTGTATAATCATAAATGATCCAGATCCCATAGATCCTAGAGAGATATTCAAAAAGTTACACCCGGAGCATATCAAACACCTCGTCAGGGTGTCAGAACACAATTTCGATAGAGGCCATTCTCTTGTTTTAAGATGCTATAGACAGAGGATTGACGACATGTATGAAAGCGTGACAGCAGATAGGAGAGTGTGTAAGAAATTCAATCTCCTCCAAGTGAAAGTTGACGGTGCCGCTACTGTGCCG